CTCTTGTGACCAAGAATGCACGAACCTTGGCAGCCGCCTCGCATCGGGAATTCAATTACACTTAAAAGTTTCTGAACGTATTAGATTGGCTTATACGAAATAAATAATTAAAGCCGCCCCACACTTTTTTTTTACAGGGGGCCATGGGTTTTCTAATTAAATGCAGGTTTGGCACCGGAAGGAACATGAATAAATCTATAAAACCCATTTCCCATAATGATTAACTGTTAATCAATTCATTGTGATGCGTCGTATTCATTCAACGATCTATTTTTTTTTCTTTTGGGAGGCCTATTTATTTATCTATTTACTTATTCACAATCGTGATTTGTTCTCAGCGATGAAGCGGTGAACCCTTGCAATTTAAAGAACGCGTTGAGCTTTAACTTTTAAGCACGACTCGGCTTTATATTGAGCAGCTCTTAGAAAACGTAGCACGCCGTGCAACGATCAATACTTGTCTCAACCATAATGTTATCACCCTGACCATTAACGGTCCCTCCACCTCCTCCACACGAGCCGATCTCATCGCCCTACCTCTGCGGTGGATGTCCTCTCAGTTACGTTCCTACCTTTGGTTGCCACACTTGCATGAGTCTCGACCCCCGGCCGTCATCCATTACAGTCATCCCTTACATTCCCACTTACTTTTATTAACAGTCAATATGATATATCTCCAACATCTCTAAAACACCTCCTAAGACAACATAAAATAAACATTAACATTTTAAATTAATGGGGATAGCATTTTTAATTATATTGTAAATATTTTTTTCCAAAGGTCGTTATATTGTAGTTTTGTTGTTATTATTATTATTGTCATCTGACGTTCCTGGGTATAAAATTCCCAAGGGGGCCTCCTCGGCAGGACAATCTGCGTGGCAGCCCCACGGCTTTGGAGTTTTCAAAGAGCAAAGGTAAGCCTTGTAGTGACTGTGGGGGTGTCACCCCCACCTGGCATGGGAACCCCCCTGGAACTTGGACTCAAACCGCGCCACACCTCCTGCGTCCCCACACCATCACCCTCGCTTACCTTTCTTTATCGGTGAAGATTGTGACCAATGGCCCTCCTTGGGAAATGTCCGCAAGAGGTTTGCTTTTGATTTCATTAAAAAATATTTTGTTTGTCTGTTTACCCAACCGTATCTTGATTGTGCATTTGACAATGTAATTCGAGTAATGAGCACTCCTTCAGAACTCTCGCACAGCAGAGCAACTCCCCCGTGTTTGAGAAGGGTTCCGTGGAAGCAGATATCACCGAAATATATTTATGACCCCCTCGAGTGACCTCTTTGTCCGTACTAGGAGCCAGCACTTTCCCTTCCACCTGCTGCAGGGCAATGTTCGTTGGGATCATTGCACGAAAAGTCAAACAGATATTTTCACATTTTTAGAGCTGGAATTGGGCCAAAGTTAATGAAAAACCAAATGTAATACGACGGGGGATTATCTGTGCAGTCATTGATGACCAGGTTGAGAGCATCAACTTGCTACACTTAAAAACCTGCTTGAATCACGCAGCGGCAAGATTTTGACTGCTTTGCCTGGTATGCGGAAGGACGTGGGTTCGATCCCGACAGCTGTATATTTGCAGTTTGCATGTCTTTCTCCCCGTGGTCACGTGTATTTTTCTCTGGGTCCTCCAGTTTTTCACTCCACATTTTAAAAAAACATGCGTTTGCAGTATTTGGCTGCTATTCATTTCTAAATGTCCACATAAGCCACTTCACTGATCAATCATTTGTGGCTAGGTTGCTTCTGAAAAATAGCGATATAGCTGAGTGGGGCTTAACTGGTAACATTTAAATAGTTTAAATAGTTTAGTATGAATTCCAATCCAAAATCTCTGAAATGTCAGTGTGTTTATTATTTTATAGCCACAGAATATGCTGCATACTGGTGCGGTAAGTGCTTCCATGTCTGTGTGTGTCTGTGTACAAGTGGTGGTGAGAGGTCTTGCAGTGGTTAGTGCACTGCATGACCAACCCCGCAAACGCGTTTGATTCTCGACCACAGATATCAGGTGAGTAATATCAGAACCGGTCCTGGGCCTTATTGAAATTAACTCAGCAACAAATGAGTATGTAGTGCAGTGCGCACACATGCTTGGTGTGTGCACGTGTACACGTATGTTGTGTGTGTTTATACAGTGGTGGCATTGTGGTATCCATCCTGTACGAAGATCCTTGTAAACCACTTCATGTTTCTATCATGCCCATCAGTTGCAAATCTAATCTGAAACCAGCCTGGATCTCCTTGAGATCAATTCAACCAATGAGGGGTAAAGTACCTGCTGTAATGTGGCACCATCATCAACGGGGATACAAAGGCGGCCAACCTTCTTGGTTCTTTTGGTAAAGTCACGTAGAAGGGAAATAATAAAAAATAAAACATAATAAATTTGAGATAATTTTATTTTATTATGTTTCATTTGTATTATTTTATTTCCCTTCTACGTGACTTTACCGAAATAACCAAGAAGATGAATCTCTGCAGTCACGAAAGCTTTCAATCGAAAGGCGGCCAAGTGTTATATGTTGTGTTGTGCTAGTCACAATTTAGAAAAAAAAATATTTTTTCCAATTAAATCTACTAGGCTAAGATGAGTCTATATCTGTGGGACAGTTAATTGTGTTATGAGGTAAAGTTTGGGTGCTGCCAGATATTGCAAGATGTATATCCAGCATTGAAGGGTCGCCCAATATATCCTCTTGATCGGTCTTATAGAGCTCGTTCCATCAGCAGTGGCATGAGCAACCAATTGTAGGGAGGCAGTTTTCCTTTCTATACCTGTGATGCGTGAGTGTCTAAAGACATCAATATTTTTGATTTTGGATAACATTCCCACTTTCCTTGGAATCATAAGAAAAGTACGCTATGTGTCAAATAAAAAATATCTAAACGGTAATAAATCACAACCGACCGTTTGATACACGCCCAAACTTAACAAAGACCTCCTTCGCCATGTCCAATACTGTCTAGTTGTACTTCTACTTATGTAATGTTTCCTCTCATACTTTAACTCTCTGTAAGCCTAAAGCTTTTTTACAAACTGGTAATCCACCACCTATATCTGTACGGGTGAGTTGACTGGGCAGGATCCACCGCGTCGGTGTTCCACTTGATGTCGCCGCGACGGAACAGCGGGGCGGTCTAATGGAGAGGAGCTCACTGCCGAGTAAACATTTACTCGGCCCATGCCGGCTCAGCCCGTCGCCACTCACACGTCTCGGCGGGCCCGAGCATCTTGCAAGCGGATGATGCCGTCTGGCAAACAGTCGGAGCCTAATCTTTGAGCAGAACATCACCGTAATCAGATCACCGGAGGTCAGTAACTATGTGCCGTAACAAAACCTGTCAAAACACTGTTGTGACAACTAGTTTATTTCATTGCGTCGAGCTGAGATGTCGTGTACGTGATTGTAAAAAGTAATAATTTACGGCTCTTTGTCAACCCACTGCTAGATGAAGGTCTCCCCCGCGTCGTGTCATTCATCGGGGGCTGCTTGGCCATACTTCACCACATACTGGCCAATGTTTGTTGGTGGCACAGGACCAGTGGAGATATCACTCACCACTGATGTTAGCCGTGACAAGAAATTAAACTCAGGTTGCTGGCTTTTTGGTGCAGTGTTCTAGGTTTACTCAGCCTTAATTGAGTACCCACTGGGATATGTAGACATCAGCGCCGGCCAGACAAATGTGGCCGAGCTTGATGTTAGCCACACCATTCCCCTCATGTGCCGTTCCAGCCTAAAAGGTGCTCACCAACAGCACTTGTCCCGAGAGTCTATAAACCTCTATGGGAATGTGTGTCCTTGCATGTATGAAACATTGCAACTATTTATTTATGCAGGAGAGCCAAGTTTCAAGACCTCTTGGAGGCGTGTTCTGCTTGAGATATCTGGTCAATTCCCTGAGTAACGTTTTAATGTGGGACGAAATCTTAGGAGCTTTGCATTAGAATAAAACTCAATCAGCATTTATCAGTCACTAATCTACTTGCTGTTACACCTCCTATATACTGTATGCACCGCTGCTCCTACATATGGGTGTTTTGTGTACATGATCTCAGCAGGGTTCACGTAAATCCCAATTCCAACTCGTTGTATTATAGATGTGTGCAGCCATCATTTGATCAATGTGCACAGCGATGCACACGTGTTACTTTTCACACATAAACAATACTTTAAATGTTATGTGCAAAACAGAGAGAAAGCTTCTGTTGATGTAATCCAGGTGATTAGTTATGCAACTCAATACCAACCAGCCAGTGTTGCTCATTTCCGTAGATGACCCTGACCTGAGACAGTTGTGAAAATTCCACATTCCCATGTCGGGTTTCCCTGAGACGGCAACCGTTCACTTTTTGCAAAGCTGTGTTTAGCTTTATTCACCATGCGTCGAATTGACCCCCCAGACAAGATTTTAACTCGCACCCTTCTGAGTCGAACGCTCAGCCAACAGTCACCTGGCCGCTAACTTAAAAAAAAACGTTGATCTGTTCCCACAATTTTGTATCGAAATTGTGCAATCGGCATTGTTGGACAGAACATCCATTCGCATCTCACGCACAGCAATGCAACTCTTCGTGTTAAGAGATTTGCCCATGGAAGCAGATATCACAGAGCTATCACTGAGACCCCTTCAAGTGAACTCTGGTCTACACCATAGAGGGCTGCACTTTCATTCGCCTTGCCACAGACAGTAATGTTCATCACATGACAGTCAAACTGATATATTCAATTATCAGAACTGGAATTTAGTACAAAGAAGCACAGAAGCACATTAACAGTTCCTGTTTTTTTTGTGCCAGTCATAGGTGACAGAGCTGACACCATAAACTCACTACACTTGAGAAAGGGGTTTTAATCACAGGCAGCTGCTTGGATTTCAGCGGTGGTAGCTCTTCTCCTCCAAGCCATAGGGCTATACCTCACCCGGCCTACTAAACCCAGAGCAAAACGGGCATCAAACGAGAACGGCCTCTCGCCCCGTACCTTGGCGATGTCGTTGATGAAGGCTTGGTACTTGTCGGCTGCGCACACGTGCTCAGCCTTCTCGAGCGCCTCGAGGCTGCACAGGATTCGCTCCTTCTTCCCGGCGAGGGACAGCTCGCACTCCTGGGGGCCCTGGGTGTCACGGCGCACCTTCTCAGGGGCGCGTGCATCCTGCACGGCGCGGCGCCGCACCACGCGGTCGTGCTCTGCCTCCTGCGTGCGCCAGCGCAACAACAACAACAACAAGACGCGACTGTCAGCGGCGACGGCGGCACCAAACACGCAGTGCCAACGCGGGGACTGGGCACGAGCGGTGCTCCCGGATAACATTTCGGGTACGTTGGGTAATTTAGCCTTCATCGTTTTATTTTTTTTGTCATGTTTTTTTATCCTGTTTGTAATGTCGGCGTCATGTTATGAGGCAAAGTACCCACTTGGATCTCTCACAGAGCAGTACAACCGTTCGTGATAGAGAATGGCCCATGGAAGCAGATATCACAGAACTACTTCTGAGATCATTTTAAGTGACCTCTGGCGCCACGTATGATGAAGTTGCACTTCCCACTCACTCTGCTTTTGAGAGTAATGATCATCGCAAAATAGTAATCATATTTAGAGGTGGAATTTAGCTAAGCAAAACACGATGTAAAATGAATTTTAAAAGGTAATAAATTGTGTTTTTATTAATATCTTTTTTGCATCCACCCGTGGCTACTAAATTCACCATAATGTCAACAAAAATGTTTTGATCTTGAATCAAACCATGACTATCTTGATTCATCAGGGACATGCATCAACAGACCTTCTACTGGCCGCCAATGTACCCCAATGCCTGTGTGATCCACCAACCCTGCCTCGACCTCCACAGCAGTTGATCACAAGCACGTGCCACCAGAGGCACATCCAGGGTAAAGGGGGTAGTTGCCCCGAGTACTCAATGTTTTTAGAAGGCCGTGATATATGTTAGACCATTTTTGAGATTTGTCAAGAATGTACATCTTTAAATCAACAACCATTCTTGAATCAAAAATCATCTTAGATGATTCCTGATGTATATTTAATATTAAATACATTCAATATTATCGAGTGAAAAATTTTGTTTCTGGAAATTATTTCCCCCTGCACCTCTGTTTAGACCCTCAGGTTTTGAATCCAGGGTCTTCAGACACCATGAGGGAGCAACCCTGCATCCGTGACCTTGTTTAAGCGCTAAACGGAATGAATGACGATACGATCTGCTTGTGCCTATCGTGCATTCTGCTCTCGCTCTCACCCCCCTTGTGTGTATGAGGGCAGGCAGCGATGTCCATCGCTTTTTTTCCGTTTAATTTGTCCTTCTCCCACACACCTCCGATTAGCATGGTTCGCGACAAACGGTACGAAACAAGTTCAACATACGTACATACAACTGTACGTACTTGAATCATTTAGAGGGGGGGGGTACTGTGCATTTATCAGGGGGGGACTTTGCCCCCCCCTCCATGCTAGGGTGATGCTAAAAAGGTTTGAGGGTTCTAATGGGGGGCATGAAAATTGCCAAAGGGGGCCATGGGCCACAACAGCAAACTTCCTTGACCAGTGCTACAGATGAGCTGGGCGTTTTACGCATTGAAAATACCAACTACGCACGACATTTAGATCGAATGTGTAATAATGTGCATACAATTGTCGCCGCACAGCTTCAGTTTTCACATTAGAAAAAAATAACTGAGGCGAGTGCGGTGAAGGAGTGGTCACACGATCCCCGGTATATGTCTGTGAGGGGGTGTTCGGTCACGGAATAAAACACTCTTGAAAGGTTCTCATGCAGCGGCTTTGTTCAATTGTTTGAAGTAACGTTGCAGCTCAATTTAAGATTCTTGTTCTCAATGCATACCATCCAGGTTGACATTCAAGATTGTACAGTATTTGATCAAATGTACTTGTGACATCAAGGAAATGCTGTGTTACCCCCGTGAAAATAAAAAAAAAAGTATTCGCATGTTAAAAGTTGAGGGTAAATCATTCAACAATCCCAAAACCTCATCTTCAAGGCTATCTGTGCCTGATACACCACCCTGCCGGTCTGGCTTCAACCTGAGATATGGTCAAAAACAAGTTTCTAGAGTGACACAAACAAGTTCTGATACTTCTGCATTGATGACTATACAACACGGCTCATTATTCCAACAGTCAATGGGTTCGTAATAGCAGTTAATGGATCCTCAATCAAAGACATTGCCAACCACAAAATCAGTGCACATTCCTTCATGCTAAAACACACGTGCACGCAAGAAGAGACTTTCGTGACGATGGCTCTGTAAGAAAAGCCATGTGGTTTGGCATCTGTATCAGAGTGTGTGGGTCGGCTATGTGATTAACACAAGCTTATAAAATATAATACTCTCGGTGTGGTCTGGGCAGACAATTCAAGGGTAGGTGTTTAACAAATAACGATATCCAGCCCTTTTTCAATCCACTGCTGGCTGATGGACTCTGGATGGTGTATCAGTCATAGAGGTTGTTTGACAATATTTCAACATGCCCAGCAGTGCAGCAGGTTGGGGAAGAGGAGGCCCAGGACTGCTTTAATATATCACTCTCCACCGATATTAGGGATGACCGGGAATTGAACTCAAGTGACCAGCTTCATGGCACAGTGCGCTAACCACTGCGCCACCGCTCCACCTACCATTAAAGGGTGGATGTTTATAACAGCACGTTTACAATAACTCAAACGAGCACACCCGTCATGTGGAATTTTAATTGTGTCTCTTAAATTAATTTGTGGGTTGATCCATATCGCGCCTGTGGTGAGAGGTAATTATCTGTGATGCCAGTAAGAGCTCACCTAAATCAACACACATCAACTCAAGGAGGCCATAAACATGAATCTCTCAAGCCAAAGTATTGATTAAAAAACACAATTACACGTAAACTTTCAGTGATTAATATTTACTCCTACAGCCTCCACAAAAATATGGTGTGCATAAGTTTTAAATGCACTCAAAGTACTGCATATCCGAGAGATATATTACATTTACTACTAATTTTATATTGAAAATTCATTAAGGAGAAGAGTTGGGATGTAACATATTTCAACCTCATGTTTTCTAAATATAAAACAATGTAATATTATGAGTAGAGCTGTGACAATTTTCAACCCTCGCAATTGCATGAATTGTCATGCTTCAGGGTTGTGGTTCGATTCAAGGACCAATGTTTTTGTGTTTTTCACATTGTTGTGCATGTGGCATTTCCAGTGTCTGCAGGGGGTCACGGGAACCGATTACATACAATATACACAAATCACCATCGATTCGCACATGCATGGCTCCGGTGCATTGTATCGTTGAGTGTATGATTCAACGATGATTCAATGCTTCGTTTCAGGCCTAAACAGGAGCATCCTGACTGCAGTACGGTATCCCCTCGTTATTTGAGAGGAATACGGTCCGGAGATGCTTGTGAATAGCATATTTCGCGGATAATGACATTGGCCTACGAAAAAAAAAACATAATTTTAATGAATGACCTTAAATAAATACGTAAATGAGCTATTAAATAGGTGGAAATTATAACATACGAAAATACAAAATGGTTATAATAAACGTAAAGTAAATAAATATTAATAGTTTTTTTAAATCAACTGACCTAAAATGATGCTGCTGCACAGTAGAAGGTTTCAGTAACAATGATCTCATCACTATATCTCATCAAGTCGTGTACAGTTCCAGATGCGATCCGCAGATAGCCAAAATTACGGATAGCAAGATCGTGGATAACGAGGAAATACTGTACACATTCACAGAGGGCTCTCATGTAAAATAAAACCTAGAAAACCTCTTCCAACTACATTTTGGTATTCTTAGCTCTTTCGATAAAGTCACGTTGAAGGGAAACAATAAAATAATAAAATATATATTAAACAATAAAGGGAGGTGATTGTTTTATATATTTTTTTATTTAATTGTTTCCCTTCAACGTGACTTTACCGAAAGAGCTAAGAATATGAATTACTGCAGTCACGAAAGCTTTAAATAAAAATTTACATTTTGGTACTTTGTTAAAAACTGTATTAAATTTTGTCAACAGTTCAAAAAGGCTAGTTATTTTATCCTTAAACATTTAAAGAGTCTTCCACAAATCACACTACTACATCACCTCCCTTTAGCATTTCACCAATATTAGCTTTTTATTCCTTTCAATGTTATTCAGGGCTTGAGTTTTTATTTTTTGGCAAATGGCTCCCGAAAAATCAATATTCCTTAGAGACAACTTTATTTTCAAGTCACCCCTGAAAGACTTCCACAGAAGTGATGTTTGTCAAGAACTGCTAACCAAGGCCAAAATATATTCATTTCCATAAAGGTAACACTCATATAAACAAAGTTTATTTGTTCAATAAATACACTTGTTTATGGCAGCAGACACAAAGGAGCTATTCTAATAATAAACCAGACAACATGGACCTGTCGGGGCCTGAGGTAGTCGTGTTGGCACTTATTGCTTTCACCCGAATGTCTTCAACGCTGTGTGACAGTAAATACAACCGTGAGTCAGAGCGTCGCTCAGTTCGAACAATGAGGCAGCCCCTTTCTCCGTTTGTGACCCTGCGTCATAAGTGTAAATCCACATTCTTACGGCCAGGGCTGTATTAAGTTGCTTGATGGTCGCCCAAGACGGTTATAGACTTGGGGGCCCTTTTGTTGTTTTCTTAAAATTGCTTCCCTCTGCCGATTCAGCACCACCCATGCCCAATGCCAGACACTGAATTTTCATTCACCTTCATAATAGAGGTTTTTTTTTGTGGGGGTTAGATCGCGTCAATATAAATGTGTCATTAAACCCGCCACCACCCGACATAGCCGATTAGTAAGTTTGTCACGTAAACAAACATGCAAATTCGTTATTAGTTCAACACACGGGTGTGTTTGAGAGTGAACCCACAACATTTACAATTCCTCTTATATGGATAACTAGCTTTTTTGCCCATCCAAGGACGGGTGTATATTGCAGTAAATCTTAAATATTCAATAGAAAAATTGTTCAGCTCATGATTATTAATGAGGGGGGGGAGGGGGTTGCCCCATGTAGAGTGACGTCACACGCTAATGGTTATTGTGGAGGGGTGCGGCATGTGGAGTGACGTCACCCGCTCATGATTATTGTGGGGGGGTGCGGCATGTGTTGTGACGTGACCCGCTCATGATTATTAATGAGGGGAGGGGTGCGGCATGTGGAGTGTGGGACCTTCTTGTGTGTTCGTGTAAATTTCCACGCGGGAATTAATATTAATTAAGGGGGGGGGGGGGGGGGGGGGCTCTTTTGCAGTGACGTCACGCACGGATGTAGCACTGTGCTGCTTAGATTACATTTTTACCATCAATTTCTGTAAAGAAACGTCATATTTGAAGCGACTGCTGAAAAAAATATTTAAATCGGCCCGACCTTCCTCTGCGTTAGTGTAAAAATCCGCCCACTCATTAATATTAATGAGGGGGGCTCATGTGGAGTGACGTCACACAGGGGGTGGGCCTCATATGGAGTGACGTCACACGTGGGACACACACATTCTTGGCTCATTATATTAGCAATCATAGTAGTAATTTTGTAGTGACTGGAAATGTCACTGTGTGGTGCCGGACCTGCGAGGCCACGGCGGGATGTCTCCTGTTGTGTGTACACCCGGGACACGTGGTGTAGTACCAGCCCTCGTGAGGGCTTGGGTGAGCGCTGGTTAAGTGTGGTGGCTCCCGTTGAGAGCGAGAGAGCATCAGCCTAGCCAGGGTTACGTTGGGGGCATGATACTCTGGCTGACCTGGGGACACGTGACCGGATGATACTGGAGGGGGGCCACCGGTGGAGGGGGCCAATGGGTGGTCACATGGTCCGGGAAGAACTCTCGAGACCCTTCGGGCAAGGGCGAGAGAGTTCGAGAAGGTGGGCGGGGCGAGAGGCGGAGCCAGCCCCAGCCCGGCCCAATATAAGGGGAGCCCCGGGAGGGGCTCGGGGTTCTTACTGTGGCCTCCAGCCACGCGGTCCGGGACCCAGCTTGTGGTCCGGACCAGGATAGTGGAACCGCGTCTAGTTCCGCCGTAGCGCGGTTAGTTGGGTGGTCACCGCCCGAGAGTTTGTTGTGTTAATAGCCTGGAGTATGTTGTGTTAATAGTTTAATAAACGTGTTGCTCCTAAGACAACGTCTGCGACTCAGTTGGACTCACTACAATTTGATTAATTTTTTCAATAAAGAAACGTCATATTTAAAGTGAATTTGCGTAAATATTTTTCTTTCCGCTCGATCTTCTTCTGCGGGAGTGTAAAAATCCACCCACTTATGATTATTCATGACGGGCGGGGGGGGGGGGCTCTTTTGCAGTGACATCACGTACGGATGTAGCAGTGTGTTGTGTAGATTTCGTTTTTACCTTCGCATTCTGTAAAGAAACGTCATATTTGAAGCGACTTTGCGGAATAAATTATTTTATTCAGCTCGACCTTCCTCTGAGTTAGTGGAAATATGCACCCACACATGAATATTAATGAGGGGAGTGGGCTTCATGTGGAGTGACGTCACGCGCGGGACATATTCTTGGCTTATTATAGTAGCAATATTGGTCGCGAAAGCCAACGTGTTAAACTGTTATTCATCTAACTTATTTCAGTTCTGCTTTTCAAATGTGACATATCAATTGTAAAGCTAATCCGAGCTTAAAACGAGCAAACTTTTTTTAACTTTGGCACATAACTGGTCATCATACACATACATGATGCTATGCCTTCAATTACCAAATTACCTTTCAGATTCATCATAGTACTACATTATAAAGAGATACATATATATTTCTGGAGACCCTAAAAACTCAGAGGTACGAGGCTGATGTCCCATAAAGCCCCTGCATTAACGAAGTTTTGCTTATGACGGTGGAGGGAGGGGGGTCAGGGTATCTATGAGATGACCACCGTCAACTCTTCATAAAGAGATAACCTCTGACTGAGATTTGAATTCAGAGCTGTCCAACCGTTGTGCGCCAAGCACTCTTTTCCGCAGCGCTGCTGCCCCTGCCGAACGACGATGGGTCTGAGCGTACACGCACAAAGCGAGTTCTAAAAATAAGTTACTGTACATTGAAATAACCTCAGTGAGAAACGCAACACTGGTGCGACGCACCTGCTCGGGTTTACGGCCAGCCTCTATGAAAGAACCGCTGTGTGGGAGTGCTTTTTTTTGTTAATCAGAAGCATTCTACTTATTAACAGGAGTAACTTTTGTCTTTGCAATGGCTCATAAAAGACAATGAAACAAAGCGATTCTGACTGTCGCCCCGAAAAAAGACACAGACGCACCCATAAACCAATGCAAAGCCCTTTGCAAAAGCCACCAATATAATCCCTGCCCAAAATTCGCCCTCCAAATGACGCCACCGCACCCCCATCCTCAGCTCGTGTTTCCTAGAGGCTAGACCCTGATTGGGGGTGTGGGGGGGTGTCGCTAACGATGACGCACCAAAACCCCTTTGTTGTGGATTTACCCCATCTACAAAGCCCTGTTCCTGTGCGCCACACTTCAGCCACAGCTGCCAAGTCACCTCTGGGGAGCCATCGGACAGCGGGAGAGGTCTCTCCAACTCCCTGCAGGGGTTAACACTCGCCTCTGCTGCAGAGACTAAGTGTGCCGGACTCACAATCCAGAGGCACTGTGCTCCAATGCTGATCATCGTCGTCGTCATCATCGTCATCATCAGCGATGACCGATCCACTGCTGGATGAAGGCCTTCTAATGTCGTTTTGATGACGGGGAATGTTTTGACCATACCTCACAATTCTGGTCAGTGCGAATTGGTGAAGGGTTTGGTGGGATTCAGATACTACCTGCTACTGATGCAGGCCATGGCCGGGAATAAACATAATAAAATATAAAACTGAGGTGGCTGGGTTAATGCAGTGTGGTAACCACTACACGACCGCTGCCTCCTGGCTACTCTTTACCGTTATTTAAATAATTATACATTGCAGGTATTTGACGGAGAGAGAGAGAGAGTTATCGGTAAGTTCACAACCCTGGTCAGGGGTCAACCCAACATATTAACCCTTTGAAGTCAATAAATTGAAGTACCGCTTCGTGGGAAATCTACAGCGGTCGACCTGAAAATTGAAACTGTTCCCACCATAAGAACGTGGCATTTCCATCGCCAGCTCAGGGCAAAAAAGGAAGAACAGCACTGCTCCATTGCTCATTTTAGCCTTGATTCAACTCTGTAAAAAATGCTGTGAAAAGAAAGTCTTTAAAAAAAAACCCAGTGAACCCTACTGACAAAATGTTATATCAAAAGCTAAAAAGTTACAGAAGGAATGGTGGATTAGGCGCATGCTTGGAATTACACTGAGAGACGTAAAGAGGAACACATGGATCATAGAACAAAAGCCAATTCAGGGAAATCATATTGGCTTTTATGAAAAGTATGTAGGCATGGGCAGGACACATCACTAACAGGAACGATGATTGGAGGAAAAGACTAATGTTGGATGGCAGCCAACAAAGGGAATATCCCTGGGAGAATGTCCACCATGGAGATGGATCGACGAAATTGGCTCGTGTCCAGGCGCTTCAATGGATTGTTGCATTGTTGAAACCGTGGGAGACGGCGACAACTTTGGGGAGGCCTTCATCCAGCTGTGGACTGATCAAGGATAACAATGATGACAATGATGATGGGTGCTTGGTGCATTCTGTGCATCTCTGGCAGCAGCATGGGCAGCCAGCCGGAGGGGCGCTCACCTGCTCGGTGCTCGCTGCGGTGGAGAGGATCTCGGTGAGGCTCTCCCCGGGCTGCGCTCGGATCACATCCACCACCAGCTTCTTTGTCCTGCCCAGGAACACGACACAAGCGGCGCTGTGATGTATATTTCATCACAAGCTATCGTCACACAACGCATCGCTACAAAGAGCGCTGGCCCCCAGGACACAGCCACACACTGCGGTGCATTCCTGTAATGCAGCATTTTTATGGTTTTGCATAATCCAACGCTGTCAACAATCTACCGTACTGCCTGCCCAAATATGCATTGGGATTAGTATAATGATTATAAACGTAATTTTCTTCATTCAAAACTAGCAGGCTGGGGTGGAGGGTGGGTGGGGGGAGGCAGATATCAGCACAATGCACTCACGTCAGCCAGGCAATCAGCGAGCAAACCTTTTTTCTAATATAGTATGATAGGACAATTATATATCAACGCATTTTCATTATTATCCTGTTAAAATGCAATGATGTACTGTATTTTGATTATTTTAAGTATTCGGTAACTGCTAACAGTGTACATGCATCATGTATTCACGACCTTCACAGCCGCATTCCTAAGCAGCCCCATTTCTCCTGCCCTAGTATTGTTAATTCTAAGTCATGCACAACACCTCTGTGCTTGTGGCAAGCTGCCTTTACGTGAAATGCTAAAGAGAACGAGAAACTTGCAATAATTTACAAAGGATCAAAACTTTTTTTGTAATTTGCCCAATGTTGATTTAATTCCACACAGGGCATTTATAAAACCCCCTGCATTAAATGACAAAATAAAAGGACTGAAAATATAAAATGTGGAACACGCTGACGAGAGCTCTAATGTTGTAACAAAAATAATATTTTTTTAAGTATAAGTTGGGGAATCGTTTAATCTGTGTGAATTAAATGCGAGTGGGAGGACTTTCAATGTCCAAAAAAGGGGCCATCAAAGCTAATTTATTGCCAAGCTTCAGTGCTCTGTGTGTGTGGCATTTGAGGCCCGATAACAATTGCCTCCCTAATGATTCATTGTGACTGCCGGTGGTAATGGAACCCCCCCCAGGCCAGTGCTGACGTCTGACGCTGTAATTTAACGCCAGGTTTAGGTGTGTGTGTGTCTGTGCGTGATTGCGGGAGTGCGCGTGTGTGAGTATGAGTGGTGCATTGGCGCATGCGTGTGTGTGTAAACACGTTACGTTGAGTGGGAGTGCAGTGGTTAGCACAATGCGCTATGAACCTGACGACCCGACTTCAATTCTCGCTCACCGCTAACATCAGTGCCGACTTATCTGGCTGACCAGTCCTGGGCCTTCCCTAGATTGACTCAGCCTGAAATGATATAGCTGGTGTAGTATGGAAACATCAGAAACTACGGAGACAAAGGCGGCCGGGTGTGGTTCTGGGCACATCGCCTGGCCCTGCGTCGTTGCTGCTGGCCTTAATAGGTGCTCGCTAATGGCAATTTCCCAAAACAGCCTGTGTCGCCTATACGGGGGAATCTCTGACTTCGTCATTGTGTGAACACACACGAGCAGGTATTGGTGCGTGGGTGTGTTGTTGCGAAAGGTGTGCGTGCGAATGCGTTATGCGTGTGCGTGTGTAAGGGTGTGCGTGGGCGTCTGCGTGTTTGTACTGGAGTCTGAGTACGTGTGTGTACGTGTGTGTGTCCACAATGTGTGCTCCTGTTTGTTTTTCTATATGCTGCATGGGCAAATGCTCTTATTTGCCCGTGTGCGAAAACCGAAGTGTACAAATGTGCTTCTTCTCCGTGTCTGCGAGCGCGTGAGACTGTGCAAAGTGCAAGTGACCATTAACAATGCACATCTCAAACGGTCGCTTTGTGTGTATTGCGTGTTCACGAGCGATGGCAAAGTGTGGGTAAATTAATGGAAAAATAATCCGATTTTTTTTTCCCCCCGACCAAATGTGCCAGAAGCAGGATAAGCGAATGTCTTTTCAGAGAGAATTGTATATTAGCGCTGACCGCTGTTATGACTCTGAAGTCCGCTGCTGCATGACCGATGCTTACACAACAATGAATTTGTAGCTCTTAAGAGGCCATCAAAGCAAGGAGGAATGACTTATACACACTTCTGTAGAAATGTGTGTGTGTGTTGGGGTCTATAAAGCACAGGAGAGATGTTTAATCAATAAATCAAAACTGCAAACTAATCAATGTGTCTTCTTCAGTGACAGTCGTTCACTTGCAATGGGTGTTTGTGTTAATAGCAGGTTACTGCCGTGTTTACCTTGACTAAAGGAATAAAATATTCTGATCATGTCAAACGATGCCCATCATCTTGTATATCTTTACTCAATTCGGGTAAGTGTAATAACAGATTGTGCGCCTTTGTGTACCGGCTTTCTTACACTTGTGTTTCAAGAGGACGAGCCTGTACGTAGATCTGAATGCGCTTTCATGTGTGTGCGCATGTGCGCACGTGCGTTCATGTGCGTGTTGTGTTTGCTATGCGTGTGCATGATTGTGTGTGTGTGTGCGTACGTATACATACGTGCAACAGAGTGGTGATACACTGGTGCAGGCCAACAGCACTTGCCCCAACAGTCTGTTAAAAAGCCATACTTTGCCTTTGTGTGTACCAACCATGGTGGTCCCCTACACTACGCCCGGTTGTCCTGATTTCACACTGTACTCAGAACCTATTTCAGATTGAGTTGATCTAGGGGAGACCCAGGACCCGTTCAGATATGACTCATTGCTGATCTCAGCCATGGCCAGGAATGGAACCCAGGTCGCCAGGGTCCTAGCGTAGGGAGCTAACCATTGCACTACCAACTCCCCAGGTGCTCGCTAACAGCACCAGCCCTGACAGTCTCAATAGCCTATGTGGGGGATATTTGTCTTTTTACCAGCCATATGTCCGCATGTTTGTGTGGGTGTGTGCATGTGTGTGTGCGCATGAGGTGTGGTAGTGTAGCGGTTAGTGCGCGACGCTCCGAACCCAGCGAACTGAGTTCAGTTCCCATTCACGACCAACACCAATTACAATTATAATCTGAACCGGTCCTGGGCCTCCCCTAGTTCGATTCAACCTCAAATGAGTACTTTGTGTAGTGCATAAACATCGCCACTCAGGAGACAAAGGCGGCCGGGCGTGGTGCTGGCCACCCCCCCCCCCCCCCCCCTCGTGTGCCGTATCAGTCTTCGGAAACGCTCGCTATAACAGCACTTGCCTCAAAAGTCTATTCAGACTATACAGGGGGATCTTTATCTTTGTGCACGCCAGAGTCCGAGCGTTAAGGCTGGGACCCCGGCCCACCACCAGGAGACAGGGCTCCTGGCCTACTGATTGCATTTCACCCAGGAGATTGCTGGCTGCTGGGAGTGGGCGGACAGCTGAAGGCAGCCCGCAGCAATTTAAAGCCACAAGCGGCAGCCTCACTTTGTGTCAATGTACGCCGGGGCAATCGGATCACCGCTCAAAATCACCTTCTGTTTTCTATTCATAATTTTTATAAATGATTGAAAAACTCCGCAATGCTCAGCGGCTATTGGAGTGGAACGCTTTGGTGCCTGCAGTGCTCGACCTAACGCATTAATGGTTCATGACACTTACTTCAGTTGGACAGATAAAAAATATAAGAAACAGAGAATAACTATCTGAGCTAAATCCATGGGAATAAGTTAAAACTACAAACTAAACAAATTGTGAAAACGTACATATAATAAAAGCACTATTTCAATTATATTTTATACTAGAATAGGTTTTCCCCTTTTCTCTGGAAACAAAACAGGTGTTAAGATGTTAAAACACCAAACGAAACCTTTTACAAGGAATCACGCCTTTTGGCGTCCTCTGGTCTAACACCGTTTTGAGACGAGGCTCAAAAGAAAGCTGTCTCTGGTGTGGACCAATCAGTTTCAATGACAATGCATATATTTTGACTTAAAGCGTTCGTGACTGCAGGAATTATATTCTTTGAACCTATCTACGTCACTTTACCAAAAGACCCAAAGACAATGCATATATTATCAGAGTATGTTTTTGTTTGCATTCTGACCACAAGTATTGTGGTTAATGCAGACATGATTCCTTGTTAAAGGTTTCAGTTGATGGGACCTCCTGGCAAAGGAGGTTCCATGATGATATTTGATATTGTATCAGTTGACGTAGGAACTTATTTATGCTCAACAACTATTGATGAGCTACAAGTGAAATTTGCTACCTGAACATTTATAGAGAAACCTCAAGTGTGTGCTCAGAAAGGAAGTAAGTTTGTACAGGCCATTCCCTCATCCAAGACATTCATGCAATTTCTTTTGAAGTGTATTTTTTATGCTACTGTACTTTTTGAGGCGGTAAAAAATGTAGGTTAAAAAAATGGAACAGTGGACATCCACCAAGGAAGGAGATTCTTCTTCTCGTGTCCTGCCACCACAGAGGAGCTGGAGTGATGAAATAAGCTTATGTTGCAGGCGCTCGGTAGATTATTACATCCCATGATAATGATTATGCTATAAATGGACATGCAGAAAGTTTGGGTAAATTGTTCACTGCAAAAAAACAACATGAAGCCTCCGCCAAGGGCCTCAACCCCCGCCCACGCAGCCCCCAGAGCCTTGGGTACTTCAAATCCGTGCTTAAATAAATAAAATCCCCACAGCGGCACAGACAAAGAAATTCAGGCCAGGAGATGTGCTCATCCTACAAAAAAGCTACAAACTAAGAATGGAGCATCAGTGGTGTCAAGTGGACCACGCTCTTATGGCTTTCATCTTTCTTGACTGGTAACCCATCATGCATACCAGTGCTGTACACAAAATACGAACTTTACAACACTTTGGTTGGAGATTTCTTTTTTAGGTTCTGACAGCTCCCTCACCTCACCAAAGCCTAAACACAACATTATTTCCCCATCCAACAACTCATCCTCGTCTTACAGTCACCCCCCCCCCCCCCCCCCCCGAGCAGTTTCAGTCACATTCCACCTTCGCAAGCAGCTCCCGTGTCAGCAACAGCCATGGATATAATTTGTTTCATGTATCCACAGTTCAGTGTGAGAAGAAATGTTACCTAAACACCACTGCCCCTTCGAGTTTCAAATATCTTTTTTTTTTACAGATGGGACTCGAGATAGGTTATCAGAATTCTGTCCAAAAATAGTTTAACCGTTGATGCCATCACTTTTTTTATTTTCTCTTTTGTTTAAACGTTAGAATTATGTTGGTCTGTGAAAAGAGCAACGCATAACTTATTTCATGTTGTGTGCTCAAAAGGAAAGCAATGGACACTTGGTTTGTTTGTTTGGCTATTGTATCTTGGACAGGTTCAAGATCTTCCTTTCTCTTTACCTATGGCTCACTGCCTTTCCCCATAAAGTTCACGACCAATATCATCCATAAGCGTTTTTTGGGGTTAGATCGCGTAAATATATGATAAAATAAAAAATCCCTATTTTTCTGTACAGCGTCTTTCACACGCGAGCGTATTTAGAAGCGATAGAAATCTAAATTGTAATTGTTATTTGTTCACGTAAGGATAAAGTGGAAATTCAGTTTATCGACATTACAAGCACAACGATAACAAAACATGAAATGTCAATTCTACGTTTACAACAACAAAATTAAATTAAATAATCAACAACAAGAAATGTATTATTGATGTTTTAGCACAAGAGGCCCTGCTTAGCGCAGATTTTAATGAAAATAAATGCAAGGGGATAATGTCCTTCTAAAGTTGGGGTATGCGGAGGAAGTAATCTTGCTGGTGATGAGTAGAAAATGACAATGTGACTGCAATGAAAAAAACTGTGCCTGCAGCGATGCAGCCAAAATCACCATTCAAAGGCGTCAAACAGGCAGGGCTGCATCCACTAGGGAGGGGGGAAAAGGCAGCGGGAATTATTGTCGAAGAAACGTGAAGCATGGCGTGAAAGGAATATCAGTGGGAATGTAAACAAAATGCGCGCCCAGCCCAGCGTATAAGCCTCGACAAATATGCACCGCCCTCTAAAACCAAAGTTTGGATTTTACTTTTTCTCAAAAGATGGTAAACAAAACAAATCGAAACTTTTCACCCAATATTGGAATGGAGCCCAAGGTGTGATTGCTATCCAATTTCACACACACAAGTAGATTGGAAAGCATTGGCACAGGGAAAATAAATAGGCGGCGCGATGACTGAGTTACAGTCGAGGGCGTGGGCGTCACGGCTAATTGGAGTGCCCGGACGTCTCGCGTGTGGGCTGATTCAGCTGAGCGTCCTGACGGGCAGAGGCTACGTGAGGAAGTTGCAAGGGCTTTTATTTTATATAAACATGACACGTGCGATAATGGTATCAGTTCGCAAAACAGAATTATTCACTCGCTGGGATCTCGCCTACTGAAATAAACATTACTCAAGTGAGCTGAGAGTGTCAGCTCACTTGGTTGGGAATTGCAAATATGCAGGGGCCAAATTAATTTTGTATTTACTTGACTTCAACTCAGTGATTCGGAACTCTTTATATAATCAGCTGGAAAGCTTCCTGGTCTACATCACCCATATGTAGTAAAATAGTATACGTATTCGGTTACAGCAAACATTTAGCGTACTCTAGTTGTGGGTCAATTTTACCGATGGGATATGAGCGATTACACCAATAAACAATAGTGTCTGTTTGCAAAACACATAAAACGGGTCTGTAACATCACCTTCATAGCAGACGGCATGTTTTGACAACTCTGTAAAAGTAGCTATGCGACTACAGGATTTTAACCATCAAATGCAAGACCCGGCTCAGCACAGATCCAGAGACGGCAGCGTGGCCAGCCAGTGACTCACTCATTATCATAACACTGGTCTCTTTTGCAAGAGAGACAAAGAAAACGAGGAAAATGAGGAATATCCGAGCGTTTAGACACTTCGTGTTCCATGTTCCTGTTGCACACTTAATCGTTTATGCCCTTTCGCGACACATACAATTGAGAATTACGATTTTAATTATTATAAATAGTAACGTTACCATAACTACACATCTGCATATCGTGGACATATTTATGGCATTATGTGTTTTATCACGTAAATGTGTTGAGCACCACCGCTGAAAATATTGTTATTGCATCAATGATGTCGCTGTTACGACATTTCTGCACGTTGCGGACATATGTCGTGCGGGCCTTAAAGGTGCCCTGACTGCCGCACCTCCTTGGGAAATTCAAAAGAAGGGCGAGAGGAAAGACAAAAGACAGACGACGTGGTTTTGGGTCGACATCGAGGAGTGGACCAGCTCGGCACGGGGTACATCACGAGAACTTGTGCTGACAGAGAGCACAGGCACGCACTGAACTCCGACATTCGAAATTCCGGGGCTGACATCGTTAAATGAATTGATGCATTGTCAAGCCAAAGTGACTTTGATCAAACTCAACTACACTGGCGGTGGCTTTGAGCAAACAGATAGAAAGATTTTGATTTAAAGCTTTCGTGACTGCAGGGATTCATATTCTTGGTTCTTTCGGTAAAGTCACTTTAAAGTGACTTTACCGAAAGAACCAAGAAGATAGAAAGATGCACACTGCCTTGGTATGGAGAAGTTTTGGTCGAACGACTATCACTGCTGTGAACATCTTCCATAATAGAGGTGTGTTGGGTTGGATCACGTAATTATACATTTGTCGTTAAACTCGCTACCACCCAAGACAGCTGTTGTCTGATGAGGCTGGTTGTAATTTCCGGCGAAACGTCATACTCGAATTGTAAATATCGTGGGTTTACTCCAACACACCGGTGTGCTGAACTAGTAATTGGCATGTTTTGTTCACATGGCAAACCTTACTAATTGGCTGTGTCGCGTGGTAGCGAGTTTAACGACACTTATATTTACACAATCTAACCCAAAAACCTCCGTTATGAATATTGGTCGCGAAAGCCTATGTGTTAAACTGTTAATATCTTGTGCAGGAAAATGTTTTTTTATTGATGCAAGAGGGATGATGATGATAGCTGAGTCAATGCCCCACACGCATTATAGCCAGAGTGCCACCCACCAGATGTAGCGCAGTATCTATGATTTTATTGTTTTTAGCAGAATTTTGGTCCGTTGTTGTAAAGCCGCTCCACCCCCACTGTAACCATCCACCACCTACCTCCGACTGCTGCACCCCGCCCTGCCTTTCCTTCCCTTCCACAACCCTTCTGTGTGTGGGGTGGGGGGCCGGGGGACTGAACAGAAAGAGGTAGGGCCCAGAGAAAATGGGTGGGTACTAAAAAGGAAAGGTGCAGAGCCAAAAGAGGAAGGCCTAATCAGGAAGTAATGCGGCCTAAGCAGTATGGGGGTGGTGTATAAAAAACAGAGAGGCAGGGTCGAAATAATATTTCAGAATGGGAATCTTTATTTTAGTTATACTGGAGGAATACGATGAGCATAAAGCTCTTTTTCACACATGTTCAGTAGGGGGTGGGTCTAAAGAGGAAGAAGCGGGAACCTACAGAGGTTGAACTTCCCTGTTGATTTAAGCGTGGAATCAAATGCGTGCAGCCGAAAGCAATCCTCTAGTCAGCTTTAAATGTTTTTGTCCTAGTCACGTCGCAACGGCTGCTCAGAGGGAAGCGGGAGGTGACCAACCTGAGTAGCAGGCCCTTGGTGTCCAGGTCGTCGTCACCCATGACATCGAACTTGTTGGCAAGTGTGAGAGACACCTCCGTCTTCAACAGCTGTGCTTCTTTGTTGGGGTCACTGTTTTCTCCCTCGGTCTCGCCTGCGTGACAGAAAGAGGGCAATTACTGCTGCTTCACAGAGGTCACCAGCTACATCGACGGCTCCCCTCCCCAGTGGCCCATCAGGCTTCCCACTCAAATTCTATTTCCAAAATTGACACGAGTTGAATTTCAATAAAAATAGTAATTAAGGCATTTGTCAATGCCATGCCACAGGAAGGCCTTCTCGCAACGTGTCGGTTGTGGAGATTGTTTTCACCACACTTTATATCACGCTGGTCAATGTGAATTGGTGAACAGCATGGTGGTTGGACCACTTCATATTTTACTTGTAAAATGATGTTAGCCGTGACCTGGAATCAAAATCAAATTGGCTGGTTCATAGCGCAGTGTGATAACCACTGCATTGCTGCTCCTCTCTCTCCGGATAAGTTGAATTCTATGAGGTTATTAATCCTGTTAAGCTAAACGAAAACAACTTTTTTTATTTTACCACGTAAGGCCCACTGAGATATATAGCTCTTTTTGAGAAGCGAACTGACAACAATTGATAGCTCAACAACGGGGCTTATTACGTGGAAATGTATATCAGCCAAATACTCTAAACCCATGTTTATAAATGTGGAGAAAAAAAACCAGAGGACCCGGAGAAAAATCCGCACGAGGAGAACTTGCAAACCCCAAATATACAGGCGTTAGGGTCGGGATCGAATCCACAACATCCTGCACATCAGACGAGGTAGTTAACATCTCACCACCACTCTACTCCAGTATCTGTGAACCGCTAACATAAAAATAGATTATACCATTCGATCCAGACCCAGGTTTTTGCAAATATTTTTTTGGAATCTTGATTTGAAGCTTTCGTGGCTGCAGGAATCCATACTCTTTGGTTCTTTCGGTAAAGTCACGTAGGTCGAAAAAATAAAATAAAACGTTGTGATATATTATTTTGTATTTTTTTTCGCCCTACGTGACTTTACCGAAAGAACCAAAGAGTATATATTTGGAACAGAAGAAATTATAGAGATGACTACACAAGAGTGCAAAGCAAATATCCAGCACCGTTGAAAACAAACTATGATATTTAATGCCAATAGAATATCACAGCTGTGGAAAATCCACTGCTGGATGAAGGTCTTCCCCAATCATTCCCCATCTCTTCAGAATCACAAAGTAACAACCTCTCCAGCTCCTGAATGATAGCTATTTTTATTTATCCATCTCCACAGTGCGCTTCCTTCAGGGGTTTTCCTATGGCTGCCACTCCATCATGAATCTCATACATCAGCTATCATCCCTTCTAACCATGGCTGTATGTTGAACTTCTTTCCCACTGTAAGTAGCCAACTGCGCTAATCGGAGGTGCAAGGGAAGGACAATTAACGAAACACAAAAAAGCAGCTTCTAAAGAAGCGAGTTTTCAATCTAGATGATTTAAAAGTGCATAGCTCCAGTGGCTTCCTAATATCGGAATGAATATCGTTCCAGAAGGCCGCAGAAGCGCATCCAAAAGGGCGCCATGCGGTGACCACCATCTTTGTTCGGTGGCTAGCCAACAGCCGCTGCGATGAGCACTGCCCAAGCTCAATTTACTTTATTTGACAGATAATGTAAACCACAATACTGTATAACAGCAAATCCTAGAGTCAAATGGCTGACGGCAAATTTTGTTGGTCAAAAAAACATCTTTTGAGATGTTGCGAGCGGCTTGAGAGAGCAATGACGGCAGTGGCTCACTGATGGGAATGTGCCAGTGGGGATATTATTTGGGATATTCTTGTAATCAGCTATGTAGGTTGCAGTTCAGGAATTACACCGTCACGCCCCTCTCCGGCCCTATCCCGAAAAACCACAATCGCTCTTAACATATATTTCCGAGAAAGCACAAAAATGCTAATCCTGAAGTATTAACCTTACATCTCATACACTCCATAACCCCTAATTACTAACGCCTATCCATAATCTAGTACAATAATCCCGCACACTAACCCTTAACCTCAAAAGATTAGGCCCTAATAAAACCGATGCCCCTACTCGTATTTCAAGCCCTCTGAAAGAGTGACTGCATTCAGCACAGAAACATTATAAAGCATTCTAAAGTTAGAATCATCCGAGGTCATTAACTTTCAGGCAGCAGCGTTCCAATTACCGTACAGCAGGTACGTATGTGAAAAGGGTTTGGTCGAGCAGATGACACAGGTTCTTGAAGGGAAAGCCCATTGTGTCGCTATTAATAATAAGCTTGAACTCTGTACGGGCACGTGTACATGTGTGTGTGTGTGAGCTCTGTTATTGTGCCGGGTGACGTAGCAGGTAGGGCCCGAGGCTTGGAAAGGGCCTGGCCCCTGGTACGTCTTTGGACTTGCATCAACGCACGGTCGTTTTGTTTCTGGTTTTGAGATGACACGTTCGGCCCGTTCTGCTCCGCGTAACCACAACACACCAGCTCGCCCGGAGCACGCGACCGCGGTCACGCTCACCCAGGCCCAGAAAATGTACAGCCTTCACCAACTGGGTGCCCCCCCCACGCCCCATTTAGTTGACGTCGCGTGCGCACTTTCACAGTGCGTGCAGATTTGACATCAGCCCTTACAAGATTGTGGCAAAGAGTTCCCAAGGAGGGTCGCCCTCTAATGTGTTTCCTCCGGCTACAGGGAGGTCACATTTTTCTCAGGTTGTTCGATCCCTACAGGCGAGAAACCGTCATAAAATGCTACTCTGCGTAAGCAAGAAAACTGCACGCGCAATGCATTATGACACACTGCTTTGCCATTCTCAACACTAACTCACAATAAGAGTGGCTGACAAAAATTAATTATAAATAGCCTAGGTGACTAACACATAAGTCGTAAGTTTGAACAAAAAGTGGGCGGCACACTGGTTAGTGGACTGCATGACGAACATCGACCTTAGTTCAATTCCAGGCCAATGCGATTCGGTTTCTTGTCTGGAATGTTCTATCCTCCGATATTAGGAAGCCACTGGAGCTATGCACTTAATAAATGTAGGTTGAAAACTAATTTCTCGAGAACTGATTTTTATGTTTGGTTTGTTGTCCTTCTCTCGCACCTCCAATTAGCACGGTTGGCTATGTACGGTGCGAAATAAGTTCAACATACGTACGTACGGCAAAGTGATATCTGAACCTGTCCTAGCCCCCCCCCCCCATCACTTTCGCCAACCCGCAGTGATCACCCGGTGCCCATGACCGACGCAGCATGGGCAGTCCCTCATCCAGAGGCGGATTTACAAGGAGGTTGTTCGTTATTCATAAACCGAAGCGAAAAAATAATAAGTAGTTATTCAACAATAGCACCGTTTCCCTTTTACAGCTGTTGGTAATCTAGTTGGGCTGTTCGGGTGACATTGTGAAGATTTGTGAGTCCTGTGAGGTCAGGGTAGCGTTACCTTGAGCACATCACTGTGCCGTCAGTGATGGCTTAATGGCATGCTTCAACCACAAGATCGATACTTCAATAACCACTCCAATAATCAAAACTACAATAGCCAGTAAGAGACAATATATTGGGTGACATGTCAATATGACGTGGTATTAATAGAATGTGTTTGCAAACACCGATATATTTATATGTGTGTATGTATGTACAAGAAACATTAGCAAACGCTCTCTTACAAGTTAAATATTTTGGTGAGTCAACTTAATCTTGCTTGAAAAGCAGACAGAACTGCCTATGAATAGCTAACATGGTTCACAAACAAATAACAATGGTGTTACTGTTCATCAGTAGAAATGCACCATTCTCTCTCCACGGCTGGATTAAGGTCTTTCCCCACGCCGTCGCTATCTCTCACGGTCTCGTGATGCAACAATCCAGCCAACTCCCGCACACAAGCAGATCCTGATCCTATCTCTCCCACCTCCGCAGTGGTCACCCACGCTGAGGTGTGTTCCGTCTTTCAGCTTGCGACTCCGTCATCACTGTAATCATCAGCCATCATCCGTGACGTCTGCTTCCCAAGGCCGTGACGTCTGCTGCCCACTTTCATTCCTCATCAGTCAATGTGATGTCTCGAACTCGGATTCATTTCTCGATCCGTGTATTTGTCTAAATGCCTGTTGGTGTATTTGTAAGCCTGTTTCTTTGGGTGCTTTTCCACTTTGGTTCCAATTTATTCGTCGGCTACGTTGCTTCAATTCAATATTCCAAATTGCACTACATCCTACCCTCGTGTATAATATTACAGGCCGCGTGGCCTGCAATCCAGCAATGTGGAGGCAGCAAGGATTGGTGGATCACGCAAATGTTGTGAAACTCCCTTCCCGTGTACATTGAGGTGCCATACCCTGGCTTGCCAGGAGACAGCAGTTCAGCAAGTGGTACTAATCGCCACCACCCATTTCCATCTATACGGGGATAGAGTGTTGCCCCCTTGTGCGCAAGGCATGGTTTTTCTCTGGGTGCTCCGGTTTCCTCCCACACGTATAATAATAATAATAAACACAACTCATCATCAATTGGCTCAAAACATCTCAAAATTGGAAAAACCCAATGCAAGACTCCTGAAAAAAGAGTCCCACGACTAGCCCTAGCTCACATGGGGCACATGGTGCACATGGTGCACATGGTGCAAGAATTAGCATTGGGCCTCCCTGTCCATTCCGCCCCCCCCCTTTTTGTAATTGAAAAAAGTGGCCACTTTTTCCAAATTTTCTTGCTGTGGTTTTCACACCTGATGATGATTGCTTGTGTCGCAGTCGAAACGTCGTGAGAATTTTATTGTTTTATATATATTTTATTTTTTATTGTTTCCCTTCTACGTGGTGACTTTACCGAAAGAACCAAGAATATGAATCCCTGCAGTCACGAAAGCTTTAAAGCAAAATTTGTACCTGTCCAGTCCGTGGGTCCCAGTACAGTTGCATCCACCTCTACACTCAACAGCTATGCCAACGAGGTGTTTTTTAAGAGCGTGAAAGTTGTGATTCCTGCACAGGGCAGTGACATCTGCTGGTAGAGGACCGTTTAAGCAGCAACACGGGCATCAAAATCCCCTTTCCCTGCAGTCAAAACACAACCTTGTTGTTTATTTTCACAAATAAAACCCAATACCACAAATGGCCTTTAAAAATGCGTTAAACTCTCACCACCTATTTCACCATTTTTCTTCCAGAGCCTGGCCGCTCACCCTCTCTCTCTCACGCAAAGCACGTGCCTTTGCAGTGCCTTGTTAGTATAGGCTTTGCTCAACAGGGCAAGTACAGATAGTCCAACATGTATCAATTACATTTAAAATGTGTTTTTCATCCTAAAAGAAGCTTCAGTAAGCATTACAGAAAAGAAATGTTATGATGAGGGATTGGATAAACATTATACTATCATCAGCCACGATCGATCCACTGCTGGATGAAGACATTCCCAAGCCGTCACCATCTCCAGAATTACGTATAAGTGTTGTTTACACTGGGCTAGGCAATAATATAATAATTTGTATTTATTAAGCGCCCTTAAACAATCGTTCTCTGGGCGCGATGCATGGAAAAGCGGGAAATAGTTCAACATCAACCAAGCAAATAAGAAGTGAGAAAGACAGTTGAAAAATAACTAAAAGAGAGAAAGCCATTTTAAACAGATACTTTTTTAGTCTAGATTTGAAGACTCGTAAAGTGTCTCGGAAGTCCTGACCTCGACGTGCAACGAGTTCCAGAGTTTAGGTGCCACAATTGCAAAGGCACCTCCGAGACAGACTCCGACAATCTGCTACTGGCTTTGCAAACAGCTCGCACAAGGTATAGAGACGGCGTGTGAAAAATGCTGCTCAGCTTGCTCTCTGCTGCATGCACGGGCCACTACTCGGCAATTTTTTTTTTCTTGTTTTGTTCTGCACCTGGTGCAGGAAGGGAATTCGTAAAAGCCACTGGCAAATTACTGGGCTCGCTCCAAGTGGAGCGCAAATGAAATGCGGATGCGAGGCGGTCCCCGGGGGAAGCGTTTCCGCTGCGTACCGCCGAGCGAGCAGATGTCGGGAACGTCACCCAAGTCCTCGAGGAGCGCAATGAGCGGATCGTTGTGGTCTGGAGCGATGGCCTCTTGGTGCTCCAACAAGAGCTGTAGTGGAAGAAAAAAAAATAACAAACGCAAAGACAAAAGACACACGCGCACGGACACGCGCACGGGTGGGCGCACACGTTAAACACATGCAGATGAGGCAGCGGATGCACGCCGATGCGTACATCGGAAACACATGCAGAGGAAGATGAGTGTACATACTGTATACAGACATGCACGTGCGTGTTTGAAAGCACGTATTTTGCAGCACTGTAGGAACACACACACACAGCACTGTAGGCAAACGGGCCTGCTTGAGTTATATTGGTCGCCGAAACGCGTAAAGAACACAATAAAATATCCCACGCCTTCCCTTGGAGATTGTGGGAGCAAGTGCTGTTGGCAAGCGAGCGCCTGGTCGGGCCAGCGTGACACACCAGGGGTGTAGAGCAGCCTCACAGACTCTTTGGAAATGCGCAGTTAGCGAGCACCGATTATGGCCAGCGCAACACAAGAGAGTGTGGCATTTACGACGTTCACACTTGGCCACCACTGCTGATGATGTTGACCACACCGATGCGCCGAGGGTAACATTTTGAGGCGGAGCTGACCTAGAAGAGGAGACTAATATAACGTAGAGAAACAAACTGGGAGCTGATGTTGTTCATTACGATGAATCCAACGTCCGCTGATAACTGAATCACCGTTCACAGCGCACGCGCAATCATTTTAGTCTGGCCCTGCTGCCTCTATGTTTACACATTACAAGTCGAAGACAACATCCACCCTAAATAACGCCCCATCGCATCAGACCTTGGAAGCTAAACACGATTTTAAGCCTGATTAGCAAATGCATGGACAACTACCGGCGCTTGCCAGGTTTTATAGGAATGGGGTTGAGAGACGCAGGCAGGAAATGGTCGGTGCTGTGTCACCCTCTCATAATGTGTGGTGGGTTTTCTCCCGGCGATCGGTTTGCCTCCCACATGAAATTAAACAGTGAACGATGGAATTTGCCAAACGTCCATTGATGGAATTTGCCAAACATCTAAATGATGCAGCCTTGAAATTCAGTGACGGCTTTATTGGGTGGATAATTGGCATGAAAACGATGTAAGAACATATTTGCTCAACAGTAGATTATTGTTACTTGGCCATAGATAGTTGTTACTTGGCAGTCGATTAGAATCTGAAAGTTGGACCCTCCGGAAACAAGAGTCTGCAGACTCGGGGAGTCTGGAGACTCGGGGGTGGGGGGGCACGATGGCGAGATGTTAACTACCTCGCCTGGTATACAGAAGGTCGTGGGTTCGATACTGACCCTGATGCCTGTATATTTGGAGTTTGCATATCTCTCTCCCCATGGTCGCGTGGATTTTTCTCCAGGTCCTCCGTTTTTTCCTCCACATTTAGAATCGACATGCGTTTAGAGTAATTGGCTGCTACAAATGTCCACATGATAAGCCACTTCATTGAGTTATAATTTGTGGATAGCTAGGTCGCTTCTTGAAAACGAGCTGTATAGCTCAATGAGGCCTTACCTGGTAAACTAAATTTAAAATTGTTCAATTTACAGTTTACGTTTTAAACCGAGGAGGGAGCGTGGGGGCACGGCCGCGGGGGCATCTCACAGTGTGCGTGTCGATGATCTCGCCGATGGAGATGTAGATGACGGGTTTGCTCAGCGTCACGAGGTCAGAGTACTCGTCAACGTTGAACTTCTCCTCCAGGCCGGGGACGTCGCACGCCGACTGGAAAAACTTCCTGGCAGCCACGACGAAAAGGGAAGAAACCGAGGCGCTCGCTTGAAAAAGGTCAACAGTGGATTCTAATATTGTGGCAGGCTGTGCGTTTAACCAAACACTGCACGTGTTAGGGTATTCAGGCATTTAACTAATTCAACCTGCCCTTACCTCCAACGATATGACGAATTGTCGTGATTACATTTTGCGATTCAATTAAATTATATATTCTGTTTTATTCACATTTTTATTATCTTTTTGGATTGTCTATTTTTTCTATCTCATTTGAACAGTTTCTTTTTTTTACTTTTCAAAAGTAAAAAAAACATTACTTTAATTACATATCATTTGCATACAGTTTAAATAATGGATTCTCACACGCGCGATTCAATGTCTGTGTCCTGAGCGGAGTCATTGCTTTGAGTCAATCAATCAATAGATGCAGTGCTATTTATCCATTAGAAAATGTTTTTTTTTTAAGAAGTCAAGGTGCAGCCCAACAATTATTCGCTTATGCCACTGCTGGCGGAAGGGGCCTCAACTGGAAGAAGCTCTCAAGAAAGCCCCTCTAGAGGGTATCTGGCCTACTCTTAACACACTGGCCAGAGGTCTTGGAAGAGATCTGTCAGGCATAGGTATATCCTGGACTCGCCAATCGAGATGAGTGCTGTCAAAATGCGTGTTTGAGCAGAGTCGATTGGACACTTTGACGTTTCAGTAGAGACCTCAGCTGTCAAATTTAACGAGTCAATCCCGCCAGACATCACCTGCCTCTACCTGCAAACCAACATGTTTCTGTAATCCCACCAGCATCACTGCACTCTCCTCTTCCTCCCAAGACATCTGGCTCAAATTGGCCGAGGCCATTTAAAATAACAATGGGTACGTGTCACAAAATTAAGAATATTAATCTGTTTTCAGTGTTTTGAGAGCCTAACTGTAAGGTGTGCAACCCTATCCGACGAATTCCTGAATCCTCAAACTCTAGGTGTGATTTCCGGAAGAATTGCACGTGCTGGGTAGATTGTTGCATCCCAGGACTGTAAGGGATGGCGACGGCATAGGGAGGCTTTCATCCAGCAGTGGATCGATCATTGCTGTTGAAAATTATGACGATGATTCAGTTTTCAAAATTAAAAATTTGCCAAATATTTTTTCTGCCCTTGATGCTAATGTCTTTGGAGCTTAAGCATTGTTATTGCAGATTATTTATTCGTGCCTAATAAAAAGCTCAATCATCAGGATCTGTCTCATTCGGTAATTCTATTATGATGAAAACGACCGTATATGTATACAGCATACATGGTTCTTTGTATAAAAATTAATTGACGACAATTTGCTCAATATGTATTTTTCATGATATTCAGACATTAATTTCAAGCACATGCATGAATACAAGTGGAATAGCACAGAAACACACAGATATTTGGATGGAATGGGCATCAATCCCCAATACTTTTTATCAGCATCAGTCATGATCGTTCCAGTATTGGATGAAGGCCTCTCAAATCCATCTCCATATCTCACGGCCTTGTGGTGCAACGATATATGCAGCTTCTGCACACGGGCTGATGTCATTGTTCCATCCCCACGTACTTTGGGGCACGTTCTCTCCTTGGCCTTCCGCTCCATGGATAGTATTGTCCATCAGCCATCATCTCTTATAGCAATGTGCCCTGCCCAAAACGCACTTACGATGTCGAACTTGTATTTGCTCTATGAGTAATATGTTCCGTTTTCTGTCCCTTAGTGCAATTCCAAGCTCGACTGTCTGCGTACTTCGTTGTGCATTTCAACTATTGTTCCATTTGCTGTTGTCAATGTCTATGTTTCTGATCAATATATCATAGCAGGTAATATAAGCTGATTCTTTAAGCACGTTGGTTCATTGCTTTTCATTATCAAGTAAAATTTCCAACCTGGTCTCGTCTGCCTCCTGATTTCATCGTTTTGATTCCGGTCGGCCTTCGATAAACACAACCTGTATTTTTCAGGTCATCACATCCCATTCCATTGCATAGTCACTTGGTGTTTATCCAGCTGTTGTTTACAATGGGGTTTAGGTCACTCATTATTTGGCCTTGTGGCTGCATATTTGCCGGGCTGCTCTGTTTTATTTCTGCAATGAGCAGCTCCATACAAAGAATTTGTCATTGTTTTTATTATCGTCTCGAGCACTGGTTTATCCCAGTCCTCACAATTTCCCCTTCATCCTGTTTTTCATGTCCCCCAATCAACTAACACATGGAATTGATTGGTAGGCACTGGTAGAATGCAATGCAATATATAATTGGCAGATCATTTTCTACGTAGTTTTAGTGTGAATCAACAAGCCGGCTGGCTTAGAAAACCAAGGCGTTGCGGCCAAATTGGGGCCAGGAGGTTCGTATACGCTGGCCTACAATATTCGTACTACCGAATTGCTTTAGTGGAGTCGTGGGTTTCTTCCTGTGAACACAGTCAGCTTCAACGCCACCGCTGCTTTAGGTACAACAGAAAAACAGTCAGCCTTTTTAACTGCCCACTATCTAAGTCACTTTCACCGCACTTTTTCGCTGAAGCCAATCTGGGTTTAAAGTACGTCTCAACAGAAATGTCGAACACACATTCCACCGTTTAATGAAGCCTCAAGGTTTTGGTTGCGTAACCCTCTGCAGGACACCTTGACCCACGAGCCCATAAAGAGTCGCTCACAGGTGGATCCGTGTTTTTGTTGATACAATGTGGTTCGTGCCACAAAACCAGATTCGGTTACAATGTCGCCGTCCGTGCTATATACATGTAACAAGACGTGACGAATGCGGCCCAACTTCCCTCTGCCTAAAGCGTCTCGTACATCTTAACCACGCTTTTGGCCACAGGCCTCGAGTTCTGCTTTTTTTTCCTTAATTTTCTCTTTATTTTTTATTAACTTCCTCCTCTCTATTACCACACCCCGTCCCAGAGAGGCCACAAAAAGCTATGTAGCAGCGCCAGATTTTTGGGTTTTGTTTTTCTCAGTATTGGATTTCTCTCGCTCTCTCTCTCTCTCTCTGCGGCACATGCCACAACTCTACTCTGCCTTACGTGCGGGACCGTTCATTGCAGTGATAGAGTGCAGCCCCAGCACTCCCCATTAGCGCCTGGTTTTGCCAATCATCGCTGTCAAATAATGGTCGCCGAGGTGAAATGCATTCAGGCCGCACGACTTCACGGGAATAATCCCAAACCAACTCGCAAGCGCCTTGTGGAGCACGCGTCATTGTGCACACATTTGCGGACCGCACCGCCAGGTTTTCGCTCCCCCCACCCCCCACCCAAAGGGATTTTTTGTTGGCCCAGTAAGAAAGACTTGTTGAACTATTCCTGTTTTGTACTAGCACACGTCCATTCAAAGATGTGCTTTGATAAAAAAAAAAACGCTGCATTAATGATCACATGATAGAGAGGTGGAAATTCCTAAGTAGACCTTGATACATTGTTACATGGGAGGATTGTGAGAGATGGCGATGGCTTCGAGAGGCCTTCATCCAGCAGTGAATAGGTCATGCCGAGCTTTTGAGTAACACTGAGATTTGCTCTGTACTTTAGAGCTATGAGCATTTGTGTCTGTGAAATAGTGTACACGTTACAAATTGCATTATCATGTTGATGATGAAATGATTACTTACACAAAAACACGTACAGATGTATAAACAAATAAAATGTTTGATGTTCACAAAAATGATGAATGGATTGGTTGAGATAAGCATGTAATTCCCATTGGCATTAAAGGCATTTACATCACGAAATATCATGAGAAAAAACCCAGGTGCCTTACTATCCGAACACAACGTGAATACACGTATGTTCAAAAGAACAATCTATCAATGAGCTTTAAAGGTAAAGTCAGATTTTTTTTTTAAATATAGGTCAATAAAAATAAAGCTACAATTGAAAACCAGTTCCACAAGTATTATTAGCACGGTTGACTACGTATGGTGCGACAGAAGTTCAACATACATACATGAATCATGATCATCAGTAAAATATATCCTGAATGTCGGAAAGAAAAAACCCTCCCCCATAAACTATAGGGGAGGTGCTCCATAAAAAAAAGCAATTGGCACAGCCTGAAGTCTTAGCTCCAAGTCTTGGTTTTGACCAAACTTCATCAAGCTGGTCAATGATAGGTTGGTGAAAGGGGTGTACAGGAACGGTTCAGATATCGCTCGCCACTGACATTAGCCATGGCCGGGAATCAAACTCACGGCACCCGGGTTCACGGTGCGATGCACTAACCACTGCGCCATCGCTCCATCAATTATAATCAATAATAACGTTCTTACATTTCCTTCTTGAGCACTTGTTTTCGTTTGGAAGAAATTGGGAGTAGCCAGAGAATGCTCACACGTACTCAGGGCTAATGCTCGCTAAAACTCATCACAGTTAATAAAAAAACTAATTTCTGTACTAAACCACACAGACACGCTGCCGCCCTGCACGTGGGAGGTTCACGCAACGATCCATCTCGCCCACCCTCAACTCGCTGGATTACAGCCGTGCATCACTACGCCCACCCATAAAAACAACGCAAACACCCTATGCAGCCAATGACGATCCATGCTAACAGGAGAAAGAGCGTGCGGAATTTAACAGAGAAAAGGAGGCAAAAAATGCGGTGAAACAAGTTAGGAAAAGCCACACATAATCGTGGTTATGCTTTCCTTTCCAGCGTGTGTGTTGTCTGCGGAGGTAGTAGTAGGATATTTGCATATTGGCAAATGGTCCTTTTCGGTCTCGTTTGTGTCTCAATGTTTTTAGGAAACCCAACGTTCAATATTGCCGGCTGCCATTAGTCCCCAATAGCAACACTGCTCTAAAGTTTGGCTCGTATTGGACCAGGTTTGTGAGAGTTGTCATTCCCCCTTCGTGCCCCAGTCCCACCCTCCACCCCGGATAGATAGAACGGATATACATGCAGACAGATGGACGGACAGACAGATGGGTGGACGGACGGACAGGCGGACGAACAAAAACACAGACTGACAAACAAATGAACAGACACAGCTAATGCATAAACACTCTCGAGCTCAGCCGAAGAGAATGAAAAAAACGCTGCGGGCATGGCCCGTGTGGCCCTCACTTGAACTTGGCGAAGGCCTGCGTGGTGTACTCGCTGAGCGTGCCCATGTGCGACGCGTCGCCCTCCTCGAAGCGCTGGTTGGCCGCGGCCGACTGGAGCATGCGTGCCACAAACGCCAGGCTGCGGCGTTGCTCCGGCCGCAGAGTCTCCCCGGCGCCGAGCTCCAGCACGTCGAAGGCATCCGGCGCCACGATGGCCGGGTTCATGTAGCGGTAGTACAGCAGGTTCCCCACGATCTGCGTGAGCGCAGGGAACGCGAGCGCAAGGCACCGGGAGAACGAACTCACTCGACCGCTATCGGGAGGGGGTTGCCACCATCCGAAGTGCAAAACCAAAAAAATGGGAAGTGTCGTGGGAAGAGTGATATCTCACGATGTGTAAATGAGCGGTGTCTTGAGTGGTGTAACTTCACACAAGTGACAATTCCCGGGACAAGTGACAATATCCTGGGAAGACTTACAGATTACCCAATTTAGCTACCTCAAAAAGGTGACAATCCTGGAAAAATCCAAAACAAGTGGCAACTCTGATTATCGATAATCATGAGCAAAAAAATGGCAGCGCATGTATCTGTGTTTAGAAGTTACAAGGGTGTGGTTCAAGGTGATCTCAGAAGCATCTTCAAATGCGTGGTGCGTTCCATTGCTGAGCCGTGTGTGTTTGTCTGGCATCATGAGGGCTGGGGAGCGGTACTGTAGCGATTAGCGCGCTGCGCTACGAACCCGGCGACCCGAGTGACGATTAACTGAACCAGTCCTAGGCCTCCCCTAGGTCGATTCAACCTTAAATGAGTACCTGGTGAAATGTGTAAACATGGCACACTAGGGAGACAAAGGCGACCGGGCGTGGTGCTGGGCATCCACCCCCTCGTGTACCATTTCGGCCTTCATAGGTACTTACTAACAGGACTTTATGGGGGAGGTGTTTAACTTTATCTGGAATCATGAGGGCTGCCGTGACAAGTGGTTAACACAGCGTTTGCTGTTGTGGGACAGATCTGCTGGCAGGCGTGCTCGGGGTTTTTGAATAGTAAGTATATATGTATGTATGTTGAACCTCTTTCACACTGTACGGAGCTAACCGTGCTAATCGGAAGTGCGGGGTATGTCACAATACATCGATCCATCAATCAAAAATATTTCTTACAATCACAATATGTGCATTGCATCACATGTGTGAGAATCTACTACAATACAAAATTAGAATACAATTTGGATTTATATGGCAACCAAACGTCACTGCATCTCAAGATGCTGTGCGGGATAATAAAGTAGATATATTTTTATTTAAAAAATTATACAGCGAGTGAAAATGTACGCATATTTTACAAAAAGGTCACATTTAGGCTCGAAGAGCCAACCAAACTACTACATACTTGCATGTAATACAAAAAAAACATCCAAGAGAAAAAAACAAATGAGTGGGTAAAAACGATACAAAAACCAGGAATTCGATTATAGAATTTATTTTCGAGCCCCGGCTCATGGAAATTCATGCCATTGCTGGGGAGGAGAGGGGCAAATCTTTCCATACCTCGTGAATAACGTCGCTTATGAACAATAACGGTCTGGGGAGGCAGTGCACACACCCAGACGTGGTGGCGCACACCTAACCAGGCAGCACCGAGGCAGGGTTGGTGGCTCGGCCAGACATGAAACCATCATACATGTGAGACGTGCGTGGGTTTTCCTGGAGCAACGTGGAAACTGTTCTCAAAAGAGGAACCGGTGAAACATCCCGACGGGAGCAGGGCCCTCCTGAAAACATTTTCGAGACTCAACGGGATGTCATCACTGCCAATGTTACGAATCCAACCGCAATTCCAGCATCCCTCCCTTCCTTCTGTAAGATCAGCATCCAAATTCCAAGGTCTGTACTTACAGTACAGCACCATCTGGTTTTAGCCAATTAAATTATTTATTGCGTTATCATTATTATATTCTCCTGTGTGTTTAGCGTATCAGTTTCACAAGGTGTGGCCAATTGAAGTAACTCAAGCCAGACTGAAAAAAAAATCCTGGTATGACCTGATATATAAAAAAAAAAACGATGGAAACCACACACCGGGCAGGCATTGATATGAAGGGAAGCGCAACAACAGACGGCACTTTTGCAAACAAGTTTCAACGACTGACCTTGAAGAGGTCATCCTCCGTTGCATCTGGGAACTTCTCTTGCAGAGAGTTCTTGAGCACCTTGGCAATAAATCGCATGCCGTACCTGCGGCGAAGGAGAACGAGAAGGTCATCCCAATAAAACGGTCAACACTGTTATTGTGTCATTGCAGGTAAGTCATTTCACGATGACTAAAATAAGTTCCCACCACTGTGTCACAACCCCCACTGCTGGATGAAGACCTTCCCTTGGGGTGCCATTAATCGGAGTGGCTGTACTTCACCACGCTCGTCAACACGCGTTGGTGAAGCGGTGGGGCGGGGCCAGGACCGGTTCGGATATCGCTCGCCACTGACGTTAACCGTGGCGAGGAATCAAAACCGGCCAGATTCACACTGCATATGCGCTCACCACCGCGCCGCCGCTCGACCGCGCACTGCTGAGCAATGTGCACCAGTGAATGAAGAGCTTTGTGTAATAATTGAAAGGTAAACAACTCTGGACACGGCAGGTATTGAATTCGGATCACCGGGTTCATAAAAGCGCACCAACCACTGTGGGCACCACTTAGAAAGTGTTGCATTTAACGCAACGATTGTACAACGATAATGTGCAATGCGTGTACAGTAGCATTCATTTTCAAGATGTCCTGTGATCTGAATCGGAAAAAAAACCCTTCTGCGAATTAATATTTGTATTTAGTCTTAAGCGTATTTGTCGATTTGCTTCAAAAGCGATCGTATTCTGCAAAATTACAGTTTTATATTGAAACGGAGTGAATTTCCATCGGTGAAGTTTAGTGGTGCGTTTTGCAGCAACCGCTGCTAACTAAGGCAAGTTTGGTTTATTTAGAATGCAGCCATATCGAAAGATTATCCGATCTATTAACACAGAACTAGGTAAACATAAAAGTAAGTGTGGGGGATTAGGAGATGACACTGAGCTTGAGTGCTGTGATCATTCATCAGACGACCGAGCTGTCATTTTGCCTGCTATGCAAAGACCAGCACAGCAAATTACTATGTTTAAACATACATAACTTATCTGGGTCGCTTAAGGTCTATTGCTCATATCAGAGCACCAGGATAAGAGGCCCTGGGTTCAAATGTGGGCAGTCGCTCGTGATTTAAGCAAACTCTCAAAAGCAGTGGTTTCTGTCAAGTCACCGATGATTGCACAAAAAAGTATGATGTGATTTTTTTTACTTAATTCAGCTTAGAGAAATCTGAGAGGTAAAAAAATAATATGAGGTAATGTACACAAACTACTTGTTGCAGAGCATCGTGGAATGTTAAGTCAGAGGAATCAGTTAAAGTGACTAGAGAAGTACAGTACTTATCAATTATAATATCGGCTTTAATTGTCATGTATATTATCTACAGTACATTGCTTTACTTTTTAAAACTAACTATTTTGTGTCTTATATATCTGAAGTGTTGGGCATTCATGCAAAAATATATATGTAAAGTGCTCTGAGACACTTTTATTGCTGTGAGGTGCAGCATTGGTTTATACAAGCCTAACTTTGCTGATGAGACCCTGAATGTTGAAAGCGGTCCAGAATGTCCTTACATCATACCCATTCTGCTTAAAATACGCACTCTCAGAAGGCAATGCGGCCGATGGTTTGTGTAAAAAAAACAAATTCTTACGTGGAGATACATATATGGGAGGGTATATTGTCTTTGTATTCATCTTGTTTCAATCAATAAAGACCGAGTGACTGATTGAACGCGAGGCTCTCACGGGATTTTGTCGAGGGCGGCGATGATGGAGGAAAGAACTTTGTCGGTGGCCGTACGCAGGCTCTGCAGTGAGATCTCGAGCCTCTTGCGCACCTCCTCGTGCACCAAGGCCTGCTCCGAGGTGACGTCATATGGCAGATTGCTGCACGCAGCGAGCAGCACCAACACACACAGCGTGAACAGAACCGAGCGGTTTTGTCAGTAAACTTTTTTGAGGTTCGCCCTCGTGACAAAATATTGTCAAAGTGATTGGCGACGATTCTAACTGCTTTCTGGGACAAGGACATTGTGTAGATTTCGGAGCGATTCCAGTCATGCATTAAGGATCCTGCATCAGGTTCCTATCCTTAATATTTGTTACACTGTCGAGTGATACTTCTGCCTTCAGGACTTGGCAACAGGGAAAACGCAACACGGTTCAGGAGGCCCACCACAAGGCTGAGAAGGGAAGCTGTCAAAACAACAAGGTCACAGCAAGGTCAACCATTCTGAAAGTCTCTGTCACAAATAATTTGGAGAAAACCTGTTTTCCTATTATTCAAGGTTACAATATGAGAAATGTATCCACGTATGTGTCGCCGGTCTGCCCTGTTCCTCTCCCCCCACGGTGAATCCTTGCGAGTGGGACAGGTCGGCGAAGTAGACAACAATAACAATTCAAATAATAAAGTTAGGAGACAATGAGTAGGAACTCTGCGTTGTGTTCTGTCCCTCTGGAGAAGTGGGCGACTCCACAACAACAGAGCACCAGGCGTTTGTGAAACGGCAAAACTTTATTTCGAAGTCTTCTTCAGAAGGGCAATTGCGTATCTGCAATAGCGATCAGAAACACCCTCCACGTCACAACACCGCAGTTAAATTTCTCAGCACGTGGGGCACGGGGTCCAATCTCTGAATTCCATTGCTTTCTCATATAATAATAATAATCGCACCTGGCTACCCTCAGCCACACAACATGGTTACTTAGGTTCCCATATGCTACAGAGTGCACAATTGTACGTGTGATCAATCACAGGTGAGCTCACACTGGCAACGTATGCCTAAGTTGGTGGATCAAGCAGAGGTCATCATTTGTGTAAAAGAGACTACAGGGGCAGAAGAATATCAAGATGTTAAAGAACTACAAGTAGGCTGCTGATCTGCCTGTATGGATTTCTTTATGGGTGTTATCTTCTTACGTCCGTGGGTTTTCTCCGGGCACGTTGCTTTCCACCCGCGTGAAATGTCTCCAGAAGGAATTGGATCAAACACCACAAGCGCCTCTCTCCGATGTGCTTTCTGGTTGGCGTCAAGTCCTACGTCTCCCATCTTCTCTCATGACAATAATAACAATTTTCTAAGCGCCAACACATGGCAAGCCGTTACAAGGGCGCTGGCAAGGCGATCTTTCGGAGCTATTGTCCATCTCTGGCGCACGAACCGATCTCACCGCTCTGTCTCCACCGTGAACGTCCTTCCGAGCATTGTGGCCACTCCTTCGTTAATCTCAACCAGCAGCCGTCATCCCATCGAGCGGCGAGTTTTTTCCCCCAAGCCCACTTACTTTTCTTAACAGGCAATTTTCAAATTGGCCATGAATTAAAGTGTCCCAAGTGACAAATATGAAAGCCCTCTGCAATCAAATAAAATGGGTTCTTTAACCCAATGTGAGAGAGCGAGCAATATTTGTATTCATATTAACGTTAAATGTAAGTAAACCTGCAGCTATTGTTGAAGAGACTTCACACAGAATCTCCTGTGTCATGAAACTCAATGCCTCTGTAAATAAAAGTCTGGGTAATTATTTTCATACTTGCGCTTTTTTATTTTTAAGATGAGCAAAGAGTATCGCGTGTCGGTGTTTGAGAGCGCACAGAAGGAGGACGGCAATGGAACCCCCCCCAACGTTACCTCATCTCTCCCGTCTGGCTCTCCATCTGGTTGACCCAGGCCTTGTAGATCTCCACGGGGTTGGTGTTGACGTTGAAGGACTTGTCCTCAATGATCTCCTTGACTAGGGGCCCCAGGAGCGTCTGCATGGCGTTCTGGCCGCGCACGCCTCGGTGAAACGTCACCACCATCTTGATGACGGTGGGGTTTCCCGTCACGATCTCCTGCAGGTGGTCGACTTTGGACCTGGCAGGAAAGGTAGCACAGTGGTCCCTCGGTTTTACGATGCCAACGATTTTCGATATTTCGATGGACGATCCGCCTCCCATAGGGTACCATTGTTTCTATTAATGATACATTTCCGATTAACGATATGTTTACGATATCACGCGGACCCGCCAATTTCGGCCAATCAGAGCGCTCCTAACTGGACTCAGCAGACCTCAGCCAATCAGCGACACGCCTTTTTATGAGCATTTTGAGAGAAATTGGTTAGCTTTAAGCCATCCATCTTCTTAGCCGAAGGTAAGAATTTTCATTTCAAGCTCTTTTTATGCACCTTTATATGGCATATTTATTAATTATTTATCTTTTAGCTTTTTATGAATGCGTTACTATGTTTTTAGAACGTTTATTTATCAAAATTGCATGTTTAAATATCAGAAACTATGTTTTTAGGGTAAAAAAGGTCAACTTCCGATCATCTTGGAACAAATTAAGCCTTTAACATGTATTTGCTGTATTCGATTAACGACAATTTCAATTAACGATGGTTTTCGTGGAACCAATTAATATTATTAACCGAGGGACCACTGTATGTATGTATGTTGAACTTCTTTTGCACCGTACGCAGCCAACCGTGTTAATCAGAGGTGTAGGGGGAAGGACAACAAATTAAACATGAAGAGCAGTTTCAAAGAAATGAGTTTTCAATAAAAAAATATTTTCGATCTATAGGAGTGGCCCATGTTCAAGGTCCAAGTTGATGTTGTAATAGCCAGGTGAGAACTCAAAGCAGAACTCAGGACGAGTTGAATTTGCGAGAGTGACCCGGGTCACCGAAAAACGGCAAAAGCAAAACAAATACAGCACGGCAATGAAGCAAACAGAAATCAGGGCGGTCAACAGAAGCGTCACTCGAGCATTCGAAAATACTACACAAATATGATGCCTGCTGTGTATTTGGAGTTTGCATGTTTTCCCTGTGGTCGCGTGGAATTTCTCCGGGTCCTCTGGTTTTTCCCTCCACGTGCAGCATCATGCGTTTAGAGTATTTGGCTGCTATAAATTTCCACACGATAAGCCACTTTGTTGAGCTATCATTTGTTGCCAGGTTGCTTCTGAAAAAGAGCTACATAGCTCAGTTGACCTTACCAGGTAAGGTCAACTGAGCTAAATAGCAAAAGACCCAAAGAAAAAAAATTGTTTACCATAAAAAAAAATAGTTTAGTTTACAGTTTTTTTAAGCGAGGCACTTGTGGCTCTAAAATACGTGCCTGCTTCAAAGTCCATGCCTCTCCCATTCCACTAAAGAGGTAAAAGGTAAAGGTAAAGGTGCAGCCATGCATTTGCCTGCTCTGTGCCACCACTGGCAGAAGGGCTATCACTAGAAGGGATATCAAGACCGCCACTCTTAGAGGGTTTTATTCCTACTCTTCCACAATGGCCGCATGTCTTAGAAGAGGTGGAAGTACCCACACTTTACCCCACCACACGTGACCTGCCAATCGACTAACTGTGATGTAACCGTTTGTGCTGCTGGGTGGATAGAGTGGCAGCGCGTTTAGGATTCAAGAAGCTTGTGCCAATGTTGAAACTGCCACGATGAGAAATTGAAGTCCAGTGTGCTCACCATTACATCCCCCTCGTCCGATATTGTGAGATCGTCTTCTCTGCTTGCCGTGATACATCCCGCTTTTTGTTCCCCCTTCCCCATACCTCAGAGGTTTGACGAAACCGAACGAGCGCGGCCACCGCTTACTTGATTTCCTCCTCGAGCGCCGACTTGAAGAGCTTGAGCAGTAGGTACTCCTCGCGTTGGTTCGATGCGTAGTTGTACAGCGTAAAGACCACCGAGTCGACGAACTTGGTCGACTTGTTCTGCGGCATTAGGAAGATGAGCTTGGCCAGGTAGGACGGATTCGTCTGGTGGAACAAAACACAGCGGTTTAATTCACCCGTGTTTATATTCACGTATGTACACGATATATATGTATTCTTGGGTCTTTCGGTAATGTCACGTAGATAGGTTCAAAGGAAATAACAAAAAACATGAAGAACGCTTGTGTTGCGATCGAAACGTCGTAGTTTTTTGTTATTTTCTTTGACCCATCTACGTGACTTTACCGAAAGGCCCAATAACATGAATTCCTGCAGTCACGAAAGCTTTAAGTCAAGATTTATATACTTTGAAACACAGAAACACTGTATGTGAAGCGATTGAATGTTCTTGCAGAATTTGTATGTGATTATATATAATTAACATGTATTTGTTATGTATGCCGTATAAGTAATGAGTGTTTATTGACATACATTTAAATATATTAAGTGTATACACAACTGGCCGTCTCGTGTAGCGGTAGAGTGCATGACTCGCGTGACTCGCGAGTGGAAGTTTGTGAGTTCAAGTCCCGGTCAGAGGACCACTCTGCTCGTCATCCCTTCGGCGAGGATAAAATAGGTACTGCTTCATAGGGACGACAGCAGTTGTCGTTCTATGGAAATGCTCACCTCCACCATAGGAATGTGGAATTTCCACCTCTGGCTCAGAGTTGTAAACAGGTAATGAGTACTGCCTCATGCTCAAATGAGCAGGGAGCCACTGAGGTATTGACATTGCATTACATACACATACAAAGCATTCAAATAACGCCATCACTGCAGATGGCTTCCCAAAATGTAGTCACGACACAAGCATGCAATTAACTCTATTTTTTTTTACTATTTACTATATTTATTTTACCAGGTATGGCCCACAGAGCTACGTGGCTCTTTATCAGAAGCGACCTGACCACAAATGATAGCTCAACAAAGTAACTGATCATGTGGAAATGTATAGCGGCCAAATACTCCGAAACGCATGTTTCTAAATGTTAGAGGGAAAAACCGGAGGACTCGAAGAAAAATCCACACGACCACAGAGAGAACACGCAAACTCCAGATATACAGGTGTCAGGGTTGGGATCGAACGCACGACCTCCTGGATACCAGGCGAGGTAGTTAATATCTCGCCACTGCACGAATTATTTGGTAGTATTGCGTTGGCAGATGGTGCAGCATTGGCAGTGGCATGCAATAATGTGCTATGATGAAGGGCCACTGCCCGAAACGTTGCCTTTTATATATTTTTCCTTTCAAGGGCACACGGTGTAATTGAGGAACATGTTGGATTTGTTATATTTGTACAGGTTGCTCTCTGAAGGCTGACTGATGGTGGAACTAGCAGAACAGAAGGCATTTATCAGATGCTTCATGCAATGTTCTGGGAAAATAAGCACTGCATAAGCCATTCCCTTAAATTAGGGACCAGATTTCCTACTCAACATGTAGAGCATTCCTCTTCGGAGTTTCAAACTCAACAGCCAGTTATAACATGCCCAAGGCAGCCCCCGGGTAAGCCAATGTGAATCCATTTATTATTTTACACGTTAAGCATGAAGCCGGCGTGAAAAACAAACAATCCCTCGCCACGCTCTACCACAGGCAGACAGACAGACGGCCGCTGAGCCAGATCTGTTCATGTTTTTCTGGTCAGGCCGCAATAAATAACGAATTTTTCAGGCAACTCGACGGTTTTATATGGAGGGGTGACATCAGACTAGAGGGCTAGGTGATAAATTACAAGACAGCGAGAGAGAACATTCAACCACTCCAGTAGTAACGTTGGCGCGTACGCCACAAGGTGGTTTTTTTCTTTCTTCTGGGTCTTAAACACACAAACTAAGTTTTATAGGCCACAGACATCTAATTGCTGGAAATGTCCGGGCAACAGCAAACAAATAAAGTTATGGGAGGTGGCCGGGTGACTCAGGGACATCAATTCCCCCCCCCCACTGTGAAGATCCTGGGTTCGAATCCTGGATTTCAGCCAACTGTGATCTCAAGCCCCCAGTGAAATGGTGGTCTCAACCTGGTCACAAATGGATGCGCAAAGAGCCATCGCATTCAATTTTGGTGGGATTGACTTGTAACAAAGAACCTTTTGCAGGGCATATAAAAGGGTTGTCTCCTGTATGAATAACAGGCTACTGAGGTGACTTCAGTAGTGGCTTTGTGACACCTTCCAAAGCTATTCTCCAGCACAGCGGGTGATAGCTTTCACGGCTTTCTGCAAGGTTACAAAGACAAATGTCTGCATCTCATGAAACAATGCCGACAGCACAACGGTAAGTCAATGGGAAATAAAATATATATATGATCCTTTAAAATTCCTGCGTGGAATTCAACTTGCACTTTCTTCCGCATTTACGTTCTATCCAATTTCGCCACACGATTGCTACTCTAAAGGGGTTGCCCTCGTTTCACAGCGCTCTTTCCACAGCCAGAAGTGGTCTCAAATGAGCCATGCGCGACCTGTCACGGGGGGGTCACCATCCGTGTGAAGAAAAACAACGCTCGCGTGAACCCTTGTTGGAAACTGGAGGGGGGGGGGGGCGACGAGAGGCGTCTTCCACAAGAGGGGACTCCACGGAATGTTCACTGATTTTCTCAGGGCGCTGCCCATGAGGGCACGAGGCTCATAGGGGCGTGGAATGCTCTTCACGCTCGCACCTGTTCAGTCCGCAGCGGCCACAATAACGGTGCTCACGTGCGCGAGTAATCAAGAGCTCGAGGCTCAATATGCTACCTCACCTGATGAGCGCTGCCACGGGTTTTCTCCTGTAGCTTAACATTCCGTGTTACCGGTCGATTGATGTGAATCCGAACTCTTGACAATTGCTTTGTGTTGAGTCATAAATTATGTCGGTAAGCTCGTGGCAATTTATGCTACCGCACCACGCCATTGCTTCATTTCTTCTGCCAGATCCTAAAGATGTTATTGTTGGACAACTAACTTTCAAGGTCCGCTATTAAAGTCTCATCACCACCATCCTGCTGTAGGGCTTGACCTTGGTCGCTAACGTCTTGGTACCACTCAGTTGACTGGGTAACCTGACCTCCATCCTCCACATATCTAAATTCTAAGCTGGAAACGAATTTTCGCAACTTAAAATCCCACTCAGTGATCAACTCACCACTTCATACCTTTGCGGGATTCCAGCAGAGACTTGGCAGGGCTGCTCAAAAAAACGTTCGTAAAGCGTGACAGCCCGTGGGGAAACTTTGGCATTCCCAATTTAGTCCGCGCTCAAAACAGGTTTCACTCTTCTGTGATTTGCTAACGAAAAGCCCTTAGACGAATGAAGCGAACAAAAATTAACTAATCGCAACCCCCCTAAATCTTGACAATTCATCATGTCTCTGGATGGGTGAAATCATTACATTCCAAATCATTGTAATGTCCACAAAACTGCCTCCACAATCCAAATGTAGAATATAGCTCTTACGTAGATATGGATTTTTGCATGCTTTTACAATACCCAAATCCATGACTGATAGCTGCATCCAAAGCCGAATGTTCATCAGTCATCACTGGGCTTAACTTCACTTGGATCTGTCTGTATTGGTGACCCAGATAACGTTTTGGCACCTGGTACACCACATTCAGTATTTCTCACGCTATGCCTGCGACTAAGAGTCACATGCATGCTGCAGTCTACCAGCGACCCAGATGATCTCCATGAGAAGTTTAACACACAAGCGGTTTAAATGACCAGGCCATACAAAACCACCTGCACGTTTCCTCCGAAAAAGGGAAACCCAAGGTGGTGTTTGTAGCACCCCACCCTGGAGCCGCCGCACTGGAGCCTGGAGCCATCGCTCCGCTCTGCCCGGTGGGGTTGAGCTCAAGCGTCGCCACGGAGTTGGGGGTGTGCTCGCAAAAACGGATGACGCGGACGCTCGGCTCCTCACCTGGAGAAGGTAGAAGAGGTGCTGGTAGGCCTCCAGTCTCTTGCGTTTCTCCAGGCTGAGAGACTTGAGGCCCTTCTGCTGGTCGGCCACCATCATGCCCTGCAGCTCCTCTCGGTTCTTCTTGTTCAGCTTCTTGCTGTGCATCACCACATCCTTTGGCGGAGGCAGTGGGTGAGGGCCACATTAGGAGGCTCGGTCGCACGAGACGCAATCAGGGGAAACATTGGCCCCTCCTTGTCAGTGCTTTCCCACTATGGTTGAAAGCCTGTTGGTCTGGCCACGTGTCACTAGCAGGCACTGTAGTTCTCATAAATATGATTCATTATGAGAGTATAATGTTGCATTACTGTTAGAGACCTTCCCTATTAAAAACCGGTCACATCGGTCAAAGGTTTTGCCGAATACTTGAAAACACATTTCAAACAGCCTTTGGCCACGTGAGGCTGATACCACATTGAAATGGCCTGCTAACTATTTATCCTTCAGTGCAAGCATCTTAGCCGCACTAATCAGGTACAAGAGGAGAAGATGATCTGCCAACACTTCCGTCACTTGCAAGAGGCCCCTATGACCAGTGGCAGACCTCTGACCAACGTGCGTGTGTTCATGTGTGACCACAAAGGAAATTTTAAAGTCCTATTCGGGCCTCAATAAGTCATCTGATGGTAAACAGGGAGAGAGAAAAAAACCCACATCACAACATCGCCCCTACAGGCATACAGAATCAGAATAAGTATTTATAGTGGAGGAATCTGATGAGCTATTAAGCTCTTTTGAATGTGCAAACGGCTAAGTGTTTTTATATATGTTGAACTTCTTTCGCACCATATGTAGCCAACTGTGCTAAGCAGAGGTGCAAGGGAAGGACAACAAACTACACACAAAAATCTATTTTAAAAAAATGCAATCTAGATTTAAAAGTGCACAGCTCCAGTAGCTTCCTAATATCAGATGGAAGGCGTTCCAGATGGCCGCAGAAATGCATGTAAAAAGCGCTGCATTTGCGGTGACCGTCTTTGTTCAACGTGAAAGCGGCCAGAGACCTGCAGGGTGATGCGGTTCTTGACAAGCAGCCCGATCTTGATGTCCATGGTGTTGAGGTCCTGCTCGAGCTGCTGGTTGGAGCGAATCGTGGTGACGACCTCCTCGCGCAGCCGCATGATCTCCAGCTCCTCCTGGATGTCCAAGTCACTCTGCTCCAGCAGATGCACGAACTTGCGCAGCACAGGCAGCGGAGGGTTGCTGGCGCCGACTGCAACGGGAGCGTAGGAACAGTTAAGAGCAGAAAGAAAAGCGGAGTGGCAAGGTGCCTCAGAGGGATCATATTAGATACTCCAGGGCGAACTGACACTTCCGAGCCCCTGGTCTCAGCTGAGTCAACCAATGTCTGTTCAAACAAATCAAAACCAAATCATCAATAGTCATGTATGTATGTATGTTGAATGTCTTTCGCACCGTACATAGCCAACCTTCCAAATCTGAGGTGAGAGAAAGGACAACAAACTAAACACAAAAAGCAGTTCTAATGAAATTAGTGTCCAAACTAGATTGGAAAGTGCATAGCTCCAGTGGCTTTCTCATATCGAAAGGAAGAGCGTTCCAGACTGCCGCAGAAGCGCATCTGAAAGGCCTGCCCAAGGCATCACCATCTCGTACGGTTTGACGATGCGACAATATATACCTTAAACCTATACGTGAGCTGATATCATTGTTCAATCCATACGGCCATCATCCCTTCTAGCTATTAAACTGCCCAAGTCCACCGACTTTTCTAAGCAGTCATTATTGAATCTCTCGAGCGCCTACATTCTCTCTCATCCATGTGTTCCTCTTTCTCTCTCTCGGTGCAATGCCAAGCATGTAACGCACCATGCTCATTAACAATATTGTCCAGATATGGCATAGAGATCAGAAACATTGACAGAGAGAATAGGACAAAAGCCGCAAAAATATGCAATATTTCCTTGATAAATTTAGCATTGTATATTCATTTAATTTATTCATCACGCATAGTCAGCCATTGTATAGTTCTGAGGAAAGAAATATCTGATTGATTGCCATGTGACAAATACGTTTTACAAGACATGTGTCACCCAGTGTGGATAAGAGGCTTACTGAACACAATTAGGAAGTGCCTCTCACGTCATCTTGCAGAGGCCGTTTTATGACAAGACGCGGGAGTTGACAACTCATTGGAGAAGTTGCTGATGAAAAATTAACTTGTCTCATGGAATGATGCTAGCATCGCAATTGGATGTCATCATTTATGTGATACGTATTTATGGCTTTCTCTCAGATCAAAATAGAATTGTTAAAATAATGCAGTTTTCTGTTTACCGATTTTAATATATGTTATACTACAGTACATACATTTTTCCGTCTGATTTTGATCATGAGGAAGTGATATTGTCGTTGATGATGAAAATGAAGAAGTGATATTGTTGATGATGACACTCATGTGATATTGTTGATGATGATGATAATATACATCTGCGTCTGGCTATAAGTGTCATATGGATGAGATGGTGCTGTAACAGGGGAACGGAAGGACGAAATGGAGCTTAGGTGGCCAGCCGAGGGCCACACACATTCAAACACAGGCTTACCCACTAATCCAGCTGATCCTTATACAGTATTCCATCGTTATTCACGAAATTGCTATCCACGATTCTGACTATCCGCAAATCGCATCTGGAACTCGACACGACGACTGCATTGAAAGAAAGAAAGTGATGAGCTAAAGTGATGAGAGAGAATGTGATGCGAGAAAATTATGAGATAAAGTGATGAGATAATTGTTACTACAACCTTCTACTGCGTAACATCATAATAATTTAAGGTAAGTTCATTTATCATATATTTATTTTTATTTACTTTAAGTTTATTACAACAAATGTTTTTGTGTTATGATAATCTTCATGTATTTAATAGCTTATGTATGTATTTCTTTAAGGTAATTCATTAAAAAATATATATACGTTTTCGTAGGCCAATATCATTATCCGTGAAATGTGCTATTCACGGGCATCTCCGGAACTTATCTCTCGTGAATAATGAGGGAATACCATACACGTTAACACCCCCTTTGGCCTTCCGTGCCGTGAACTTTTTGTTAGTAGCTCCACTTCAGAAATCATAAGGTAAGCAAACAATGCAATTCACATTTAGTTGCATCTGATCGAGATGCGACATATTATTTGGCACTCTTCATCTCCGTTCCTGCTGGAAAGTGTTCACACCGATTTCCATGGCAGTAAAAGGCGTGACGAAGTTCAATTCGGCGGCCAGATTAATCGCAATATAAAGTGTCAGGTGTGGCATTGCCGTAAAACTATTAAATTAATAGAGGTGTAACAACCTCCATTCCCCCATGACAATGCCATGTCAATATTTATTTATTTCTAAAATTCACATTGCGGTGCATGATAGCAGCTCTAGTGGCTGATGGTGGTGACATGAGCGTGTTCCAATAATGTGTACGCATTGAAACATATCAATTCTTATAAATACGATTCCACGCATGTATTCACGAGCTTCAGAGTCAATATGAATCAATGCCCTATAATTCCAACAAAAACACCCTTTGTAATAATAGAATGTTTTTTTTGCCAGGAGTAGGCCTGTGCTATTTTACCAAGACTAGCTAGACAAGTGAACAGAACGAGACATTTATATTGTGACCAGAAGGAACCTGAAACCTATGGTATTGATGATGGCCTATGCATGACCTATGACCTGTGATTTTAAAAAAACTGCAACCAAAATTTCCCCATGATAACTTTATGGCATTGAGAAAAATTGCAGGCATTGGCGTCCGGGCTGAGGCCATCAACCTGCTCTGCACGACAGCCAGGTGTAATCACCAGCACCCCTATGGAAAGGGAACTGTTTACTCATGCTGTATTGATAATGTAATATTTGCAGCGCCATGGACAATAAAGCATCCATGAAGGCCAACGCAGCACACGAGGAGGTGGGTGGCTAGCATCACGCCTGACCGCCTTTATCTCCCCAGTGGCGATGTTGACACACTCCACCAGGTACTCATTGGAGGCCTAATCGAACTAGGTAAGGCCCAGAACTGGTTCAGTTAATCGCCACTGGTTGTTGGGCGTGAGCAGCAATCGAACTCAGGCCGCTAGGTTCAGAGTGCAACCCGCTAACTACCGCACCACCGTTCCCCAAGAGAAAAGGCACAACTGCATACTCACTCAGTATTCTGTAGTCATCCCTCGCCTTGTTGGCACGCAAGAAGGCTTGAATCTTCACTATTTCTGGTATCTGAAAATGACAGGCAGAAATTCGCAAACAAATCATCATTAGAGCATGATATATTCACAGCTGGAAAAAGGCTTCCGCAAGCTTCACCAACTCTCATCTAGCAACAACACAAGGACATCATTTCATCACTCCATCTCTGCGGTATGTGTCATGTCAGGAGTCTTCGTTTCCTTGGCTGCCACTCCCTCGTGAGTTCTCGATCACCAGCCGTCGTTGAACCATCATGCGAACTGCAGTCATCGTCGCAGCAGCGGCTCTTCGCTAACCATCGAACAAAGACGGTCAACTGCATCGCGCGCTTTCAGATGCACTTCTGCGGCCATCTGGAACGCTCTTCCTTCCGATGTCAGAAAGCCACTGTCGATATGCACCTTTAAATCTCGATTGAAAACGAATTTCTTTATAACTGCTTTTAGTGTTTAGTTTGTTGTCCTTCCCCCACACCTCCGATTAGCACGGTTGTCTACGTATGGTGCGAAAGAAGTTCAACATGTATACGTACATCCCTTACAGCAACGTGCCCAGCCGAAGCCTACTTAATTTTATGAACAGTCAATACGATATCCCTGACTTTGTGTATGTCCTCGAATCCACGTCCTAAAACAACGTCCACAGACATGTGCTCTTTGTGGGTCTCTGTGTTATTCCCAGAAGCCACCTCTCAATGCACCTTTTTTACAGTCGCCAAATTCACAAAAGATATGGCAGTCTGCTGACTTTAAAAAGATTATAAAACATCGACACATAACATTTTAAGAAAGAAAAAAACCCTTTTGGCAATGATCACATCTATTAATTATTATCTTAACCACTAATTAATTAAAATAAGACAGGAAGCCCAATGACTGAGCTTTCTTGTGAAGTGGCAAATTAATCGAGACATAATTTTTACATGTGAGATGAAAACCAGAGTGCCCGGAGAAACCCGAACACATAGAACAGGGATAACACAACACAGAGTCTTCACAGATAGCTCGACAAGTGACTCGCTCTTACTGCCTCGTGAAGACGCCCTCATAGCCCTGCAGTTGGCTGTCTCACATTCGTGATAACCTCTGTGTCACCCCCCAGAGTTGGCGATTACCAAATCTCATCAGATATCAGACGAAAAGCTTGGATGAGCCTGGTTAGCACGTGGATGGGACACTGCCAGGCCGGATCAGGTTTTATAGACTTAGGCTGCGAGGAAGACAGGAGATGGGAATACGGAAATTGATTCTCGAACATGTTTTGCGCAGAGCTTAGAGTGTTCTCCCCTCATCTGCATGGCCAAACATCCCAATGTAGGAGTCTCATGAAAGAGGGTCTTGAGACTCAATGAGGTTTTCCTGGGGTATTTCTATTTATGTATCTATATTAATAACATGTTATATTACAGGGATGCTCAACCATAAACCCACCTGATCAAAGGACGTTTCTGTGGTGGACATCCACTGCAGAGGTGGAGCGATAAAATCTGCTTTAGTGCAGAGAGCTAAAAGGGATCGCTGCATCGCGAGACCATGAGAGACGGAAATGGACCGGGTAGAACTTCATCCAGCTTGAATAGATCACAGCTGACGATGATGATGACCACACTAAAACTAAACTATGTTTTGAGCCGCATAAGCTCTTTTTCAGAAGTGACCTGGCTATCACAAATGATAGCTCAAAGAAGTGGCTTATCGCGTGAAAATGTATCGCAGACAAATTCTCTGAACGCGCGTTCATTCTAAATGTGGAGAGGAGAAAAAATCCACGCAACGAGGAAAACATGCAAACTAAATATATGGGCGTCAGGGTCGGAATTGAACCCACGGCCTCCTGTATACCAGGCGAGGTGATTAACATCTCGCCACCGCGGCGTCCACTAAACGAACTTTACATCACTAGGTACTGCACTCCGTACTCACGTGGTCTTGGAAGAACTGGAGGCGCGCGCGGTAGCGCTTGGCAGCAAGCCACATCCGCACCCACGCCTGGATCTGTACACATAAATGCGGACACGGGGCGGTGGGGTGGGCAAATGCACAAACGTCACCATTGCAGGGGTTAGGGCGACAAAACTTTCGCCACCCCCCGCCCCGCATTGTACCACCGAGAGAAGGAGAACCATTGGCATAAATCTTTGGTTCTTTCGGTAAAATCACGTAGGTATAAAATAAAATAAATTAAATCACGACGTTCCGGGCGCAACACAAGCATCCGTCATCAGGTGGGACAGCACAACAAGAAACAATTGCTGAAGCGCCCGAAACGTCGTGATTTAGTTTATTTTATTTTATACCTACGTCACTTTACCGAAAGAACCAAAGAGTATGGATCCCTGCAGTCACGAAAACGCCAAATCTAGATTGGCAGCCGTCACTACTGAGCCGACGGAAGGGACAGACGACAATGATGATGAATGGCAGACACGAAGGAATCGGAGGGTCCACTCTTACCACCACCACCACCAACCCAGATAAACCCGCACGCTGAGAACCGTCGGAGCCTTGAGCATCACCTTTATGGCTGCTGGCGTGTTGTCACGGAGCAGCTGCAGCCGTGCGCGGAAGACCTTCCGCTGTTTGCATCCTCGCCAGTAGGCCTGAGAGTGACAACATAAGCACACGGCTCACGCCGGAGCACCACGGACGTTGATCGTGGAACAACACCGCACACAGGCACCGTATACGATGTGCTCTGATATATTACTCACGGGCATGATATGCAATGAAGACTGATATGTCTTGGACAGGTACAATATACACACAGACACGATACACATTGACAATTAAGTTTTAGGCACAATATGTCTATCATTGGGGGAGCGGCGGTGCAATTGTTAGCGCAATGGACTATGAAGCTGACAACCTGGATTCGATTCCCGGCCACCGCTAACATCATGGACAAGTGGTATCTCAACAAGTCCTGGGCGCTACCCCCTGAATCAACCCGCACTGACCAGCATGGTGAAGTATATTCGACCCCCATGGCCAACGTGGTAGGAGAAGGCCTTTATCCAGCAATGGATTGACATTATTACTCCACAGGGTCAAGGCACATTGTACATTCGATTGCCTTGATTATGACAGGCACCGTCCAAGTCAATTTGACCGGTGCTGACAGTTTTGCTGAGCATGCAGATTTTTGGTAAAGACACCATGAATGTTAACATGTAAAATAATATTAACAATGCATAATTTAGGATTACAACTTAAAACTGCCATGTGTTGCATATAACTCTTCCTTTTGATATTAGGACGCCACTGGAGATATGCACTTTTAAACCTAGATTGAAAACAAATTTCTTTAGAACTGCTTTTAGTGTTTGGTTTGTTATCCTTCCCCCTACACCTCCGATTAGCATGCGTGGCTACGTATGGTGTGAAAGAAGTTCAACACACATACATTGCAAATTCATATATTTAAAAGTCCCTAGTGAGTTAACAAACGAATTGGGTATTGACTCACCTCATCATCCCTTAGGGGTCGGGAAAATAATAAAAAATATATATTAACCAGCAGTACAATGGCTGGACCCCCACCATGGCAATGTCGAATTTATTCCACCGGCTCATGGATCACAATTTAGTGTATCACCCCACACTAATTTCAGTGGAAAAATATAAAACTTTCTGATGTGAGAAAACATAATTCAGACAGCTTAAAAATAAGGTACATTGCAATCACCAACATACTTTTACCAGCCTTCTGTCCAGCCACTACTGGACGAGGCCACCCCCCCAAGCCATTTCAGTGATAAGGGCTATTTCACGATACCTTACCACGCTTCACAAAACGGCTGTATGAGCATAACTTGACAAAAGATAACTTTTGAACTGGCCCTTGCCAAAGGAATGTGAAATGGTGAGCAGTGTCCAAGGACCTCCACAGGAGAATCACGCCAAACAGCTGCTCGTTATTTAGAGCACAGTTGCACATCGGTAAGCTGTGTCAGCAAAGGGCAGGGCAAATAAATCCACATTTGTACTGTTCTAAAGCTTCAACTGCTATGCTCCCCGCCTTCACCAAACCCACGACATCCGGCGTTCGTGAATTACGGTCAAACAGCCACCGCTGTGTGGGAAGACCCTCATCCACAGCGGCGGACGGACCAAAGGTGCCCCCGAAAGTGTACATGTGCACCGCTCTGGTTTGGCTGCAGTCACACAGTGGCAGGAGTAGCGGTGGAAGGCTGTGCGTGGTTGCTACTGGGTTTTCCGCCGCACCTGCACAGTGGTGATGGCCGGTTGCTGGTTGGTGAGGAATTCCCGGCGGGCGACGAGAGCGCGGCGCACCAGGTACCCGCGTCCGCGCGCCTGGAGCTGCGCCACCAGAGCTTCGTGCGTGAGCCACAGCCGCTCACGGTTGTACACGGACGTCACGCGGCCAACCACTGCCTGCAACACCAAACGCACACGCAAAGACGAAAGGACCGTTGGGGCAAGTAGCTGTTTGCGAGCACCTATTAAGGCCAGCACGGCGCACTAGGGGATGGATTGTGGCCACAACCACGCCCGACCGCCTTCATCTCCCCAGTGTTACTCGTTGAAGTCTGAGTCAACCTAGGGGATGCCCAGCACACACACAATCGCTAGCACACGGGCACGCATACATGTACACACGCATGCTAGCTCACAGGCACATGTGCGAAGGCACACGTGTTGTTGCTGTTGGTTACGCTACCTCGAGTAACATTAACTAACATTGCACAGGTGTACGTGCATACAAATGTACACCGCACGCACGCATCCGTGCGAACGCGCGTGCGATTGTACACGCACGCACATACACGCACACGTGCAAATGTACATGCACGCGCACGGTACACGGGCACGCATGCACAGAGGCAGGTAGCTAGACGGTGAGTCTCTAGGGTTGTGTGACACAGTGCTTCATCGGGAATCTGAAATGACGGACAAGCAGTCAAAAACAATGACAACATTTTTGTCCGAACTATGCATCGCAAAGCGAGTCCATGATTTTCATTGGAGCTGATTGAGAGTTCATTTTCAGATTGATTTGCTGCTTTCCGATCCTCATAACCAAATAAAAGGACAATCGGGTTTCCTGGGTTTTTGTGTCTCACCAAAACACAATAACTGGAGTGCGTGACATCACCAGGGATGACAATTTTGTCTTCTGATCCAAGTCACCGTATCGATAGAAAGTCGCCCACATAAATGAAAAGCCGGTTTAAGTCTGTAATGTGAATTCACCGGCGGTGAGTTTCCGTGTTCGGCAAAGGTGTTACTGTATTATAATAGTTGTGGTCCCTGTTCACTTTCTTATTTGCATTGGACTGAGGTCATCCATGGGCAGCGTCGAGTATTTGTGACTTTAGTTTTGTGTTTTCATGGATGCGTGTGTTAACAAGATACCCGCACACAAATGCGTGAGCTAAGCAGAACAAAACAGTTGTTTTTAAATGCCATATTGAATTTACAAAAAAAAATACATTTAGCTCTGACTTGTGATTTGAAAAAAGATTAAAAAAATAAATACAGCGCTATGTTGATATAATGTGTTTTCTGAAAAGTAAATTCTACAAATCCTGTAAAGAAATCTGGCAGATGGGACTTTATATTTTCAATGTTCCCTTTGTATTCCATCAAGGTCTCTCTTACAATGAAGACATTGTACCTCGCTGGGCATTACCTGTTTTGTACGGTTCACATAAGTGAACGCTTGATTGATGTACGAGTTTGGTTTTGTGAAATTGATGTCAATCTCATCGCGACCTGAGTTTTACACATTACAGTTGAATACCGAGATCTCACTTTGGCAGGAGAGGGCCAGGGGAGACGGGAGGGTAGTGCTGTACAAATCACACCGCAGTGCCGATGTATTTAATAACAGGTCACAGAGTTTACGTGGAATAATAAAGCCTTGTATTCCAGTGTACACAACTCATTGCTCAATGCAGTGCGGCACTTAAAGCATTTGCGGCTCACACAACACAAGCCATTGAGCGGCGCGTTATTACACAATTACAGTGCCATTTAAGGGAAATGAGCCCCTGAGAACCCAATTAACCCGCCGACGTACAAAAAGAGCCTTTCTTTCCGCGGCGACGCAGCTGCCGAACATCAGTTTATACACGGGCCAAATGCCCCGGCACTGTCATTTGTAATTGTTGTACCAATTAAAATACGAAAGGCCACGGCGTTAAATCGTAGACGCACGCGGCCGCGATACGTACGGCTCTAACGGGTACTTGTGAATGTGGCGCGCACACGTTCGGCTATTCACCTACTTACTTTATTGTGCTCCTACATGAGGTCATTCTGGCAGGGCGTCCGTGCATTCATCGCACAATACGGATGAAGCTGTGCTCTGGTTTGTTTTGGCGAGTGCCTCGCGCACATGTCGTGGGGTCGTGGGGAGTGTGAAACTGTTCTCGCGGTGGAAAAGGCGGTGGCTATGTGTCAGCTTAACGTGCCACTGAAGAGTCGCGCATACATGCACATATTACAGCCCTCATGTTAATCCACTGCTGGATGATGGCATCCCCACACCGTGTTAGCTGTGGTCGGGATTTGAGCTCAGGTTGCTGGGATATACCATGCGCGAACCCCGACACCCACCACTCCTCCCAGGGTTGTTGTTGTTATTATTATTGCGACATCATTTCAATGGGCCATCGTATACTCTACACAGGAAACCGTGGTGTTGAAATCCCCCAGCACTGGCTACAGACGTGAATCTCACGCTGCGTTTGTCCCCCTGCTGGACGCAATTCCCATGAGCTCCACGCGCAATCGGTGGGAACACAACAATCCCTCCCAGTACGCGAGCAGCACTTTACGGGAAGTCGCCAGCGACTGCCAGACGGCGGAATGTGGAATTTCCCGGGCCATGCCACGGTGTCGTCCTCTCTCCTCCCCTTCCACGTTTCCCTGCCCTGACCCTGTTCCACACAATAAGCCACTTCGATGTGCTATCCTTTGTGGCCAGGTCACTTCTGAAAAAGAGCTATATAGCTCAGTGGGCCTCGGTAAAATAAAAAAGTTTCGAGTTTATTATCTTCTTCTGCAGTTCGCGTCCGTCTGCTCGGCAGCGAGATTGGCCAGTCCCCTCGGTACCGCGTCTTCCATCGCTTTATGAACACTGCACATTCAGTATCTGCCTGCACCTCGATACGAGCGCAGTGCAAGCGGCGAGAGAGGCAGCAGTGTGGGAAGCGCACCTGTATCTCACCTGTATCTCACTTGTATCTCACCTGTATCTCACCTGTATCTCACCTGTATCTCACCTGCATCTCATTTGTATCTCACCTGCATCTCACCTGCATCTCACTTGTATCTCACCTGCATCTCACCTGTATCTCACCTGTATCTCACTTGTATCTCATTTGTATCTCACCTGTATCTCACTTGAATCTCACCTGTATCTCACCTGTATCTCACTTGAATCTCACCTGTATCTCACTTGTATCTCACCTGTATCTCACCTGTATCTCACCTGCATCTCACTTGAATCTCACCTGTATCTCATCTGTATCTCACTTGAATCTCACCTGTATCTCACTTGTATCTCACCTGTATCTCACCTGTATCTCACCTGCATCTCACTTGAATCTCACCTGTATCTCACCTGCATCTCACTTGCATCTCACTTGCATCTCACCTGTATCTCACTTGTATCCCACCTGTATCTCACCTGCATCTCACTTGAATCTCACCTGTATCTCACCTGTATCTCATCTGTATCTCACCTGTATCTCACTTGAATCTCACCTGTATCTCACCTGTATCTCACTTGTATCCCACCTGTATCTCACCTGCATCTCACTTGAATCTCACCTGTATCTCACCTGTATCTCATCTGTATCTCACCTGTATCTCACTTGAATCTCACCTGTATCTCACCTGTATCTCACTTGAATCTCATCCGTATCTCACCTCTATCTTACCTATATCTCACCTGTATCTCATCTGTATCTCATTCGAATCTCGCCTGAATCTCGCTTGTATATCATTTGAATCTCACTTGGATCTCACCTGCATCTCACTTGGATCTCACTTGCATCTCACCTGTATCTCGTCGCGGCTCAGCTGCCCCGTGCTGGGCATCGCGCCCTGCGGCGCCTCCCATCTGCCCTCGCCGCTCTCCCGGTTGAAGAAGAAGTCGGAGCCGTCCCTGAGCCGGTGCCGGCTCCACGGGCCGTCGCTGCTTTCCCCCTTGGCTGCTCACCCCCCACCCCGCCCCACAGAGACCGCACAGTTAAAGAAGAAATAAAAATCCTGCATACGCGTGGATTCTGGAACGCTTTCTAATATGAGGTCGTCCTCGCAAGTACTTACATGACGATAATAGCGCCAATGTTCGCGCCACACGGATAACAATCAATGCGGGGCATGCAGTAGATGGGCTCTCATTGTTCCCGTATGCATTGGTGGGCTTCCTCCAGGTGCTCTGGTTTTCTCCCACAAAACCAAACCGACAATAATGGAACTCGACAAATATCCCAATGCAGGACCCTCCGGAAAAAGTCTTGGGACTCGGTGAGGCTTTCCTGGGTAGATAGCAAAGTTTTACTGTCATCAATTATCCACTGGGGCTGGAGCGGTGGTGCAGTGGCGAACATCACTGGTGACACATATCTGAGCCAGTCCTGGGCTACACAGATCAGTGTGGTTCAGTCTCGTGAGCCTTCGTCCAGTAGTGGATTCACAAGAGGCTGACTATTGCACCATTATCTATTTTCACTTGATCATCTATGCATGTCTATTGGCGTTGACTTGGTTCTGGTTGAAGGTGGTTTATCTGCATTGGCAACTCTCAGACAAAGCAATCGAATTTCTTCTTATTTTAGAACTGAATCTTTAATAGTTACTCTTCATTAAAACTATCAAACTATTTTTTTTATTTTACCAGGTAAGGCCCACTGAGCTATATATCTATGTTTCAGAAGTGACCTGGCCACAGATGATAGCTCAACAGAGTGGCTTATCATGTGGAAATGTATAGCACCTAAATACCCCAAATGCATGTTTCTTAATGTGAAGGGAAGAACCGGAGGATCTTGAGAAAAAATCCACGCGACCGCATGGAGAAAGAACATGCAAACTCCAAATACACAGGCGTCAGGGTCAGGCTCGAACCTACGACCTCGGGCATACCAGGTGAAGGAATTAAAATCTCACCACCATGGCGCCCCCTATTGGCCATAAGCTACAGTTCCTCCTCGATTTTTCTTTGCCACTTACCTCCTGTGACATCATCTCTACTTCCCTTCATACCCCCCCCCCCCATCGCCGATTCCGTTGGCCACCTACCACCACTTATAAACTTGAAAGCACCACTGCCCAAGAAGTACACAACCAAACTTGGCTGAAACCTGGCAAAAGTTCCTGGATACACTCCCACGTGTGTCCTGCTAGTGGCGTAGCTACTGGGGTGGGTTGGGATTTGAGTTTATTTGATTGTTACATCAAGCTAGTTCCCTGCCTGGCTACATTGGAAGAGATATCTGTGGTGCGTGAGCATAGCAGCAACAAAGACAAAACCATCAATGTTGCAGACTTTAGAAAATGAGTACAGGGACCTTAAGGAATGTTGCACAAGTAACAAATGCAGTATTTTACAGTTGTAAATGAAACACATGCAAAAAAGTTAGGTGCAGGTGCATGTCAGCTCCATATTATAGTCTTGTATGGACATTGTTCGATGGCTAGCCATCAAACAAAGATGGTCACCGCATTGCCTCATTTCAGATGTGCTTCTGCGGCCGTCTGGAACGCTCTTCCTACCGATATTAGGAAGCCACTGGAGCTATGCACTTTAAAACATTTTAGAACTGTTTTTGTGCTTAGTTTGTTGTCCACCTCGGATTAGCACGGTTGGCTATGTACAGTGCAAAAGAAGTTCAACATACGTACATAAACAGGCAATGCAACTGCACTGGGGTCCACAGGCTGGAGGGGCCCAGGCGCGGGGCTTCGAAAAGTGGGTCAAACTGAACGGGGTAGATAACCATTTCATTTCCTGGTGCCAGGGTCCACGGCCACCACGCCAGCACCCCCCTTTCCCTCCCCCCACCCCCCCAGGTGCGCCGCATTTTCACCTCCAGCAGCCTTCTCGCACTTGGCGTCGGAGAGCTCGAGGTGGTAAGAGGCGGTGCACTCGGGCGTCACTCCGCGCAGCGCCAGCCCCGGCGTACGCAGCAGGCCCAGCAGCGTCTCGGCCACGCCCTCACCGGTGTCCCCCAGCGCGGAGTTCACCGCCGCCACCGCCGCCGCCACTGCCACGGCACGACCGCGTTGCGCCACGTTACGCTCTCACGCCCCGTGCCGGCGGATCGGCAGGCGGACGGATTTTAAATGTATTTACCACGCGGCCAATAAATCATAAGGATAATCACACCGCCTTGTGAAACATTTTTGGGGAACGGGGAATAAAATCATGTTGAAGCAAATTTTCGCCGTGAAAAAGGGTTTGAAACGAGGCAATAAGGTTGGCAAGCGTGATTTGCGTTTGTGTAATCCACACGGACAGACGATCACCCTTCTGTGGATTTATCCACGGTGATGAATTCTACTGCATCTATCAGCTGATCACCATCAGGTGTAGTGATTATTACATGTATATAATATAGTAATGTACAGCACTTTATCAAATTAATGCCATGTCGGTCGTGTGTGTGTGTTATTTAATCGTACAGGACCAGTTCATATCTCACTCACATGGTTCCAATGGCCCACAGCATGGTTCTTCAACTAAGGGACCACTGGCCACATTTGGTTCTTTGAGTGTCCTACCTCACTACGGTCTGCCCAAATGTACGGCTCATCGAAATATAAAGAGATAGCGATTAGCCACATTAAAAAGAGATAAACAAAATACAGACGAGACATCTGGAATAGATGGCAAAGCGGTCACATGTAAAGGCGTTTTGACATCACTCTTCCACGTGACGTCGTATTGCCTGTACACGTGACATACGGTGTCCCGTGGCACCGCTAGCACGTGCTAGTTTTATTAATATTTGGCCTGCTGTAAAATATTCTCAAAAGAACCTTGGCTGAGGCAGAATCGAAAGAACTCATGCTGCCGCCAAGTGACTCGTTAAGGATGCTCGCGTACTGCTGTTGGCGGCCTCGTTGTCCTTGTTGGCCGCGTGGACGCCCTCCTGGATCTCGTCAAGCCACAGCACCGCCGACTCGTCTGCCATCTCCTGCGTGGGGAGAAGGGGCAGCAGTCGTGAGGCAATGTGTGTATGTGTGTTGTTGAACTTCTATCGCACCATATTTCGCAAAATGTGGTAATAGGAGGTGTGGGGGAAGGACAACACACTAAACACAAAAAAACTGTTCTAAAGAAATTAGTTTTAATTTATATTTAACAGTGCGTAGCTCCAGTGGCTTCCTAATGTCGGAAGGAACAGCGTTCCAGACGGCGGCAGAAGCGCATCTAAAAAGCGCGCGATGCAGTTTTTGTTCGATACTTCGCTAAAACCCGCTGCAAGGATGACTGCAGTTCGCATGATGGTTTATGCCCCTTGACGGCAAGGAGGAGGAGCAGGAGACGTGTGGGCAGTGAGGGCAGCAGTGAAGAGAGGAGTACGAAACACTGCTGCCTCAGACCCCAGGTGAACCTAAGAGCAGTGGTTTTCACCACGTGACGACAAGACCCAAGTTGTTTCCCACTCGACTGAGTGTGGGGGCAGCAGTCCTCATCTCCTGGTCACAGCTCCTTTTTTGGCTTTTGAAATGAAGACTAGAATTCAGACAAAGCTTTAAATTTCCCTTTTTGTAATACACATTTTAAATGTACAGCCCTTTGTCAAACCACTGCTAGATGAAAGCCTTGCCAAGCCATAGCAGCCATGGGGTTGTTTAAAACAATATTTCACCATGGTGGTCAGTGTGGGTGTATGGCCTGAACCGGTTCAAATATCACTCGCCACTAATTTAAAGGCCGGGTCAGGAATCAAACTCAGGTTTCCGATTTCAAAGAGTGCTGTGCCAGCCAGTGCTGCCTCTCTCCCTCCCCTGCTCCTTAATAGGTGGGTCTTGACAAAAGCTAGTAATGCTGTCACTAATTACGCTACATTCGTAAATGCCGGTAATTGCACAAAATTATGCAATTGCTCATGGCAGCGCATCGTAATGTTTAAAACCCAGACGTTACCTGGGGCCTATTTGACCTCTCCAGAGAGAACGCCGCTCTCCAGCCTCTCAGTCCATAAGCTCAGCTTTTAATTCATGCTCGGTTTATTTGTCATTCTCTATTCTTTTTTCCTCTTCCCCACCCATCCCCGCAACCCTGATTTGACCAACAACTTTGCCTTGGGAAAATTACATTCAATTTTCTAAAATGAAAAAGCCATCATTGAGCCATAATGAGAGGGGAAAGAAACGGTTCCTTACACAATGCCTTCCTGTGGGTCTAACTGTACGTCCTTATTAAGCTCGCATATTTGCCGCCGTTGTTTCCGAGATACCGAGTGTTTGGAAAGGCAAAGCGAACAAATAAACGTGCCCATTGACAAAAAAGAGAATCGTTTGTGAATGGCGGCTTTTGACTCCTCCAGATGCTCGGAGAGTTTATTATATTCCTCTGCAGCAGCTGTGGAGCTCTGGTGGACAACCGAGTGCTGCTTCAAGGCAACGCGGGCGATAACACGACAAGCATGACAGCTCATCTTTGTGTTCCCACTGCGTGGCCTCTCAGCTCAGCGTCATCAACTACGATGACTCAAGCGGTCAGTCGAAAAACAAATGAATTTGGCTACGATTTCTCACGATTAACGACCCGCAGTGATACAGTGCACTCCTTCAGTATATTGTAACTGGGCTTTGCTTTAAGGCTGTGCCTAACTTCGCCTCTGTGTTGTCTCCACCCCAAAAAAGACACTAAATATTCTTTCTTTTTTTCAAGTCAAAAGTCCCAGTGTCCCCCATTTCCCAAAGTAGCAGTGAGTGGGCGGTTCTCATCTCTGCTTGCAGTCTTGAAACAGTGGTAGAAATTCCATGTTTCTATGGCAGGGACTATTCTTTGTTGGGTGACAACTGAGTACTACCCACCGAGTAATGTTCACCTAGTAATATTCAGCAGAATTATGAGCTAAGTCAACCTTGATCCGGAATTGAACACCTAAAATTCGAGTTTTCAGCTACCACTTTAGACGAGTGGGATCACTAGAACGGGCGAACGGCAAAACTTAAGCACTGGAGGACCATGTATGAATTATGTAATGCTTCTTTCGCGTGTGAATCGGAGGTGCGGGGGAAGGGCAACAAACTAAACACAAAAAGCTGTTCTAAAGAAATTAGTTTTCCGATTTAGATTTAAAAGTGCGTAGCTCCAGTGGCTTCCTCATATTGCAAGGAAGAGAACTGCAGATGGCCGCAGAAGCGCATCCGGAAGCGCGCGATGCAGTGACCGTCTTTGTTCGACGGCCAGCCAAAAGCCGCTGCGAAGTGCAACGACGGTCGGTTGCGCTGGTGCGACACCGCCCTCTGACCTTGGCCTTGCGCCGCTTGCTGGCGCGCAGCACGTCGCGGTAGCGCAGCGCGAGCGCCGGCTCCACAACCGACAGCTTCACGGCCGGGAGCTGCAGGGCCTCCAGAGTCCTCACGGGCTCCTCCTCCTCCAGCGCCTCGTTGATCTTCCCGATGGCGAGCACGCCTGCGGCAGAGCCACCACGATTGCGTACACAAGCCGCCGATTGCGTAGGTGGTGAACCCGTTGCACGCAGGAAAAGGCAGCAGCGGTTCCTTGTGACGATCATTTGTCACGGGGAATAATAACAAAAATAATTGTTCCTGGGTAGTAAGTGTTATTAACTAATTGCTTATGCCTCAAAAGTACAGAAAATGGCTATTATTCCCCACAAACTTTGCTTTGTGACCAGAACAGTGATATTTTTAAATGTACCTATTTTTAATGAGAAAACGTGGTGTGCAATTGTATCATTCCTTCACTTAAAGTCCAGGTCACAAAAGCAAAGTTTGTGGGAATAGCCATTTTCTATACTTTTGAGGCATAAGCAATTAGAAAATAACACTTACTACCCAGGAACAAAAATCGTGTTACATCGTGTAATCAACTGCTAGATCAGGGTCTCCTCCTCCACACCCCCTCCCCAAACGCACCGAGCCGTGCAGGTTTTGGGGGTTGCTTTGCCGTACTTCACCTTTCTGGTAGGTTCATAATCAATAAATAAAAATTACTCAGGCATGAGCCCATTGAGATGCAGTGATACTTTTGCAAAGGAGAGCTGGGGTGATTTGGTGCGCTTTGCAGTAATTCAGTTATCCTAAAATGACAGACGTTCCTCACTCGTCCACTGAACAAATCTGCGAGACAAGTTTTTTGGGGGTATTTTTTACAATGTAATTTCATGTTCTCTGTGCATTATGCCTATGTGGGGCTCTTGCAGAGCACTGAACATCTGTATTTTGGAGGACAGCCATGGAAGGAGAGGTCACAGAACTGCTGCCTTGATGCCTTCAAGTGACTTTTATCACCCACACACTGGGGCCACTTAACTTTCACACATACTCCGCTCCAGAGAAATGTGTGTGAGTGACATGCAATTTAAAGCAATATTCTATAAATCTCAGAGCTGGAGCGTAGCCAATTTAAATATAACCGAACTGAATGTTATAATGTATCATGTAGTCATCAGCGACTTGTGCTGAGGCCATTAGCTCTCTACACTTGATCGTTTTCATCACGGGCAGTTGTCTGGATTCAAAGCTACAATTTAAGGGGTGCTGGCCCGTTGGCTCTGATTCCTGAGCCACCCAGTTACTTCAACAATCTTAAAGTTTTGGCAGCGTGACATCGCATTGGTTGCTCATTGCGAGAGAGAGAAAAATTGGTGGAAGGGATTTTAATAGTAAATTCTTTATTCATGCAGGAAAGCTTCACTGCTAAATATCTTTGGCCAGTTTATTATATGAGAATAAACGAGAGGATATTGGAGTAATTGTCCTGTACGTATGCATGAAAGCTGCCCTGCAACTCAAGAGGCCACAGAGCAGCTGAGGACCCTGAAATGGTCCGACCGGTAAATTCCCTGTTGAGTAGTTTGCGTGAGACAACAGGGGGGTATTCAGAGAAAACTTTGTACATATGAACAGCTAACACTCAAACAACCACACAGATAGTTCAGGAACCTACTTTCTGTATTCTCATACACTGGCATCATAGCCTTGTATATTGGGTGTTTTTAAGCCCAAAATATATTTTCACAATTCACGGGCCTAAAAGAAAGCTGACTCAAGGCATGCGCGACCAATTACTACACACGCCACAGACAAGCGGCCAAACAGTGAGAGCCACGGTTCTCTCGTGCCCCGGTATTGGGCATCAATAACAACATCGGCAGCTTGCCCAGGAAGGTCTAATGCACACACTTGGTGGCTTTAATGAGCTCATAAACACACCCTCGCCCTGAAGCTCCCTAAAGCCCCAAGCAGGCTCTGGGGGATGTCAAATGAGGGGTATCCTAGGCCACAGAGCAGCTGACCTCTTACCACATGGTTAAGTCCTGTAACCCCCGGGGATTACCTGTTAGAGGCCCCACAAAAACACAACAAAGTGAGCGGGTGTGACGTCATGCTTACCATCAGAAACGCCCCAATATTGCTCTCCCATGCACAGAAGCCTCTAACATTCACATGTTCAGTGTAATATCTCATGGCTGCTGTGACACAAACATAAATGGGGATTTAATTAATCTTCACATACTGTAAAGTCTTGACATTTCAATATGACCATTTATTTATCCCATGAAATAAATCAAATAGAAGTGTAATTATTAGATTAATCTGAAAAAATCATGCCGAATTATACAATTAATTCTGTTTGATCCGTAAACTTGTCACAGGAAGTGACACCCTTTCTACGACATCACATCTTATGACTTGTGCAACACCTGTCACATCTGCCTTTTTCCTGCCAAGGATGGTGCCATGGGAAACTGAGTGCTTAAAATCAAAACTCATCCCTAAAGGATACAATTGATGCTAACGGGAAAAAATAACGGGAGACAAATACATCAAAGAACCAGTCGCTAAGTTGCTTGCTCTCAATGTCACCCGATCACTATGCTCCTTATGGCATGCAGGCAGGCGGGCGGGGAGCCGCTTTGCAGAGAAAAAAACCACCACCACTCACGGTCGTGCTCCTCCTGCACGGTGACGTTGATGTCGTCGACGCAGGCGCGGATGTCGCTCCACAGGACGTGCTCACGCCCCTCGGACAGCGCCTGGGCCTTCAGCTCCATGAGCGCCTCCACATAGCTGCGAGACAAGGGGATGACCATGCGCGCACACGGCAAGCTCACACCAGCCTCAGCTACGAGCAGCAGCCGCCGCTTCGTAAAATGGTGGCCATGCCATTTTACAAGTGAGGGGCCTGACTTGATGTTTTTTTACCATACTGAGGCATCAATGCCACAGTGGTGCAGCTGCCTACCAGTTATAGCACTGAACTATAACTGGGAGGCAGAGCACTGGACCAATGGCAATGCCATTGGCTGGGGACCCAAAACTGGACATTGTCAGGATTCAGTCTTGTAACCTGAACAATATGTTAATTTTCTATATTAGCTGGTTAAAATACAAATAGGACACTAGATAGATCTACGTGCCACTAGCTTTCACAAAGACATTTCATGACAAATATTTTGAATGCTGAGTTTTCCCATTTCCATGAAATGGAGGTTCTGAGCCTTTTTTTATTCAACACTGAAGTAAACTCTCAAGTGAAAAGGCTCTGTTGAGAGTGGAACAGATCTGTGCCTGCCATGCTTAAATGTTGGACACGGTAGTTGTTTGATAATTATACTTCCCCACGCGAAGCAGGGAGGCCGAGGACGGATTCAGATATCACTCGCCACCGATATTCGCCATCGCCAGAAATCAAACTCATGGCATCGTGTTCATAGCACAGTGCGTGAACTACAAAGCCACCGCTCACCCACTAAAATAACATTTCACTGAATATTAAATAAATAAATAGGCTCCCAGCAGATGGAGTGAAACGTCAGACATCGTGGCTAACAACACGCAGTACAAACAAATCGGAGAGCAACAAGAGGCCATGAGAGCAGTCTTTTTTTTGCATATTCTTCACCGCTGCAGGTTGGCCTTGTCGAGGCTCGCCAGCACAGCCGACTGATTGGCTAGCAGCGTCGCCACGGCGACCGTGTCACGTGCGTCCAGGGCCTGGTTGACGAGGGCCAGGGCGGAGAGGGCCTGCAGGGACTCACACAGGGCCCCGTGGGACAGCTCGCCCTAGGGGAGGTGGGGGATGAGAGGTGGGCGATAGTGGAGTGGGGGAGGGGATGGAAGGTGGTTCCTTATTGGATTAGTTCTTTTTAGACGATGACTTTGAATTTATTTTTGTGTTGTTACAATTGTGTCATCGGCATGTCATAAAACAGGCATTGATTCACCCCATGTTAGAGAACAGCCCGCTGAAGATAATATCACAGAATTACTTGTGAGATCCATATGAAACCTTCATTCAAATTATGCACTTTCCCACATGCCCTGCTTTAAAGGTGTTTGCCAAACGAATATCTTCCATTCACAGAGGAGCTGAAATATTTGCGGCAGAGACAGACTATGATGCTAGTGGATGAGAATACAAAAAGTAGGTTCCTGACATATCTCTGTTCCTTGTTTGAGTGTTAGCTGATCATATGTGCAAGATGCTCTTCTGTTCTTTTACAAAAACTACTCAACAAGGATTTGGCCGGTCGGATCATTTCTGGGCCCCCAACTGCTCTGTAGCCTCTTGGGTCGCAGGGCAGCTTTCGTGCATACATACAGGACAATTACTCCAACATTCTCTCTTTTACTCTTATATAATAAACCGGCCAAAAATATTTAGCAGTGAGGCTTTTTCTGCATAAATAACTTGGATCTGAAGGCACTTGGAGGAGGGGGAATGCGAAGGGATGGCATCTCTTCAAGAGTAACATGCCGTGCAGCTCCCTGGAATCTGTTTCAATGAGCCACAATGTGCGTGGGGGTGCAGTTTGGCACCCCATGCTAACTTTCATCAACAGCTCTCCACTGGAAGCCTTCACTTGAATCTGTTTTAACCATATCCGCTGAACACATTCAATTTCAGGTGCGATATCATATTTAGACATCGAACAAACACAGTCACTGCATCGCGTGATTTCGGGTGCACTTCTGCGGCCGTCTGGAATGCTCTTCCTTCTGATATAAGGAAGCGACTGGAGCTATGCGCTTTTAAATAAAAAAAATGCTTTTTGCATTAAGTTTGTTGCCCTTCCTCCGCAACTCCAATTAGCACGGTTGGCTACGTACGGTGCAAAAGCAGTTCAACATATTCTATACGTTCCACGTGTGGTGGCTGAGCGCATTCCGCTGTCAACCCAGCGACTCAAGTTCAATTCCCAGCCACAGCAAGCACCAGTGGCAGAGTGATAGCTGAAACAGGGTTCTAGGCACCACTTTCACTAACCTGCTCTAACCAGTGTGGTGAAGAATGGTCAAACAACCCCCCTTGGCCAAAGGCATGGGGAGGCATTAATCCAGCAGTGAATTGATCCACTAGCGACCTGTGAATATACGGTAACTTTACCCTATGTGCCTGTCGACATTTGAAACAAACAATACATGGAATGTCGGACAATGTCTCCCTTTAGTTCCATAATTGGGGCAAGCTTTGTAAATTAAGTGCAAAACCAAATGGAACACTCAACAGTCAGATGAAATCCATTGCTGTACTACCATCTGGTTACCTCGCAGCCAACGCATTTACGGCCTGGCACTGCTTGGCAGACTCCCATCCAGGGACCAACCCGGTCCACCCTCTCTTTTTGTTGTTTTCGGGTTATACCACGTGTTATTCGACTTGAGGTCCGACGTTTCACTACGCATGTTGGGAGCTTCTTAAGGAACTGAACGTCATGCTGAACAACACGCAGCAAACGATCCAAAAACGCATTAAAAAGAGGATCATCAGGGTTGACTATGCTTGGCTCGAGAACTCCGATGAGAAAGCGTGCAGTCAAGCCAATTTGGTCCGTAGGTTTGGCCACAAGGAAGACAGCAAAATCCAATTTGTGGGGGGTGGCAATGGGTGCAGGATTTATTTACAGCAGCCCGACCTCTCTGGAGGACAACAATGCTCTTAAAGCATCCAGCTCAGAGTAGGATTGAGCACGGGGCCTTTTATGATGGCAAAGAGCTACCCCGTGCACTTGCGCTATAGCCGTGAGTCGTTTCTCAGGATCAAACATAGGCTCCCTCTTGACGATTACTATTTTGTTGCACTATGCCACTGCCTACATTGCTTACTGGGTAGTGCACAGATGGAAAAAAAATGGCTGGCTGACAATCACAGGGTTGATTTAAAATTGCAGCCTGTGTCAAGTCATCCTATCATACCTCTGAGGTTGGTAAAATGAGTACAGCGTTACCTCTGGGACCTTTTTGCCAGCATTAAGAGTATTTGTCAGAAGTCAAGTGTTGATGTCCTATGAAGATATTGTTGCCGTTCAGTCATGTCAGCTTTTATCCCGTCCAATTCGATGAATTGTCACTATTCAGGGTCACAATTCAAATTCAATCATCGCGACGACCTCTGCCTGTGGCCTCGTCCAGGGTCTCACCAACAGCAGCGGGGTGGATATCGGCAAATTGTTTTTTTACATTTAGTTTGTCGTCATTCCTCCGCACCTACAATTAAGCACGGTTGGCTATGTAGGGCGCGAAAGAAGTTCAACATACGTACTTACAGCTGAGAATGACTGCTAACCACTAACGCCACCCAGTGGCATTTCCAAAGGTTCCCCCGCCAAAGCCTAACCTCTAACTTGTTAGTGGGGGAGGGGGTGGCGGAGGGGGTTGGGGGTGGGGAGCGGGGGGGGGGGGGTGCCCCTCACTCACCATCTCACTCTGCAAGGCCCCCAGCTCAAGCTGGTAGAGGGAGGCGGCAAAGGGGTGTATGGGCGGGAGCTGAGCGTCCGGCTGTTGCAGAGCGAGCACCGTGGCCTGCGCCTCCCCGGCGCCGATCGCCGCATTGATCTTCTCCACCGCCTTCAACACTGCGGCAGCAGCAAGACAAAATACGAAGGAGACATCACGGCGATACCACTCCGCTGCTCCTGACGCGGTTATCTGGCTTGACCACCTGAATGTGGAATCGTAGTTGTTGCTCTGCATCTACAACAGCCGCACGAAAGAAGAACACTGCAGCACCACGGTGCGTTGTCGTCACCATCGGGCATCATCTACTACTGGATGCTGGACGAAGGCCTCCGCAGGCCGTCGCCAACTCTCAGGGTCCCATAATGCAACATGCTCTGTTTCTGAACGGCGGACGCGCTCACTCATATGATCCTTCCTTTGGCTGCCACTCTGTCATTAGTCTCAACCACCCGCTGTCATCCCTTCTAAGTGATGCGTGCTGCCCAAGCCCACTCATGTCCTTCTGACGTCATGTCCTGTCATACATAATAGCGTAATATGCTGTGTTGAATGAGCAGTAGCTAGACAGTGTGGAATTTCCACCAATGGCCCAAGGCCACTCATGGAGTTGAGTGCCGCTGGCATATTGCTCATATGAACCTGGAGACGCAATGCACTAACTGTAGTTAAAGCAGTTCAGGGACAGGCCAATACACTGCAGCAATCTATACCTTGACTTCACGGATTCTTGTCTATTCCTATAAGAGAGTTCCGTTCCCTTGTGTGCTTCAAATAAAACAAATACATAGTGGTAAAAGTAGAAGGCAAATGCAGCTACATACAATTAATATTTATAAGTGAGAATTGATGATGAAAAACAACAAAACGGGGGTGTGGATTTATCAATGCCTTCTTAAAGTTATTAACAGAAGCTGCATTTTGAAAAATGCCCAAATTGGAACTTCAACAATCGATCATAGTACAGGACGGCATTAATTAAAAGTAATCGATTAATTTTATTGCAACAACACAGCCCCTCGGTAACCTACATCGAGAGACCAAAACCAGGCACGGGACAAAAAATGTAAACCGTCCTGACCCCTTACACTGCCAGCCTCTCTACCCAACTGCGACGAAGAATTTCGACAAATATTCTATTCAAAGCTTGCGTGTCGTGAGAGTCGGCGAGGGATACATGGCCAGCAGGGGGCATGAGATTGGCTCGTCTTGGTGTGAGATTTGGTTGAACTCGATGGTTCTTAATCTGGGGTGCACGCACCCCTTGGGGGTGCGTGATGCCCTTTCTGGGGGTGCGAGACATGGCCAGAAGGTAAATCATCGAAACGCAAATTAAACAGGGGCACGTAAGTACAACTACTTTGTTTCATCAAACCTATGTATTTATTAACATTATACTTTTTTTACGATTGAGAACCAGAGGGGTGCAAGGCTCAGGTAAATGTTAAGAGCCACTGGGTTAACTCGAGTCCTCACGGTTCAACCCCCCACGGTACAGCTTTCCGCGATTACTAGCCATGCAGTGCGAGGTGGCTTAACTTTCACTGAAAATAGAAGTGATTTGTAATCGTGAAAAAAATGGACCGTGGGGGATTATGAGGACTGGAGTGGATAAACATTGGATTTAACAGACGCCAGTGGGAAGGAGTTGTCTTCGTGTTGCGTATCATCCGTCGGAGATAAGGGAATGGGAGAAATGTTCATATTTTTAGACATTTTGCTCCAAGATCACAGGAAATTGGGTTCTATATATAATCTAAAAAGAGACCTGTCTTCTTGGTTCTTTCGGTAAAGTCACGTAGAAGGGAAATAATAAAATAATAAAAATAAAAACTGATTTTATATTCTTGGTTCTTTCGGTAAAGTCACGTAGAAGGGAAACATTAAAATAATAAAAATAAAAAACAATTAAATTCTCACGACATTTTGACTGCAACACAAGCAATCATCATCAGGTGTGAAAACCTGTACAACAACGTAACAACGTGACTTTACTGAAAGAACCAAGAATATGAATCCCTGCAGTCACGAAAGCTTTAAATCAAAATATAGTTTATTATTTTAATTTTATTATGTTGTATTTTTATTATTTTATTATTTCTCTTCTACGTGACTTTACCGAAAGAACAAAGAAGATGAATCCCTGCAGTCACGAAAGCTTTAAATCTAAAAGAGATCTGTCGTGTCAATTGGCCTTCATATAGTTATAAAGAAGAATTATAATTTCTTCTTAACGATTTCCCAGTCCTACAAATGTACGGGATTTCACCCTGCCAATTTCTCGAGACTCAAGAACTCCACTTTATACATAATCTACTTTACGTATATGAATCTATAGCGATACATTAACACCACAGTGCTGTACAACATACCGAATTTCCAGGTCACACATCCAGGCCTTTAGCATGGCCATAGGGTCCCCATAGAAACTGCCAGATGATGAGGCAGCTGTTGTTACCGGTCCCCATCCTCTGAGAAGCCTGGCGTCACTTACTCAGGTGATGACGTAACGCCTCCGAGTTGGCCCTTTCCACGCCGGCTTGCAGATCCTCTTTGCCCAGTTGGCATTCCCTCCCTGTGTCCTGTATGCAAGGGGGCCCGCCCGGGTGGACATCCAGAACAACAACAACAACAGCTTTGTTTCGGTGGTCACAGTGAAAGGCTTTGAGAGCCTCTGTCAAGTCCTGTGTTTTTTTCCTTTCAATTAGAAACAGACTTTTTTTTTTATTCACGTAAAAATTACACCACATTTATACAGAGTATTCCTTTATGAGATAAAGTTATACATTGTTTTAAACATTTTGAGTACCTTTCCTTTCTAATAAAAAATGAAAGCTCAAGAGGACAACGGCAAATGTTCATGTAATGATAACAAATTGTTGTCAGTGGTGCACAAACATACAATTAAACAAATCTCACTTATCATTAACACTGCCTCGGACATTTAGGCCCTAATGTCGGAAATGTTTCACATGACACTGAACAGTGACACTGTGAGCGGTGACACTGAATGGTGACACTGAATGGCGACACTGTGAACAGTGACATTGTGAGCGGTGACACTGAATGGTGACACTGAATGGTGACACTGTGAACAGTGACACTGTGAACAGTGACACTGTCAGCGGTGACGATGTGAACAGTGACACTGGATGGTGACGCTGAATGGTGACACTGTGAACAGTGACACTGAATGGTGACACTGAATGGTGACGCTGTGAACAGTGACACTGTCAGCGGTGACGATGTGAACAGTGACACTGGATGGTGACGCTGTGAAAAGTTACGCTGAACGGTGACGATGTGAACAGTGACACTGCGAGCGGCGACGCTGTTCGAGGTGACGCTATCAACAGCATGAATGCGAGAGGGAGCAGCGCACCTGTCCCCTGGCATCTCGCTCCGACGAGAGCCGCTCCTGGTACCAGCGCGCGTTCCCGAACTCCACTCCATGCAGCGCCAGCGCCCGGGCCCTCAGGGCCTCCATCAGCTCCTCGGGGTTCTTCCCACGCAGCGCGGCATCCACACGCTCCAGGGCGGCTTGGGCTGCGGAGTAGAGGCGGCATCAGCACGGCTCACCTTCACGACAAATCGCTGGCGATATCCCCACGGCACCACAATCCCCCACCCCGGGCTTCCGTTCAGAGTGGGGTGGCGCGATGGCGCATTGCGCTGTAAAACTGCTGACCCGAGTTGAATTCCGGGCCAAGGCCAATATCAGAGGCAAGTGATATATTTGGACGCCAATTTCACCAAGCCGGACTCACCAGCGTGGTGAAATATGGTCAATAATCCGCCATGACTACACAATAAGGAGAGGCCCCTTATTGAGCAGTGAATTGACGAAAGGGCTGTGCATGTACACATAAGCAATGTCAGTTTTAGTATTTATAACCTGTAATGTTTATCTGTGGCCATTTCAAGTGACACTTGTGGGCCTCCTTACTGTTGACTGTGTTGATGTTGCCCTGGATCTCGGCCTGAGTGAGCAGCTCCTCATACACGTCCTTCTCCTCTATGGAACCATCGCCAACCATCCCCTGAGCACACAACGGGCCGTCAGTGCAAAGGTGATCATGGTACAATGCAACCAAGCAATGTGATTATTATTATAATTACCTTAATTTACTCAGGAAAGCCTCGACGACTATCAAGCCACTGTTTTTTTTTCCGGAAGGTGCTGCATTGGGATGTTTAGCCAAGCGCATCTATCAGCGTCTATCCGTAGAAATTATTCCTAAATAAAACTAGATTCGAAGCTTTCGTGACTGCAGGAATTACTCGTTCGTGCTTTCGGTAAAGTCACGTAGAAATAAATTAAATTAAATAATAATAGAATACGACATTTCGATTGCAACGCAAGCAACCATCGTCAAGTACAAATGAATGAGAAAACAAACCTAGTAAACTTGGAAATGTAATGTAAGACAACACAGAGAATCGGCCAACAAAACAGTCAACACCCCACCTGGTTGATTACGTTCTTCCAAAGATTGCTAAATTTGAGAGAGAGACAAAACATAGACACACAGACAGACACACAAACAGACACACATAGAGAGTGCCTATGTGCGTGTCTCTCTCTGTTTGTCTCTGTGTGAGTCTCTCTCTGTTATTCCTAAATACCTACGCAGTTATCGGCAAATAACAGTCGATAATTAGGATACATTTCCTGCCACTGTTGTGGGTAGCTCTTCCTATCCATGGATAAGCAGGGATAATACCATAAATTTACTGCCACTTCTTGGCGATTCATTTAATCTACGAAGAACATGAGGAATCGATACACGGGGAGAAGATGCTGCAATTGGAGTGCTGAAGTGCAGCAATAGGTTGGCATTAGCTGCCCCCCCCACCCCCCGCTCCGATGGACCGGTCAAAAACTGAGAGGGAAACACGAGACCTCGTTAATGGGTAGGCATGGCACATGGTAAGAAGCGGAGCCATGCAGCAGGCAGTGGGGAGTGAATTGGCATGTAAAGGTGCATAGGTCAATTTAATTAAACGTATTCTTATGTTTATGATGATCCATGCATAAAAGCATGCGTGTGTGTGAGAATCGAGTATTTATGATTGAGTCTCATGTCACATGAAGAATGATGGAAGTAAATACAACTGTACAAAATGAGATGTAAGAAAGAATAAACGTATTCTTGGGTCTTTCGGTAAAGTAATCGTCATCTCCTGATGACGGTTGCTTGTGTTGCGATCGAAACGTCGCAGTTTTTTGTTATTTTTGTTATCTTCTTTGAACCTAACCACGTGACTTTACCGAAAGACCCAAGAATATGAATTCCTGCAGTCACGGAGGCTTTAAGTCACTATTTAAAGAATAAATGATCGGAACTGAACGGTAAAAGCTACACAAATAAAATATAGCAACAAAACAGGTGGTAAGCTGTTAAAACACCAAACTGAAACCTTTTACAAGGAATCATGTCTGCATTAACCACAATACTTGTGGTCAAAATGCATTACAAAAACATACTCTGATAAAAGATAGCCTATTTTTTCCCGCCCGCAACTTTATCCTGATTTTGCCATTAACAACGTGCCATGAAACAAAGAATCCATCCAGGTGTCTCACAATGCAGCGCAACCCTCCATGTTAACGAACATCCAACAGAAACAGATATCACATAACTACTTCTAATAGCTCTTCAAATGACCTTTGGTCAAAAATGTAAGATGCAGCACTCTGCCCACCTGGCCAGCTACAGTGAGAAATCTTCATCACATGACAAGTCAACCCGATATTTTAATATTCAAAGCTCGAGTTCAGTTAAATAAAGTGTGGAACCAAATTTAACGTGATGTAATTTTCCTGTGCAGTCATTGATGACTGGGCTGAGACAATCAACACTCTAGACTTGAGAACCTGGATTAATCACCAGGCTGGATTTGAACTCGGGAACTCAATGGTGTCAGCTTAGCGCTCTGACCTCTAACCCAGATCCTTTTTGCAAAAAGGGCAATGTTTGCACATGTCTCGATGGGTTCATTTCAATTCCTGGTTAAACATATAAACAATACTGAGCCACCTGGCCACCTCATGAGACGTGATTCGTCAACTGAATCGCGATCCCGAATTGTGAAAATTCATCGTATCACTGCGAGGCGTGCGGTTAAATTATCGCACGTCCTAGTGGCGTAGGAGTCAGGAGAACGGGGCGGCGTGAGTCACGACCACCACCACCGCCGCTACCGCGCGTGGCCCTCACCCGGTTGCGGGCACTGTTGGCCTTGTCAAGCTTGGCTCGTTGCAGCATGCTCTGGTAGGCCCCGGCCAGCTCCTCTTCCAGGCCCAGCAGCATGGCGCTGGGGTTCCTCAGGGCGGCCACTGTCTCCGCCGGGTCCCCCTTCTCCACGGCATCGTTGATGGCTATCACTGCCGCGTGCACTGCCCGGGACAGACGCCACGGCATGCACAAGCGGAGCCTATAAACATTGGGGGGCCATTCGAGACTTCGCTCTCTCCACGGCGGGAGTGTTTCCCGATGATTGTCAGATATTGGAGATGTCCATATAAAGTCGACTCCCGATTGTCAGGGGTAATAAAGAAGTTCAACATACATACATAGATACGTAATAGGGGGAGAGGGGTGGCCCTGAATAAAACAATAACACATAATGCAGTATATACATAAATTAAGCACAGACATGGTTCTCGTACATTCCCAGTGGGGCGGGGCAGTCCTGAAATTTCAAGAAATTTTAATAGGTTAGTACATTATATACAATTTATTTTCTCTCGTAGCTATATATGACCATATATAACCTCTTGTTGTCACAGCTCTCTCGCCGTGTTCTTCCTGGTTCAGCGGTTCCACTGCTGGTTTATTATTTTTTTCCGCCTGAGGACGACCGCTTGTGTTACGATCGAAACGTCGTGATATATTATTTGCATTTAATTTTTCTACCAACGTGACTTTACCGAAAGAACTAAAGAGTATAGCACGCCACACATGTGCACGTAGTTCTTCCTTCCGGAAATGAGAGATGTTCTTCCCGTTGTGCGTCTTGATTGTTGAAGCAACCCTCAGAGTGTGGCTACCCTCGTTTGCAACCACAACGCGCGTGTGAAATGGGCTGGGCAGTAGAGCGTGCTTTTTGAGGACCTCTATTTTTTTATTTTGGAGCCCAGAATAAATTACATCAACCACCACAATGAATAACTCTCCGCTGCTAGCCACTTCCTTGACTCACCACCAACGACCACACCCAAGCGACAAACTTAAAAATGCAATACAAATTCAGTTTGCGCATTCGACCATTAGAAATAACCGACTTGATACAAAGAATTACTTATTCACTTAGGGTGCGGGTTTTTTTTATTATTTGTCATTATCTTGTAGCGAAAATTAATTCCCCCCCCGGATAAATTTATATATCTGATACATCAAACTACTTAAGAGAAAATGCTACATTTAAGAATAGATAAAACCCAAATATCCATACAGATACGTATCAACTACTAACAACCTTGCATCCCCTTTGCCTCCAAAGCGCAGGATGAGTCATGCACCACCAAGTATCAATCATTGGCGGAAGTTGCAGGGAAAATGATACTCGCTAGGCACAAACAATCCACTCCTCTAGCAGTTCGATCACTTGTCAAGGTTGCAATTCGACCAAAGGTCTCAGAGTACGCGGGAGTTAGGTTCCGTGTGCCCCCGCGTGAGCTGGAATCCGCGTAAGTTGTGGCTCTCCTATGCGGGTGTATATACAATGTAAGAGTAAATATATAAATGTATATAAATGTACACGAATGTTTAATAAAGTACAGCACTGTACAGTAAATGATCCACTAATCATCGGCAGCATCCAGGTCAAATAGAACACCGTATATATTTTTTGGACTCGTTTGTTGCGCGGGCGATACAATTATGCACCCCAAAATCCACATTCGCGTGATGGCGTAAGGCAAAAGTACGGGTCACAAGTGTAAGTACGAATCGGGGTCGGTCGCGTGTGAGCGGGTCCGCGTACTCTTGAGACCTTAACTGCACGCGCATTAATTTCTGCCTTTGTTTTCACCGTCTCGTTCGCAACGCTTCGTGGGGTTTTTGCATACGCTTGCCCTTGCAGTTCCGTTCACTGCACCACCCTAAATGTGTGGTGACGTCCGCACATCGTTTGGCCTCTCATCTGCACGAAACGTCAACGAGCGATTCTTTCGCGCACACGTGCCACGAGCGCATCAATTGGCCGCGATCGGCGAATCGACGCACCGTTGACATCCTAAGGGGCCGTCCATAAATGACGTCACGCACCTAGTGACGATGGGGGGGGGGGTTTAAGAAATGTGACGTCACATCAAAATGCGCAACTTTAAATAAATATAGAATTGTTATAACAACACTAATTGTTATAACAACACTCCTACAACATCAAAATGCAGCGCCGCATTAAATGCGCACTACAATGACAATAGTTTAAAGTGATTTGAAGCATGTTTTATTTTCAAAATGGAAATATGGTTTGGGGGGGGGCATAGCGTTGTGACGTCATATTTGAGGGGGGGTGTCTGACTTTTTGTGACGCCGTGTGACGAGGGAGGGGGGGGTCAAAAATCGTCCAAAATCGCGTGACGTCATTTATGGACGGCCCCTTACGCCAATTCTCCGCAAACTAAACCGGGGTTCCCCCCCCCCAACCCCACAGCATTCCCCTCTTACGTGCAGCTTCATCCACGGAGAGCTCACTGGCCAGGATCCCGCCGATTTTGCTGAACGCCGGCATCTGAATCCCGTACTTCTCCAGCTCCTTGCGCATGTTGTCAATCTCCTCCTCTGACGGTGGGTGGGGGGTAGAGAGAGGTAAAGGGCATCCATCATCACGCCGCCTTGCTGCAACAGTAAAGCCACGAGCGGTGGCACGTCAATTTACGGCAGAAACAAGGAGATCCATTGCTACCTTGTCCTAGTGTTAACGTTGTTTATCTTCACTTGAGACTCTTTCTCCATGATCGTCATTAATAATGTCATAAAATGGTCATTTGTTTACACGTCGCTTCCGTTCCTGATGTAACGCGTGTGATGGCCTTCACTCAGCAGTGGATGGAAAATGACCGTTGATGTGAGATTTAGGTGACGGGAAGATTGTATTTTTATGTATTTGCGCTGTGTGACATGTTTGGTGGTGGAGCAGTGGCAAGGTAGTTCGTTCACTGTGCTTTGAATCTGGCGACATGAGTTAGATCCTTTGCCATGGTGAATACTCGTGACAAGTGACATCTGAACTGATCTTGGCCCTCTCTTCACCAATCTGCAATGACCAGTGTGGTGATGCACGGTCAAACAACGCCCATGGTCAACACAATAGGGAGACATTCATCCAGCAGTGGATCGACACAGGGCTGTGAATGTGCACAGCTACTATATTTACCTGGTGGCCACGTTCAATTCCCGACAGTACTTGTCTCTGCGACAAGTGACAATAATTTTACGGAATTACCTATAAAGTGAAAGTATACATTCTAATGTGAAAAATAACTTAGTTAAGAAATGACGTGCTATCAGTGCGTACTGTGCATCTAAGTTCTCGACTGCACAGGCTAAGAAGAACACACCGGTGCTGTTATCTGTAACAAAAATTGCTCTTTAATTTGTCCATGGTAACATGAACAAGGAAGAGTTTCGTGTCGTAACCCATACACTGAGCTGCGATCAAGAAAGGCAGAGCACCAAGCCGTGTCGTTTATTTTGGAGACTACTTTTCTCAGTGACAAAATCACCCATAATGTGCCCAATCTCAACAGATCCCAGAAGCTAAGCAAAGATTGAGCACGGGCAGTGCTTGGATGGGTGATCACCATGCATTGTTACTTCACCACGCTGTGTGGGCAGCAGAGGGCAGGGCAGAAAATGTGTTTCTGTACTTTTACTGCAAAGTTAACGCTCCCCGCCTTCACCAACCCGCACTGACCAGCGTGGTGAAGTATGGTCAAGTAAGTCTCATTAAGGGGTCATCCATGGAGTGCGTACGCATGGAGGGGGGGTTAACCCAAATGCATACGGGAGGGGTCTACTGACTATGGACGTACGCATAGGAAACGGCGGGGGGGGGGGGTAAAGCCTCGATAATAATTTGTCTACATTGGCCTTCAAATGAGTTAGATATGGATTAAATATCGGCCGTTCTATAGGATTCGGGGTGGGGGCGAACGTACGCAGGTGGGGGGGGGGGGGGGGTATAAAAAGTTCGCGTGCATACAATTCTGGAGGAAGAGCCTTTGCTATTGATGCCCCCAGAGGCTGGAATGCTATTGCCAATAAACTGCCAACTTGAATCGCTACCAATGAGATCTTCTCTTAGCACTGCTCTAGAGGATTTGTACACCCCTAGCTGCCACCGCTATTCATTGGCATAAAATAAAATGAAATGTTTCGCTCCGGATGACGCTGCAAAGTATTATCTGTATTTTGATTTAGCGTGCTGATCTTAAAGGTGCATCGAAAAATTTGATACTCCAACTGATGCTTCTATTGTTGTGGAGTAACTCATGCAGCCAGCTATGGCTCTAGGATTTGGTGTTACATGTTATTTATGTAGTTTATTGTAAAAATTCGGTTACAGTCCCTGTGATCACTGTTACGTTGCAATTATGGCTTTATTTTTTGGTGATTTGGAAAAGTTTTTTGGTTTGAACATGTTGTTTTGTTGTCGTACGGAGTTAGACTGATGGCCTTAATCTAAGTTTTCTTGTGGTTGTTGTTGCTTGACTTGCATCCCACTGGGATTTTTTGCACACAGCGTTGGTGTACGGTGCTTTTTTCAGGAATATTTTGCTGTTTTTTTCATGGATTTTCTGTTTGCACAGTCACATAGTCAATTGAAGATGTTTTTCTTTTTGATTTAAAGCTTTCGTGACTGCAGGGATTCATATTCTTGGTTCTTTCGGTAAAGTCACGTAGAAGGGAAACAATAAAATAATAAAAATATAAAACAATAAAATTATCACGACGTTTCGACTGCAACACAAGCAATCATCATCAGGTGTGAAAACCACAGCAAGAAAATTTGAAAAAAGTGGCGTTTTTTTAACGTTAGCACCACGGAGAGCGATTTGGCAGTTGGAAAAGAGGGGGGAGACGAAAATAATGGATGCGGTCTGAAAGCCACCGTAAGCGTGAACAATCAATTAAGACCCGAAATGGTTTATCAAATCCTTCCAATGATTGCTAAGCCAGAATCCATCTTCTCGGTTGAAATTGTCTCTGTGTTTGTATATGTGGATAGCCTCATGAACGAATCTCTCATGGTAGCCAGATGGCTTGCAAAGAACCTCTGGCTTGGAGAAGTCAATGTCATGTGAGCCTACTGAATTATAACAGTGATCTGCCACGGCCGAGGTGTTGGTCCTACCGTGTTTTAGGTCTGCTTTGTGTTCACGAATGCGGTCCGAGACATGTCGTTTGGTTTCTCCAATGTAACTACTACCACAGAGGCAACTTAGTTTGTAGACGCCAGGGTACTGTATGTCCGGAATCACATCTTTTACAGACGGAACCAGATCACGGATTTTATGTAATGTGTTGAAACGGACCTGGATCTTGTGTTTATTCAAGATTTTGGAGATCTTTTTTGTGATCCCCGCAATGTAGGGTAAAGTGATGGTTTTGAAAGGCTCCTCAAGAGGGTCCTTCTTCATGGTTGGAGTGATAGCTTTGCGGATTGTGTAGTCGGAGTAACCATTAGCCTTAAGAGCTTGGTGTACGTGCTTGAGCTCACTGGCTATGTGTTCCTGGTCGGATATGCATTGGGCTCTATGGTGCAGAGTCTTGATGAGGGAATTCTTCTTGGATGGATGGTGGTGGGAATCCGGTTTCAGGTAAACATCCATATGGGTAGCTTTCCTGTAGACAGAGTGGCTCATTGAACCATCAGGTCTCTTTTTTATTAGGCCATCCAAAAAAGGTAGCTTGCCATCTTTTTCGACTTCCATGGTAAATCTGATAGCTGGGTGTATGGAATTGATGTGGTCGAGGAATTGGTCTAAAGCAGGCCGGCCATGTGGCCAGATGACAAAAGTGTCAACCACGTACCTCTTCCATAAGGTTGGGCGCAGAGTGGCAATCTGGATGGCGTCAGTCTCAAATTTCTCCATGAAAATGTTGGCTACAACCGGAGATAGGGGGGAGCCCATTGGGGTGCCCTCAGTTTGTTTGTAGAATGTTCCATTCCAAGTGAAGTATGTATTGGTTAAGCAGTGTCTCACCAGGGCAGGTACCTCAGTGTTTAGTCCTTGATGAACCAAGTCTTCAATGATTGCGATACTGCGTTTTTCCTGTTTGTGTTTTAGTTTTTTTGTTTGTTGTGGTTGCACCCGATTCAAGAGCCGAATGGCTCACAGGGCTATACCAAAATTAATAAACTGAAAAAAAAGCTGGGTAGGGGTCAAGTTTGGACAGATTTTTGCGTACCCACTAAACGGATGGCCCCTTACTGGCAAAGGGATGGAGGGGGGGGGTGGTGTCCTCATCCAGCAGTGGATGTATAAATATTACACACAGACCACCGCACACGTGAGCGATCAAAAAAATTTGTGAGTACAGTACTTCAAATACTGCGTAGGACGCGAACACTTTCAGCTGCTAATGTACGTTGATTACCGTATGAATAACCCGACCGACAATGGATACCCATTGTAATTTATATCCATTCATTAATCCCCGGCTACCCCTTTCGCACGTAAAGGGCTCACAGGTGACGTCATCACATCTATCCCTATAAGGAACGAAACAGGAGGAGGATTACTCCACAAATCTGGCTGTCCGCCTGATGATGCTAGTTGTAGCTACTGGCGAAACGTCGTACTCAGATTGTAAATGTGGTCCAACACACCGGTGTTGCTGTACTAGTAACTAATTGGCATGTTCTGTTTACGTGACAAACCTTACTAACTAGCTTTTTGCCGGGTGTATATTGCAGTAAATCTAAAATATTCTAAAGAAAAGTTATCAGGTCATGATTATTAATGAGGGGGGGGAGGGGTTGCCCCATGTGGAGTGACGTCATCCGCTAATGGTTATTGTGGAGGGGTGTGGCATGTGGAGTGACGTCACTCCCTCATGGTTATTGTGGAGGGGTGTGGCATGTGGAGTGACGTCATCCGCTCATGATTATGAATGAGGGGAGGGGTGCGGCACGTGGAGTGCGCGACCTTCTTGTGCGTTAGTGGAAATTTCCACGTGGGTATGAATATTAATGAAGGGGGGGGGTGCCTCTTTTGCAGTGACGTCACGCACTGATGTAGCACTTTGCTACGTCGATTTATTTTTTACCATCACTTTCTGTAAAGAAACGTCATATTTCAAGCGACTTTGCGTAATGAATTATTTAATTCAGCTCGACCTTCTGCATTAGTGTAAAAATCCAATCTTGATTTGAAGCTTTCGTGACTGCAGGAATCCACCCACTCATGAATATTAATGAGGGGGTGGGCCTCATGTGGAGTGACGTCACGCGGGGGGTGGGCCTCATGTGGAGTGACGTCACGCACAGGACGGACAGACATTTCTGGGTGATTATAGTCGGTAATTGGCTGTGTCGGGTGGTGGTGGCGAATTTAACGACACGTTTATATTTACGCGATCTAACCCAAAAAAAAAACCTCTATTGCGGACTTCAATTGTTATAGAGTCCATGAGCCCACATCAGATGTTACCATTCGGCGGTACCACCTGAGGTGGCATAACTTCATTGCTCCCAATTTCTTTGCGTGGCCAATAACAGTGGATTGTGTGATAACCCTTTGATTACCACGGTTGGCTACGTACGGTGCGAAAGAAGTTCAACATACATGCGCACAAAGTGAGAGGTTATCAAATAATTCATTCTCGCTAGCCACATAAATACATCCGTACGACTACAAAGTTTGCGACCTTAGGTGGCAACAATATAGCTGGACATTGTAAAAAAAAGAGCTTTGTAGCTCAAAGATTCTGATTCTTAATAGCTGATCTAGCCCGATGATTCATACTTATAGTCGTCGTGTTAAGCATGGTAGGATGGGGTGGGGGTAGTAAATAGTGTATTATTTTTGACAATAAAGGGATTATGAGAACATCATGTGTTACGACCGTTTGTGAGTTGTGCAATATTTTTCTTCAGGACCCTGAACTCTGCAATGTTGATGTTTCTGTTTTGTTGTCATTGTTGTGCTCACGCGCCACGGATATCCCTCGTAAAATAGCCGTACAGCTGGCTAAAACAGGATCATCTGTGTAACAAATAAAGGGAACTTACACTTTTGTGTATCGTGAACATCTGCGAATCCGCGTGGTCAAGTCACAGCGGGTAGAAACGCGTTTTAGAAGACCCGTACGTCGCTCGGTCCAAATGCAAGCAAACCGCAGCAATATAAAAAAGCAAAAACCAGCCAGCAAACCAACCTGTGAAATTGACTTTTCCAAAGAGGTCCTGAATCTGCGGAGCCAGCCCCAGCTTGAACAGATACAAACTGGGAGAGAAACAAAGGCACGTTGAGTGAATCGTGTCGTTTGCATGCGCTTCGCTGTCTGAGCTGCACAGCGATCGAAGTGGCAGCAAAGCTGCATTAAAAAAAAATTCTGCATACAACAAATGCCATATTGCATGTATGTATGTGTATATGTATGTTGAACTTCTTTCACACCCGTACGTAGTCAACCGTGCTCATCGGAGGTGCGTGGGGGAAGGACAACAAACTAAATACAAAAAAGCAGTGCGAAGGAAATTCGTTTTCAACTGAGATTTAAAAAGTGTGTAGCTCCGGTGGCTTCATAATGTCAGAAGGAAGAGAGTTCCAGACGGCTGCAGAAGTGCATCTGAAAGCGCTCGATGCGGTCACCATTTTTGAATCCACTTCTATAGGCCGACAATTGCTGTATGTAAATGTTCAGCAGGCAATTTATCGAATTAAACCTATTCATTGGTTTTATCAGGGATGTTTCCAGGCCTTCCTTTAAACATTCACGTGCCAAACCAACATCATTTGTGCAGGGCTCAAAACTCCAGAGGGGCCCAGCAGAATAATATTGCTGTTATTACTCTTATTAATTTCTCTAAGGAGAGGGGGGTGGGAGAGAGGTGGGAAACAGATACCTTCTCATATACCCAGCCCTGCATATACCAAGTGTAGTGTTGAGCAGCCCTTCAAATGACAACGCCACACTTGTAAGGCTACCTGTCATACTTTAAAATAGTGACGAATATTGCAAATTTTGGTGATATCCTGATGATTTTATTATACACTGGATTTGGTCAAATCTGTATTCACACCACGGATCAGAATTAAATGACATTGCATTATCAAGAATTAGTGGCAATTCATTGCATCGCAATTCTATGGCACTAATTTTCTCCTTGGCAGCTTAACATGACTCCAGTGAATTTGCTGTGATATGATTGTAGTGTACGGTCTCTATTCAGCTGCCACACACACACACGTGTGCATGTGATTCGATTTTGATCAGTATTAACATTTTCTACTACTGATAAACCATCTTTGACAATAACCCCTTGCACTTCACTATTCGAATATCGGTATCTTACTTATATCGGTAAGATACCGGTATAAATGGATGGTATAGATAGACATACAGCTGAGGATTAAAGTAATATTAAAATAGTAAAGTGCAAGGGTTGCTGTCAAAGACAAAGATGGTTTATCAGTAGTAGAATTGTTAATGATTCACCGGACTGGTACACCAGTCACACGGTTAATGGCGACTCGGTTGAGGATTGCTGTGTGTGACACCACGTGCTGTTTAATTTTACAGATTTACCACAATAAATGTGTTTGCCTTCAATTTGGAGTACCTGCCCATGTCCTTCATTTCGAGTGTGCAACATATTTTGGCGAGCCTGGCAGGAGAGTTTCCCAGAGTTCACTGACGGGGATCAACTCTTCCAACGAGACGGACTAAGGAATTGTAAGGCAGCATATGTGAAGACAGTCGTGCAAGGATCTGAACGGTTTTCACATCAAGGCACTGGAACAGCTGCAGGACAAGGTCAGTACTGCTTTGAATCGGCTGCAGACAGCCCAAATCATGGAAACATGCAGATATTTGAAGTGTTTCCATGATGATGAGACCGGTAAAGATAAAAGCAGACGGGCTTTGATTCGTATGGCAGAAAGAGTACTCGATGAAGTTGAAGACCAAGAAAAAGGTGATGAGGCCTGTGCATATATGTTCAAAACCTGCTGTCTTTCGTTTAAACAATACAGCAGAAAGAAACAGACAGCAAGGGAACAGGTCAAACACTGCCACCATCAAAACTATCTGCAGACGTGGATGGTGAAATACAAGAGTCACAAGACGAATCCAGACAAACCCTTGAGGAAAAGAAAACCTCAAGTGAAGGTGAAACAGAAATCACAGCAGCATTGGATCCCGTACGAATGGCCAGACTAGGAAATGTGCCGGAAGTCACAATAGGGAGAGAATTCAGGATCTGCGGGCAGATTGGTGAAAGAGTGCTGAAAGGCAAATAATCTTACACCAATCTGATGCACCAGATCGACACAGGAACCCATAAGGGCCATGCTGAGTCTGACATCATTGAGGCAGTAGTCAGAGCAATCAGTCCTGGTCTAAATGTGAGGGACATGCTAGAAATAAAAAGTGATTTGACTATTTACAAGTTAAAACCCATTTTGAAGGGACACTATGGAGAAGAACGCGCATTTGACCTCTTATCAGAAGTTGATGAACATCTCTTAGGAGCCAAGAGAAACTGCACAACAGTTTTTGTTTCGAACTATTGAATTAAAGGACAGACTATTATTTGCATCGAAAGAAAAATGAGCTGATGACCAGTACAAGCCAGATTTGGTACGCAGGAAGTTCCTGAGATCGATTGGATTGAATAAACAGTATTAGGGTTAGATCAATTACAAATATAAACTACAGTACGGCATCCTTTACAGTGCACAGTGCTAAAACTCCTCCTATTGAATATATCACAAACTAACATTCCAAAGCCAAGCCTGAAGTGTGGAACAAGTCTAGAACATTTCTATGACGATCAAAAACAACCTTTGGGTCCTTTACCTGTAAGATGCATCAGCACGTGGTGTCACACACAGCAATCCTCAACCGAGTCGCCATTAACCACGTGACTGGTGTACAAGTCCGGTTAATCAATAACCCTGCCAGTCACCCACAGGTCCAACTCATACTCTTTGGTTCTATTCGGTAAAGTCACGTAGGTAAAAATAAAATATTTGTATCTACGTGACTTTACCAAGAGTATGGATCCTTGCAGTCACGAAAGCTTCAAATCTAGAAGGTCCAACTGAGTTATCGCATGCTGGTGTACACACGTGCATTGATGTACTGCACAGCACATAAGGACTTTGACAAAACCACACTTTACTCCCTTGTGTTGGCTCCGAAACGTCGTGATTTTATTTTATTTTTTACCTACGTGACTTTACCGAAAACAAAACAAAGTATATTACATTCCTAATACATTTGTTTATTACCCAACATGTATCTGTTAATCGCCATAGAGCGGGGAAGGAGAAGATATTGACTAGGGCACTGACCTATGATCTCAACAATCCCGGTTCGATTCCTGATCACGCACATCAGTTGCAATTTCTGTCTCAAATTTGATCATGGCCACCTCTAAGTCAACTTAGCCTAAAATGAATACCAACCACGACGTGTAAACATTGGTATCTGAGGATACATAAGCAGTCGGTTGTGGTGTCGGCCACCCCACACCTCCCCTTGTCGTGTCGGCTTTTAAAATTCGCTCGCAAACAGCACTCTCCATTGCGGTAGACGCCGGCTAAGCGTTGATTTCTCTTTGTGTGTATAAGCGTTGCGAACACAAGATGAACCAAGGAAAAAGGGAAGAAGTGCTCTGTGTTGTGACATGACACAGCCATCTGTTGTGGACAGTATTGCCAAACTTGGGGGAAGGGGAGGAGGGGAGTGAGTTTCCTGTTTGTAGCCATTACCTAAGAGCATGGATGCAGTAAATTGTCTTCGGCATGTTCTTGCGGTCGTAGATGTCCGTCGTTTCAGGGTAGAATATCTGCATGAACAATCAAAGATGCACCTGATTTACAAGAATTATTTACGTCCGTTTACGAAAATTTGCCGTGAATATAAATATTTTTTTAAACGGTCTGTTGTTTGATCGCCGCACAACCAAAACGAGAAAGAGATGTTCTGCATCAAGCATTTGCCATTCATGACACATTTACATCCGCGACATATGTTTGCAAATCTATCAGGAAGAATGCGTGCAGAGATTTAGCAATATAATAAAACGTAGCCAATCGTTTTAAAGGATTTAAGAAACGTTCCCATTGATGCAACATGGAAAATGAATAGCAAGCATTAATACACACATCTGCTAATTGTTTGATGTGGAAAGTTAGCATTTGTCTAGCTCATAAAGGGATGGAATTTTGTTATTCTTTGACTGAGAAGTTTTTTGGTGCCAATTAAAATTTCTGGAAAGCCCAAGAAAGAGTTAATTACAACTCCTTTGCAATATGGTACACTCCTCAGCTGCCAGAGTCAAGAATGTTCCACAAGCAGAAATCGTGTGATCACGCTCACTTACAGGGAATTGATCCACGTATTTTTTTAGGGGTGTTTTACGTGGCAACTTGTTTTGAAAACTGAATAAATTATATACCATCCAACATAGAGAAGCGTTAAAGATTTGGTATTTTAGGATGATAAGAATAGGATGGATAAGAATAACTGATTAACAAAAAGGTGTTAAAATAATAGAATTCAAAAAAATGTTGACGGTGTTTGTCATACAGAGGAAAATGGCATCTTGTGGACATGTCGGGTGAGGGTCACAGGGCGCCCTATTGCCGCGCCGCAGAAGGTCAAGAGGAAGACAAAGACGGATGTGGCAGTGGGACGACATTGACAAGTGACTCTAGCTGAGCATGAAGAACATCATGATCATTTATTGCGAGAGGAAACTGGCGTATGTTGCCCATCGACTCCCAAACCCTGGAGCTGACACCGATAAACAAATGGATTTGTGGACAACATCGGGGGCTTGTTGTTGCATACCTTGGGTAGCCCAATGGCAACCATGGCACTTAGCCAGTGGTTGATGTTGTCGGTGTGCCGAAAGTGCAGACCCATCGCCTAGGAGACACATAAATGTTTACTGTTGAATAATTGTAAAAATAATATTCACAGTGTCACTGAGGTGTACAATGTTCGCTAGTAAAATTCACACTTCCTCAAGATTCTTCATTGCAAACCAATACCATGTAATGCAATGCTTGCCTATTTGGATTTTATATAGCATTTAGATGCGACCACATCTTGAGACGATGTACATCAACAATTGGTCAATCATAATAGGCAGAGGCAAAAAAAGAATATCCTTGAACCTGGTTGGAATTAAATAGTCCACATACCGTACAACGTTTAATATCACCCTGATAAGTGTGATTGTAAAAATCCATCCGTACCGTTATGTAAGTAAATTACAAAATGTCCATCCCATTTTATTTTTCTATCTCAATTTGTCATGAGATGAAACCTGATCTTTCAAAGTGTCACGCTGGTAGAATTATTGAAGATGTGACCAAAAAAAGTGACAAGCAATTGCCATTTTGTGACATACATTACTTTTCTCCAGGCATCACGATCCTTTTAGTAAAAAAAAATGATCTTAATTTATCTGCAAGCGAGACGTGTGTGGTATAATGACGCTGTCTTGTGTAAAGGTGTTAAATCAGGCAAGAGACGTTGTCTTTGCCGAGCCAAACACATTCTAATGGTCCCACTGAGCATGCACTAATATTGTAAAAATGTGAATGCTCATGAATGAATGAGTGACTAGCAACCACAGGCAGACTTAGTCATTAACATAAGAAACCCAGCCTCGTTTTAGACGGAATTATAGGGGTGGGAGAAAGGTGAGAATCACTGTCCTACTTGAGTCGATTTTTGATTTATCATATTATATGCAGCATATACAATCATAATATTTGACATTCCTTTGTCAATCCATGGCTGAAGGCCTTTGAATAACCATTTTACAGATTACAACAAAGCCCTTTGCAACCAAGACTATTAAGTCAGCGAAAACATGTACATGTATTCTTTATTTCCCAAGTTTTTCTACAAAAAAAACACATTGGGGGATTTGTGGCACATTGGCTAGCACACTGCACGGTGAAATTCAAAAGCATGAAACCTACGACGCAAAGCCTAGGTGCGTAAGGGTCGTTTGTGTCCTTGGGTTGTGTGTTCCTTTCAGTGAAACGTCTGTCTTTTATAGCACAGAAAAAGAGTGAGCTGAACCCACCAATCCGTGTGGGTGACACCCGGCTGCGGGGATTTTAAATGCGTTTGGCCAGAACCCCATCGTCGCTCTCTGCACGATGCGCACATCCCCATTGTGGGCTCTGGCCTCTCACATCGGGCATCTTCAGGCGAAAGCAGCGCACGCAATTACATCACCACGAGAGTGATTTCCCACCAGGGAACTGCCATTCAAACGTCAAGATAATGATGCCAATGGGAGCAAAACCCCCGTGCCGTATCTAATTTAATTGCCCCGTTTCGCTGCACTTTACTGCATAATAGCGGGAAAGTGCCTGTCATCCCTATAATTTATTTTTAAGAATCCCACCAGTTGAGGTCTCCCACAAAATACAGGAATGAGTATTTTGAAATTCGCGATGATTTCGTTTTTTGTATGTGTGCCTTGCAATTGAACGATAATGTTTTCACAGTTTTGCCTCATTACATGACATTGGCATGGGATCATGTTTTGTAAAATGTTGAAAATCTACTCTCATCGGCAGACAACGATAAATAGCATCCATCTAACCATGCTCTCAGAGTAATTCTACAAACATGGCTGTCAGTTACAGCAGAAACAACTATATGCATTGTAATCTCGTATTTTCATGCCAAAATGTTTATGGTTTTTATGTTCACTGCAAATACACCGACATAATCAACATTACTTTATTTATAAAACAGTGATCTATTTACTTAATAATACCACAACTGATGTAACAAGTGAGGAGGGCTTCACCCTACAGTGGATATAAAATAATTGATAATAACAATGAGATGGGATTAAGATTAGATAAAACATGATTTAATAATGATAGGCCAGGTCGTAGAATGATGGCGCGGTGATCAGTGCACTGCACTTTTAACCCAATAACTTTAATTTGATTCCACGCCAGACTAACTTCAGTGGTGAGTGAATTCTGAACCAGTCATGGGCCTCCCCTTGACAAAACCACGCTATTGGGGTTGTGAGGTAGCGAAGTATGGTCAAACGACCCGCGTGGCTAGAAATAGCATGGGAAGACCTTCTTTCCTCTGTGGATGGATGAAGGGATTCCATTTTTTTCATTATCACGATTTATATTTTTTTATTGTTATTAATATTCATAATTCATTTACATCCCTTTATGAAGAGCAATGCCCACTTTGTCAGGATGAATGAACATTTCTAGCTACTGCTGGATCGATCATGTTGTGTGTATGTATGTTGAACTTCTTTCGCACCATTCGTAGGCAACCGTGCTAATCAGAGCTGCAAGGGAAGTGTTTTATATATACCAACAGGACAACAAACTAAACACATATCAATTCTAAAGAAATTAGTTTTCAATCGAAATTTTTAAGTGCACAGCTCCAATGGCTTCCTAATATTGGACGGAAGGAAATTCCAGACGGAACGTGTTCAGGGCACCTTGCATCGCGTCTGCTCCTTGTCGTAGATCTTCTTCAGGGACACTTTCCCCGGCATGAAGAAGTGTCCCAGCTTGGCGAGGATGACCCCATTCCTCAGGCTCTCCTCCAACTCTGTGGTGGGGGGCAGCTCCTCCACAATGCAAGCCTCCAGCCAGCTACCGGTCAAACAATACGGACAAACCGTCACGAAGGCGTTCTGCGTTACAGATTTCCAAACGGTAGCGGAAGATATCGAGTGTGTAGGCGGTGCAGCTGCACTGGGGCCCACGGGCCAGAGCGGCCCAGGCACCGGGCTACAAAGACGATGGAAATTGGGTAGGTGGCCTTATTTGTATTTAATGCACAAGGACCCTTGCCACTGGTCCAGCCGCCCGTGCTGTTAACTCACTTCCCCTGTTCAAATCCAGGTTTAGCAGCTTCCTTTTTTATCTCTCTCCAAATGACTGACTGCCTCTTGTTCTCCAAAAAGTGAATGTGCCGACTGTTTGTGTACAGCGTCTTGAGATGCAGTTGCATTTAGACGCAATTAGAAATCCATATTTATTTGTATTGTAATATTGTATGCCTGGCCACATGGCTCAGTGGTAGAGGGAGTGGCTCTCAATCAGAATGTTACAAGTTCAATATCTGATTGGGGGTTGATACAGCCCATCATCCCTCTCAGTTTGATAAACCGCATTGTTGGGAAGTAAAAAAGTGCTTGTGCTAATGATAGACTCATTCCTGCCATACAAGTTTGGAATTTCCACCAGTGGCTTAGGGCTGTCAACAGGAAACAAGCAGTCTTCGTGCTCATTTGACTTTTAAAAAATCACTTTGACTTTCTTTGAATATTGTATACAGCAGACATCCAATAAACCGTGACTTCCTATAATTTATGGATTATTTGGCAGTTCACAATGTGTAACCTTGTAACCTCATTATCCGCAAATTTATCGCATATTAAAATACCCGCTAGTCTAATGCCGCGCTTCTCCTGTGATCCACAAACTTTTCGAAAATTAATCGAGTCACATGGCTCTTTCCTCCCATAATCCCCGGCAACACCACGTCGGCACAAAATATATTTAAAAAGTAATTTATCTAACTTCTGCAGTGCTCCGCGGATTACAGGATCCACGATCTGATTGCCCCACCATGTCAACGCGGGTTATTGTATTTTTGCTGTCAATACAAAAATGAGCTTCCAGGTACTGAAGCTTTAGCAGCAGCAGCATTTGAATATATTCTTTGGGTCTTTCGGTAACGTCACGTAGATAGGTTGAAAGAAAATAATAAACCTATCTACGTGACTTTACCGAAAGACCCAAAGAATATGAATTCCTGCAGTCACGAAAGCTTTAAGTCAAGCATTGGACTATGTTTGCACGTTTGTAATATGTTTATTAACACTGACATTTTCACAAATACTGAAAAATTCAGCACTTTCTGTGTTAACTTTATAGCTCTGATGAGGTAATTATTTCATGCTCTTTAAGAGTTTAAATAAACTAAGACATGGCATGTGATTTCGCACCCACGGTGACAACAGTCTGTGTAATTTTGAAAATGTTTACCCCAAAGGAACTAACTACAAGCACCATCACAGACTACACCGCTAAATGCGACAGATTTTACTCGATGGAGGAAAGAAAAAAACATGCCCATATTTAGTAACATTGAAATTCTGTCCATTTCCTTCCAGCGTGTTAAGTCGTTGAAAATGTTGACGACTCGCGAATTTCTGGTAAGATGCAACCGCCGGTAGCGGAACGCGCGCACGGTGGAGAATGTCTTTCGGTCTGACTCGTGGCATTGACGGCAGTGCCGGCATTGCTGGCAGACACCGGGGCGTGCAAGGGGGCCTCAAAACGATGCCATCGACAGCACATTCACACCACAGAGACACCATCCCCCCGCCCGCCACCGCCAAACCCCTCGTGACAACTCTTCCCAGTTGCTGCTGATGCTGCTGCTGTGCATTCGTTGGGAAAATTATATTTTTTTTTCAAATGCACACACACACTCGCACAAGTCAAGTGATCACGCCCACACGCAAAAGCTACGGGTGCAGTAAGCTCAGCGGATAGCCAGCAAGTACAGTTTGACTAGTTCTCCATCGGCGGTGGTGGATCTTATCGGGCGTCCGAGGCCGAAACCACTTGAGCCACTCGCTTCCCCCCGTCGGCGTGCTGCGCAAAGCCTGCTTCCTGCAGCGCTGATTAAGCTTTTCGAACGGTGGAACCTGGGGCGGCACAAGCATGATTTCCACACAAAATAAAAACGAGAAGAAAACTGAAGCGTCATGGGTGACATGACCCGAAACGCTGTCGACTCGAGATGAGAGAGAGAGAGAGTTGCCTCGCAGAGTTTCCACGCGTTCGGCTTCGTTTGTTTGACCGTGGCATTGTCAACGCAAAAAATCCAGCCCTGACAACGTGATGATGTGTCTCCATTTCCTGGCACAATTTTGCAACGGGAAGGGTAAAACAAAAATGTGTCCTGATGTGCATTGTTATGAGACCAGAACATATAAAAAAAAGCAAAAGGATTTATTTCGGTTCAATTGTTTTGATCGCAGAGATGATGGGTACATTTGGCCAACCACTGTTATCTGTGTTGCGCATACGCCCGCACTTCATATGTTTGGGAGAGAAAAATTAACTGAATGATATGTAATATACCTACGTGACTTTACCGAAAGAACCAAAGAGTATGGATCCCTGTAGTCACGAAAACTTCAAATATAGAATGTAAAAATTAATTTAATTTACAGCACTTAATGAAATGATGGGGTACGTGGCCCAGAACCGGTTCATATATCACTCGCCATTGATGTTAGACGTCGCCAGGAATCGAATGCAGGTAGCTGAGTTCATGGTGCACTGTTCCACCATAAATCAAATGAAAATTCAGTTTTATAATAAATTGCACTGAAAATACAGAATTGTCCACACATTCAAATTAGCTCTTGGCGACATCTCCCCTTTGGGAATTCTGAAGCAGTGGTGACATTCTTCATTCCTATGGTGGGGTCCAGAATCCCCACGGTTTAGCACTATTGTCGCCTCCAATCATCACGGTTGGCTATGTACGGTGTTAAAGAAGTTCAACATACATACATACATCAAAAGGCATTGATTTTTTATTATTTTACCAAACAGGGAAAAAATGTGGCACGAGTTTGACCCCGATCTGCAGTTGAGCTTACGATTTCTTGATTAAGAGGGCTGGCTGCTGCTCTACCAAGGTGACTCCTGAATATATTCATTAATAAATAACAAATTTTATATGCAGGGAGGCACCGATTTCTCCACATTAAAATCGTTATTCGTCAATAAGCATACTGGCCTTCCAGACTAACGCTATCCAGATACACTATATTTGTTTTAGCAAGCAAACTCTGGCCCAGTTTCAACCTTCTGGATCTCATCAACTTCTTAAATAGCCGATAAGTCTGGAAGACTCGTAGGCTGATATACTAAAGAAACATTTACATGTTCGCGTGGATAAACAGATGTGTGTCTATATTTTACCATTACCCATAATCCTCCACAACAGCACGTAACGAGCATTTTTCAGCAATAATAAATCAAGCCTGTTAATACAGTATAGCTCATTCGAGTTTGTTTCAAAGGCAATTTTACCACGTTTTCTGAACTCGTACAAGCATTACATTTATATACAGGTGTTAAAATGATCATAAATCTCCTTATTAGGAAGGGAAAAAAACCAAGGCAATGAGATCACCTTCTAATCAGCATTTCACAATTTCCTCTTTTTTCTCAATAATGACACGGTTACTATTAAACCAGCCAAGCGGCTCCCCGGTAGAGCGAGCGGCTCGCAATCGGAAGGGTGCGAGTTCAACTCCTGATTGGGGGTTCACTCAGCCCATTATCCCTCCAGGACCGGTAAAATAAGTATCACTCTATAGGGAAGTCAACAGTTTGTGGATAGCCTCGTCCAAGTCATTGGAATGCAGAATGTCCACCAATGGCTCAGGGCTTTCAACAGGAGATGAGCGCCGCGTAAATGCTCATTTGAGCAGGAAATCACTTTGACTATTTGGATCAAAATCAAGTAATGTATATTATTTGCTCATGAGATGGCCAATTTAATTCACAAAAGATGCAGTTACTGGCCTTATAATGGGGGCATCAATTCCGTCGTGTTTACATAATTGACCATTAAACCCACTGAAATCCTGGAGCAATACATAATAAACATGAGTGTCAATAGCTTAGAATAAAGATCACAACATAATATTCAGATTATGTATCCTCTCAGGAACGTGGGATTCAATTCGATGGAAGTTTCACATTTATCCAAAACTTCACTTTATACCAATACTATGGGGATGTTAGGGCATAATAATTCGAATACAGTGCAGCGTTATAATTTTTACTTCCGATAGTCTTCCCAGAATGTGTTACTCATCGTGTAGCAACAGAATGGAATAATTATATAAAAAAGGTCCACCATTTTCTTCACCGCCAATTCATTATGAGGACTTCCAACGCTCTCGTCCGAGTGCTTATGCTATCGAGGAAGCATGTGGTCTGTTGCAGATATAATCCACTTTATTAATTCGACTACTGCATTCAGTGGTTGCTCTATTCTGAAGTGGCCAAGAGAATGACAGCAACTAAGGGCAACAAAACTTCCTGCCACTCCTTCTTACACATATGCCAACGCCTTCCTTCTTGGAATTACTTTCCAACCGGCAGCTCCCTCTTAACTGCAAGAGGTTGCACCAATACACCACATCTCCTCCGATGATAGTGCAACTCTCAAATCTTCAATACATAAAAATCGTGCATCAGTAAAAGTAGACCAACAATCCCTACCAGTCTGGTCGGCCGTTGTGGGAGGATAGAGAAGCATAGGCTTTGCATTTCTCCCCCCCCCCCCCAAAAGGGAAGCGTTTTGCTTGTGGTGGTGTAACTGGTGAGCGGTAGTGGAGATGTTCACATGCTGTGCTACAAACCCAGCGACCCAAATTCGATTCCCGCTCACCGCCAACATCGCTGACGATTAACTGAACCGGTCTTGGGCCTCCCCTAGGTCGACTAACCCTCAAATGAGTACCTGGTGCAGTGTTAAAAGCATTGCCACTAGGGAGACAAAGGCGGCCGGGCATGGGGATGGCCACCCACCCCCTCGTGTGCTGTGCCGGCCTTCATAGGTGCTCGCTAACAGCACTTGCCCGAACAGTCTGTTTAGGATATTTACGTGGAATATTTGTCTTTGTTTATACAAACCACGAACTACTACAGACAACACCCAGCTTTCATGCATTGTTTTTCCTCTCTGCTATCGACTCCTGTCCCCCCCCCATCCGTTGCTGAGCTCTTTAGCTCCTCTCCCATGACATAGGAAATGTCCCAGTAAACGAGCAACATTGGGCCAATGTTGCTCGTTTACTGAGATCGTAGCCTGAGACTACAGTAGAAGATGTCCTCCGCACTCCTGAACAGTCATATTACTCTACCTCCACGGACTTGTTGATGTTATTACTGAACAGGTTACAAGTGTTTTTTTTTTACTCCTGGCATTGGACCATGTATGTGCTATTGCATACATTTAGATTCCTCTGTTTTTTGCTTTCATTAAATCCCCAGGACTTTTTAAAATTGCATTTTAAGCAGGTAAATAATGCAGATAATTATGGTCATCTGCTGCAAGAGATCCCCATGATGCAAAAACACTCATCCGCACAGACTGCTGCTTCACAAACGGCAGCTTTCAGACACTCTGCTCGGTCTATCGTTCCCCACTTATTTTTATCCTCTCCATTCAGACGCTGGCAACATGCGTGCCACGTGTATGGAAAGTGAGATCATGCGCGAGCACAAAGCCAGTGGTTATAGAGCCCCTTCTGCCACAAAGCCGCCTTTGCAGCCCCGCCTCACCAAAATCTACAACGACACCAATTCAACGGCCAACTTTGTTTCAATCGTTCGCCAAACCCACACTAAACTTGGTGAAACCAATTCTGCCCAGATGGCCCCCACTCCACCCCCCCGTGGGAGAACGCTACCGTTTCGCCTCCTCCAAGTGGCACAGGTATTCGTAGGCCACGTTCTGGCGCCGTCGCGCATCCATCTGCTCCGCCGTCATCCGTTCATCGTCCATGATGGCTGCAGAAAAAAAAGGACAAGGGTTATCAGCAACAGCCAAAGTCTCAATCGGTGTTATCACTCGCAAATGGCTGACGCCGACACCAGATTCACATCTGACAGGAGCCTCTTAATTAGAGGTGGATCTCCGAGGGCCATCCTGAAATATGATGATGCAGTGGTGTAACAGCACCCTGGACCCACAACCCAGAGATCACTCGTTCAGATGCAATCTGCTGGTGCAGAAGTTGAAACAATGAGCCTGGTTTCTTAAATCGCGCTGCCTCTGTCCACCCAGTCGTATAAATGGGTACAGGACAGTCGATTGTTGGTACTTCCATCTCATCCAAAATCTCCATCCAGCATGGAAGAGTCGGTCAAATACCCTCTAGAGGTGCACTGCAGAGATCCCCTTAGTGGAGGACTGCACCTTTTGCCAGAAGTGGTAATGCTGCATTGTAATTTTATCTCAATCTTCATTTTCAAAGTGTCCCCTTGCTGAAACGAGTATGAGGATGTGCTTATCTGAATTGGCGGTCCTGATACGGTGGTGGAAATTCCACATTCCTATTTTGGGGCCAGAGCATCCATGACAACTTCTGTTGAATCCTCCATCAACTGGCCTTTACCTGGTGGTACTCAAATATTGATCATGGAGGGCTGGGATTAATGTGTCGCAGGAAACGATTAGATCTCCGACATGTTATCAGGTTGTACCGAATGTTATTTGCCACGATGTCCGAAGAAGTTTTTGCCCCACATACTGGGAGCTTAATCTTCAAGAAATGAATTGTTCAGCATGTGGAATAAAACGTCGGACGTTCCTACTGATAAACACGCGGTGCAACTTTTTGCAAACACATCGAACCGTACGGCACAACCACCGAAATTTACACAAAGAAGAAATGCGACACAATCAGCACCTGTTTAATTGAGTGTGTGAAATGTGTACCAAATGTGTTTGACGTGAAAGGTCTACACATTATTCGTACAGCCCACAATCCAATGCTGGATGAGGGCCTCCTCCATCTCGTACGGGTAGTAGGGGGTTATGTAACCATACTTAAACCGCGCTGGTCAATGCAGTTTGGTGAAGGCGGGCAGCATAGATCTCGAGGCATAAATGTACAGCACAACAATGGATATTTCCTGCACTGCCCTCTGCTGCCCACCACGTACCCGCACAGCCTATAACAATCTGTGGAAAGTGACTGCCCATTCAAGCACGACCCAGGCTCGGCTTCTGAGATCTGGCAAGAACGAGGAAGGGCACTCGGGTCGCTAGGGTCATAGGCAGGCATTAATCTGTATTAGAATATAAATGCCCTCTATTTATTCTTATTTCAGGAGGGTCCAGCATTTGCACGTTTGGACAATTCCATAAACTCAGTGTTTGGCATGTGGGAGGAAGCCAAGTACTTGGAAAAACCCACACATACCTGGATGAAACTCTCAAAGTCCTGCATAGAAAGTTGCAAGAATATATTTTTGTCCTGCCATTTCCTAGATACCTCAGTTATTCCGCTGCTAATTTGTGTGTAAACGTACTGTATCACTGGTGCATGTACAGTATATTGAATTACAGTATTGTGCCTGAAATAGTGTGTTGCTTGTGATGGTAGGCAGAAGCTAATGTGAACTTACGACAATTTAATATCAGCAGCAACAGCCATGTTTTTGTTCAAATGCTGGATGAGGGCCTCCCAACACTGTTGCCATCCCTCAGTTCTGCAATCTCAGAATGCACTCCTGTAAAAGCCAACTTACTTTTCTTAACGGTAAATATGATGACTGCAATTTGCAGTTTGTTCCCTGATTCGTGTGTTCATCTTGTCAGTATATTTCCCAGGATGCATCTCTTTATACTTCTGTGAATACATTTCTGCCTTTGTTCCCTTGTTATTTGTAACAGTCAATGTTTATGACACAAACTGTACGTAACTATAACAATTTAGTATGCAAGATTAAAAATTAAAAATTGTATGGCACATTGTTAAGATTACTTTTTATTAATAAAAGTACATTTGTTAGCATTAGCCCCACTTTGGAGGATTATTTGTTTTGTTCTGAAATCTCTCCTTACAGTTAATTGACATTGATTGTTATAATGACCATGGCATTAGCAATTCTGAGGTATTTAATACTTTCGCTATTTATCGTTATGCCTTTACTCCTCCAATCCAATTTCCTGAAATTATCCTCCAGATTAATTGTACGTAATCTTGGTGGGCATAACTCCTTGCCCGATTTTTATTATTTAGCTTATTAAAAAAAAATGCAATCTTAGTGGAGCAGTTCCTATTCACAAAAAGTTTATGCGGAAATGAAATACCTTCATGACTGAATTAGGCCTCAATAACTCTTACATTCCAAAGGGGAGACAAAACTGACTTGGCAATTACAGGCCCATTAGCCTCTTATCACACATGTATAAAGTGATCAAGAAGATCGTATAGAGACATAAAATCAATTGAGAGGCCAGTCAAGCCGACCAGCAAGCTAGATTTCATAGACAGTACATACTATCAATCACAGTAAGGCTGCCCTCACCTTAACCGCTCAATAATAATTTCAATTGTACTTCTACTAAGATTAGTCTAAACATTTTCGGTCCGAGGCAATGGCGCTAGACAGAATATACCATTTCAAATTGCGTTTGTGCAATTTTTTAGATTTATATGTGCTTTATTGTTGTAGTGTGCTTTATTTGTCTTTGCTCTTGTCGTTTTGGTGACACAGGTCATTCTTGCAAATGAGATTATCCCTGGTCTGATAAGTTCTTACCTGGTTGAATAAAATAAGCTAAACACATTCTAGAAAAGAGAAATAAATGTTGATCAATATATAATCGCCAGCTTTTGTTGATTATGAAAATGCATTAGATTCAGTGGAAACTACTGCGGTTGTCCAAGTGCTCACAAAATAAGGCATCGATAAAAAAATGTTTGAAAAATTGTAAAACCATTCGTAAGATTGGTACAATTAGACGACTGGAAATTTCAGAGCAGGTGTACGGTGCGTTTCAGGTCAGGATCATTTCAGGTCACATGACAAGGACAAAAAAAACAGACTAGGGACAGAAATGACATTCTGCAAGATATTGCTAGATGACATGTATAGCAAGATGTGAATGAAAGTAACATTTACGGGATGATCAATAATGAAGTGTACTTTAATGTGTATAGAATTAACATCAACATGACATCCAATTATTCAATACGGCATTCATGTGTGATAACAAGTGGCTGTTTTCAAAAGTAAACTCACTTGTCTTTAAAATGTCTTGTAATGCTCGACTCCTTATGGAAATGTGACACTTTTTTCAAGAAATGTGGATGTAAATAGCCATATAAAATACCATTTTCATGTCTTAATGCTCCAAGGATAACCATCATAAGCATGTTTTTGAAAACTCAATGAGACTTTCTTCAGGTAAATAATTTAATAAAGTACCGTATCATCATCATCGTCAGCCCTGATCTACCAACAGCTGGTTGAAGGCCATCCCAATCCATCACCATCTCTGACGGTTTTCAACAATCAAGTCTTACACTACGTGGAGTGTAAACCGTACTCAAGTTAATACACTGCAACACCTGCTAAAGACAACTTACAAAGCTGCAAATATTTTTTACATTCCGGCAGACCAGTAAAATGCTTATGCTACACCTACATGTTACACCTACATACATGCTAAAGGGTTTAAGTGAAATTTACTATTTTTTGCAAGTAAAAATGGGTTTGTTAAGCTCCAAAAGTCAGTCACAACACCCAGCCTTCCACCCTGCCCACAAAACCCATCACTACCCACGGCTTCCAGGCCAAAGCAAGGCGGATTTCCATGGGTTTGTGGTGTTTGCTTTGAATGACGAGCGAGTGTTAATACCCGCCACACTATGGAACTCCGACTGAAGAAGTGGGATTCAGCTCAGCAGTCACTGTCACGCCCGTATAATAGAATGAGTGTAACAGTATTGTATATGCCCACAGATGGTCACTGGTATAATCAGCATCAACATCTGCCATGATCAATCCACTGCTGGAAGAAAGCCTCCCAAAGCCACCTCTATACCTCACAAAAATAAAAGCAGGGCATGATGACCATGATAATAATTTAAAGCCCTTTGACATGGCGGTTGTTCGACCATACTTGACCATGTTGGTCAACGTGGGTTGGTGAAAGGGTGCCTAGGTGATAGGACATGATGGTACCATACAACAATGTAAGGACATTCATTCTAACAGCATTTGACGAATGTTCTCTGCAGGCTTTTAAAGTCTCTTATATTTTTCAGTTCGTTCAGTAAATATGGTAACACTACACTAAATGTAAACATATTCTTCATACAGAAAATTATACCTGTCATCTAACGAGGTGAATGAAAACATACACAACTGTTAAGTGTCAAAGCATTCCACAATTATACTCACTCACAAAAAACTAATGAAAGTATGCAGATATTCAAAATAACATTTAGTCACAAGCAAACCAAGTGCAACATTTCAAGAGCTTTTTAAAATATATATATACACTTACATCCATAATATGGTTTGGCAAATCCGTCCGCGTCGTCTTGCCGTGCCATGGTCTCCTTTATGAATATTCGTTTTAGTTTTGTTTCTTGGGTCAACGTTGAGGGCCGGTGAGGCAGTTCAAAATGCGCGGCTGGTCCCCGAGTCCGCCTTGCCCGTAATGCAAGCGGCTCAGAGGCGCCGCGTGTGTGCGTGCGGCCGTGGGGTGGGGAAGTGTGCACGGTGTGTGGTGGGGCTGTGCGCGTGTGTGTGTGTCTGTGTGTGTGTGTGCGGGGGGGGAGCGGTAGTGTAGCGGTTAGCGCGCTCCACTGCGAACCCCGGCGACCCAAGGTCGCATTCCCGCTCACGGTCAACACTGGTGACGATAATCTGAACCGGTCTTGGCCCTCCCCTGGGTCGACTCAGCCTCAAATGAGTAGCTGGTGCGGTGTGTAAACATCGCCACTGGGGAGACAAAGGCGGTCGGGCGTGGTGCTGGCCACCCACCCCCTCGTGTGCTGTGCTGGCCTTCGTAGGTGCCACTCGCTAGCAGCACTTGCCCCAACACTTCTGTTAAAGCTATACATGGGATCTTTGTCTTTGTGTGTAAAAGCGCATGTGCCAGCCATCTCACTAAATAACGTTTCCATCAATTTTATTCATTCTTGTAAGAAACGTGCTTCCTTTTATATATCGAATTTTTTTTAGAAATATATATGAAAGGCATTTAAATTATGATCAGATGTAATTGTGTGTTTTGATCATTGTGTTGACTGAAATAGCATAAGGCATTTCAAAAGTCATTTTTTTTAAATCACCATTGTGTTGATAATGATTTAGATTTTAGATAATAACTGTTTAAGTTTATTTTCGTACTGGCATACGAAAAAGCATACACACGTGTCACGGTCAAAAGTCCCCATTGCATTTGTTCAAGAAACTGTTAATTGCCTAACCAACTGTACTTATAGAAATGTATTTAGTACATATTCTTAGCTCTTTCGGTAATTATTTTATTGTTTCCCTTCAACGTGACTTTACCGAAAGAGCTAATAATAAGAATTACTGCAGTCACGAAAGCTTTAAATCAAAATGTATTCAGTACAGTTTTGTTGTCAATCATCCACTGCTAGATGAAGGCCTCCACAAGCCATCACTATCCCTCACAGTCTTGCGATAGACTCTGGTGCCAGGGCCGCCGAGAAACTCCGCAAGAGCCGCGACTGGCCCCCGTGGCCCCCACCCAGAGCACAAAGATCCCCCATGACAGACACAGTCTGGGAGGCCCTCATCCAGCAAGCGAATTCACTAAGAGCCTTTACGTTATCATTTATTACATATATTATTATTATATATGAAGCCAATAACGATCCACTGGTGATGAATAATACATGTGATATTACACAGTCATCCATGTCCATAATCCATATACTATACAGTATATTGCAAAGAAAAATGTTTTAAGTTAAAAGTCTAGATCATTTTAAGGTACTGTACTGCAACTAAATAACGGTGGCCAACCCCATATGCTGAGGTCATTTCAAACCTTTAGGCCATACCATTTATTGAATATTCCTTTCGGCAGCACGTAATAAAGAGCTGCAGGCACTGGTTAATATTGGTAGGCTGTTTATTCGCTTTGTCCTGACCACTTGCCCTTTGTAGGTGGCAATATCAGCCGCCACACTCCTACCAAGAACATTCCAGTCAGTTAAAAACACTGACATTCGTTTTTGAGAAAATTTCTCAAAGTTCGTCGTGAGCACTGTCTTTTTACAAGTTTTGAGCAAAGACCTTTCTAAGGCCTGATGAAGAGTCATTGGCTTCAACATCATTTTCAACCGTCATTTATCCACTGCTGGATTAAAGGCTTCCTTAAGCAATCACCATCTCTCGCAGTCTTGTACCGTACGATCATGCAACAATCCACGTGACATCTGCACACGAGTTGATTTTATCACTCCATCTTTGCGGTTGGATGTATTCTTGGGAGTGTTTCCCCTCCCTCGGCCACCACCCCGCTGTTCGTGTTGGCCACGAACAACCCACTCACATCCCTTCTAGCCGCGTGTCCCAATGTCTCTCTAATATGTACTGTAACCCATGTTGCTCCTCTTTCAGTTTCTGAGCGTAATTCCAAGCATGCACCTCTGTGATGTTTTTTTGCAATATGTTCATCTTTTGTTTCATTTTTTTCAATGTCCATATTACTGCGTTTGACATGGCAGGTATTAGAAAATGATTAGATTGGTCCTTATTAAGGTACGTTGGTATGTTGAATGTATATTTGTGCTTGTATTTCTTCAATTACTTTATCAAACTGGTATAAAATGTACATGATATAGTAGTAATTCTTCTTGTAAGTTATATACTGTCCATTTTTTTCTTTATTGAATTTGTATTTTTTCAATACAATATTTCAAAGCTAGACATATGATACTCCACATTTCATGGTTATAAAATGACCAAGCGGCAGTCGTCACATTATGCCACGTGTTGCAAGGAACTTGTATAGAGTGAATGAGCCGAAATCGTGTGCTCTTACACCAATGCAAACAATCCACCTTTAAAATTGTGTAAATGCTTTCCACGAATTTTGGATAACAAATGATCATTCAAAAGGACATCAATACCTTTTTATTGTTTTATTTTTATTATTTCCCTTCTACATGACTTTACCGAAAGCACCAAGAATATGACATCAATACCATTTATTCATGTACGTGTTTCCTGTAATCTGAGACACTTACATAATGTACTTTATAACACCAAGTGAGAATCCACTGGGATTAATTTTCAGGTTAATATGGTCATGATTAAGGTACGCCATGTGAGTCGAAATTGGATGTTATTGGTAAATACTCTGTGATATACATGAACATTTGCACCGACGGAAATTACTGGCATCACAATTGTTACAAAATACACCATATTTGTCAGGTCCCCGTTGCACTCTCAAGAATGCTGCAATTAATTTTCAAAGGTTTTATATTTTGACTTAAAGCTTTCGTGACTGCAGGAATTCATATTCTTGGGTCTTTCGGTAAAGTCACGCAGATACAGTAGGTTCAAAGAAAACATTTTTAAAAAATAACAGAAAACTACGACGTTTCGATCGCAACGCATTCGGTCGTAAGCGGTCGCTTGCGTTGCGGTCGCTTGCGTTGCGATCGAAACGTCGTAGTTTTCTGTTATTTTTTTATTGTTTTCTTTGAACCTATCTACGTGACTTAACCGAAATACCCAAGAATAGGCTTTATATTGGTAGGGTGTTGACATTCACGTACCGTTGTGCACCTGGCGCAGCCTGAGTGAGGCCTAGTAAATCGTGCACCTGGCGCAGCCTGAGTGAGGCCTAGTTAATAGTGCACGTGGCGCAGCCTGAGTGAGGCCTAGTTAATTGTGCACGTGACACTGCCTGAGTGAGGCCTAGTTAATCGCGCACATGGCGCAGCCTGAGTGAGGCCTAGTTAATTGTGCACGTGACACTGCCTGAGTAAGGCCTAGCAAATCGTGCACCTGGCGCAGCCTGAGTGAGGCCTAGTAAATCATGCACAAGGCACAGCCTGAGTGAGGCTTAGTTGGTCATGCACGTGGCGCCTGGTTGTGCACATGCCACTGCCTGGGTGAGGCCTGGCGGATCATGCACCTAGCGCAGCCTGAGAGAGGCCTGGTTAATCATGCACAAGGCGCAGCCGGAGTGAGGCCTGGTTGACAGTGCACCTGGCGCAGCCTGAGTGAGGCCTGGTTGATCGCGCCCATGGCGCAGCCTGAGTGAGGCCTAGTTAATAGTGCGACGGACCACAAGCTGTGTTCCTGCCAAGGCGGCATTGCCACGGACCCCAAGCTGTGTTCCTGCCAAGGTAACATTGCCACGGACTCCAAGCTGTGTTCCTGCTAAGGCAACATTGCCGTGGACCCCAATCTGTGTTCCTGCCAAGGCAACATTGCCACGGACTCCAAGCTGTGTTCCTGCCAAGGCAACATTGCCACGGACTCCAAGCTGTGTTCCTGCCAAGGCAACATTGCCACGGACCCCAAGCTGTGTTCCAGCCAAGGCAACATTGCCATGGACCCCAGGTTGTGTTCCTGCCAGGGCAGCATTGCCACGGACCCCAAGCTGTGTTCCTGCCAAGGCAACATTGCCACGGACCCCAAGCTATGTTCTTGGAATACTTAACGTCGTAGTTTTCTGTTATTTTTTTATTGTTTTCTTTGAACCTATCTACGTGACTTAACCGAAAGACCCAAGAATAGGCTTTATATTGGTAGGGTGTTGACATTCACGTACCGTTGTGCACCTGGCGCAGCCTGAGTGAGGCCTAGTAAATCGTGCATCTGGCGCAGCCTGAGTGAGGCCTAGTTAATAGTGCACGTGGCGCAGCCTGAGTGAGGCCTAGTTAATTGTGCACGTGACACTGCCTGAGTGAGGCCTAGTTAATCGCGCACATGGCGCAGCCTGAGTGAGGCCTAGTTAATTGTGCACGTGACACTGCCTGAGTAAGGCCTAGCAAATCGTGCACCTGGCGCAGCCTGAGTGAGTCCTAGTAAATCATGCACAAGGCACAGCCTGAGTGAGGCTTAGTTGGTCATGCACGTGGCGCCTGGTTGTGCACATGCCACTGCCTGGGTGAGGCCTGGCGGATCATGCACCTAGCGCAGCCTGAGAGAGGCCTGGTTAATCATGCACAAGGCGCAGCCGGAGTGAGGCCTGGTTGACAGTGCACCTGGCGCAGCCTGAGTGAGGCCTGGTTGATCGCGCCCATGGCGCAGCCTGAGTGAGGCCTAGTTAATAGTGCGACGGACCACAAGCTGTGTTCCTGCCAAGGCGGCATTGCCACGGACCCCAAGCTGTGTTCCTGCCAAGGTAACATTGCCACGGACTCCAAGCTGTGTTCCTGCTAAGGCAACATTGCCATGGACCCCAATCTGTGTTCCTGCCAAGGCAACATTGCCACGGACTCCAAGCTGTGTTCCTGCCAAGGCAACATTGCCACGGACTCCAAGCTGTGTTCCTGCCAAGGCAACATTGCCACGGACCCCAAGCTGTGTTCCAGCCAAGGCAACATTGCCATGGACCCCAGGTTGTGTTCCTGCCAGGGCAGCATTGCCACGGACCCCAAGCTGTGTTCCTGCCAAGGCAACATTGCCACGGACCCCAAGCTATGTTCTTGGAATACTTAACGGAGATCGTCAAGACGGCCAAGGGTCGTGAATGAAGAGCCCCCTGTGTGGGCTTCAGTGGGGCCGTCTGGTCGGGCAAC